AGATGATTTCAGAGAAAACCAGTGGCACCATTGTGTTCCTCGCGAACTTTTATACAAGAATCAACGGTCAAATTGCAAATTCCTCGCACATGTAACATCTCCATTGGGCCAAAATGCACCGATATCAATACCTCATATGTTACTTGGTTCCTCGAAAATTCTCCTCTTGGACTTAGCCTAAAAGTGTGGACACTTTTTAGCCTCCGGCGAAACCTAGAGTCTATACGGCTTCGCCGCACGACTAACAAAAAAGGAAATTTATTTGTAAATTTAATAATTTTTCATCTTTTAGCGATAAAGTAGATCGCAAAAGCGTTCCCCATGGTCATGAATCATACTTACAAAATTTTAGAGCAAAACTATTCACACAACATTTCCGAGCATAATTCCGAAAGTTATGAGGATGAGGAAAAAAGGAAAAGTTTGTGAGGCCTAACACTACTCACAATGTGGTAATTTTTACAGCCCTGAAAATTTCCTCCTTTAATTCGAAATTTGAAACCACGATTTTATCTGTTCAAATCCAAAAATAACTTGGGCTGGGGTAATGCACGTTTATTTTCAAACAGAAGAGAATTATATTGAAAAAAATCATTCCACTTCAAAATAGAACTGTGGAGTAAAAATCAGAAAGCTCAATCGATTTCGAGACATCTTCTTTTCGCTAGGAATAATTTTGCGGGAAAAGAGGCGTTAGAGAAATGCTCAGAAACGTAGTTCTGAACGGCCGGAATCCGGAATTTCGCCTGTGGATCCGGAAGATCATACGGACCACGATGCACGATCATCAGTGCTACCAAGACTCTTGTTACCATTCAATATATTTTGCCGTGATAGCCAGGAGAGCAGTAATTATGTGTCAAATTTTCGAAATCGAGTTTCCTTCCAAATTCGTCTAAACTCTTTTAGATGAAATCACTGAAATTGCTAAAACAGCAAAATTCATTTTAATTGTATCAAAACGAGGCAAGACAGCAGTAAGTGACAATACAATATTCCTTCAGAGAGCCCATTGGCTTTTTGAAGGAAGTAGTCTTGGTAGTGTGAAGTAGTGCCAATGATTCAAGTAAAGTGCCGCCCTCTTCTGCAAATTTCTAACCTTAAAATTCGTTTGCTGCGTTTCCAAAACGCAAGACGGGGCTCTTATGTTCCTGCGTGAAGTTGGCGTGGGAAGATAAATTAGCAAAAATCGAGTGTATAACCTGGTTCAAGATAATCACTGATCTCGTTCAACAATTAGACAAATCATTTCAATTAAACAAACACAAACAATCAAGTAAACAACAGAATATCGCCCTCTCCGCTTTCACTTCCTCTTCCTCTCTCAGATACTTTGTATTAGGAAAAATGTTGAATAACTCAATATTTTTCCCAACTTCGTAAGGGGGATTTTTCCCTGGGACAAATCCTGTGAAACGGCCTGCGGAGACAAGGCCTAATGTTGTTTGATCTCCTGACCTACCAACCAATTGTACGACCTGAAAAAACATGTGCTCACGTCAGTATTTCTTGACGTAGAAAAGCCGTAATTCATTTCTAATCCAGACCAGTGCGCATGATAGAGACTCAACCGATCTATGCTCAGTAAAAGGACTTAACAAAATTTGTAATTTTCCGAACTGCGGCTGATAAAATGTGAATTTTCTAGAAAACTTATAATATTTTTCTTTGAAATTTCCAGGGACCCTCCTTCCATTTGAAGAATCGTACCTGAAAATTTCAAGGAAACATATTTATCGTGCTTAAAAGTTGATCAGATTAAATTTTCTTGAAAACAAATACTTGTCCTGGGGGAGTGAGGGCACAGGAGTATCATGGCAACATTTAAATAGACGACCTTTCTTGTAAGTATGGTAGCACTGTGTCACAAAAATTTAGAAATGGAATTCCTCTGATTTATGTTATTTTCTCTGTCTTGTTGTAAGAAAGTTCCTTGACTTTCGAGGCGATACACAGGATAACAAAGAATATTTTGATGACTGAAGTCCAAAAACGTGTATCGCCGATTGCGACTTTACAAGTTTCATATCATATTTTGTTTTGTTGAAAGAAATTTGACAGTCGTTCTTTAAAGCTACTGCAAATTTTCTCCAACCGTACAATGATTTTAACGTACTTATACCTACTCTACAAAGGATGTTTTAGTTAACTGTCTTTAAAAGATAGAAAATATAATCGGAGCTTTTCTTTTTACTTTACCCATTAACTTTTATAGTATTTTGAGCCCGGCTACAAGTTTATGAATGAGCTTGAAGGTCTTATTCATGTATCTTATAGATGACTTTTTGACAAATAAAAGTTAACGTACAAAAATGAATAAAATAGGATGACTCACATTGGCGGAGGGGGTTGATGAACTGGCGGCATGATCATGCCAGTGTCTGGAGGTGGAGAATCTTGGCCCGGCGGACGGATTGAGCTATCAGTACCAGGAGGGTGAACGACCGAAGTAGACATTGGGGTGGCCTCTGGGTAATGAGAAGGAACAGTAGAATTAGGGCTTTTAGAAGTCTTTTCAGTATCAGCGGACAACACTTTGGGGCGTCCAAGGGGAGGTTTGACTTCATGATGGATAATGGGACCAGTGCTGGGAGGGTGGGTATTGGGAGGGACTGATTGGTGTGACTGAGGGACATGTGTTTGATGGTGATGAGGTGGCATGTAGTTCATTGATGGATGCGGTGGATGGTGTCCTGGGTGCAGGTGAGGAGGAGGCCTTGGCCTATTCGATACAACATTGATTTGACTTCCTTCGCCTCCTTTCTCCGCAACCACTGTCAACGCAACACAAACGCTTAGTAACCAAGACACATGACAAACGAGAAATAAGTAAGCCTACGTCCATTGAAAGATGATGACAAACTGATCCACTTAAAGCCTAGGAGACACAGAAATTTGTTTATCTCCAATGAAATAGTCTGAAACTTGAATAGGAGGTCTCCTGTGTCAGAAGTAGATAAACCTGGTGGGAATTTTTTGATAAATCAAGGAATATAGATATGCCTGCTATCCAAAAGTATCAAACAGTAACCAAAAGAAAAAATAGACACACTTAAAAACCAAAACTCAAACCTGAGATCTAATCTGACTAAAATGACAGACAACTTTGAACCAGTGCAGATGTCCTTATTCATTCATTCTGTTCCGAGACACTTAATAAATTCAAGATTTATGACTAAATCGCTAAACTTTGGTGTACCAAGGAGATTACACAGAAGAATTTTCTTTTTCCTTAATTAACTGAAACTCAAATAATTTTCTTTAGTTCATTCTTCGAATGATTAGTATGCTTCACAGGACATAGGTTTTGCTTTTTATTTTCTTTCTTCATAAATTATTTTCGACACAAGCTGGTCACAAATTCTTGCACTATTTTTTAGCACACTTAAAAAGTAATCTGATGTTGGATTCTGGATGGAATATGGCCAGCAGATAATTAGACATTTCATCATGGGCATATCTTACAGCTACAGGCAAAAAAATATATACAGAGTCAGCTTGTAGAATTTCTTTCCTCAAACACTATTTTATGAGACATCAAACCTAGAGGACATATTTTTGAATATTTTAGAATGCTTTCTGGCCACATAGAACCTTAAAATAGTTTTTAATTATTCCAAAAAGTGCTCACTTTCAACTGTAACAATACTCACTATGTCAAAAAAAAGACTGGAGGGTATTGATTGCTCTCATCTCATCATATTCATGATACTTTTGACCCAGATTAAAAAAAAACAGAGTGTAAATCAAGTCTGAAAAAAATATGACTAGACTTCAGTTTCTACCCCTACACATACAACAAATACCCATTAATACTCATGACAACAAAATTAATGTATAAAATAACTAATATGCTGCAGAAAAGGTACCATTAACTAAAAAATTAACAAAAAAAAAAAAATTTGCATCATTAGTTAGGCTCATGAAAAGCTTTCCAGGGATAAGCTGTCGTATAATAGACAAACGCGTGAATCACTGTCGACCATGCAGAATCATGCAGGGGTGTTAGTTACAAATCCTTACTTTGAGTTAAAATTATAAAAGGCATTTAACAATTAATTAAATTGGCAGGGTTGCAACAGTATCACTTATACCAAGCCTGAGAAATGATGGTTCAAGAGAATTAGAGCAGCAGTTTTTAAGGTTTATCAACAGAAACGTACAAGATCTGATCGATTGGCTATGAAAGACTGAAAAAAGGAAGATAGTAAAAAAAAACATACATACTTTGACATACTAGGATAGGCAGGAAAACCACACAACCCACTGTAACTTCTTCATTTTTAAGTTAAAAAGTAGCTTAAACCTGTCAAAGGGAAAAAGTCTTCGAGTGGTCACAACCCTCTAACTCCTGTGGAGGGGAGCACATGCCCGGACTAATAGGGAGTGTGCCCTGCCTTCTCTGGGTCCCCTGTGGAATGGGAAGTCACAACCACCTAAAACATTTTCCCTCTTGAACTATAGTCCAGACTGGGACAGTTTGACCAAAAATTTAAAAAAGTTATGATGGATCCAATGTTTCTATTGCCTATCTTCGTCTCGGTATTGACGGATCCCCTGAACACAACTCGAGTGGAGGAGGGAAAGATTGAAAATTGGCAATATATTCAAGACCTCTGCACAAAAATAAGAGAAAGATCCAATCAGGAAGTAGATGAAGGAAATAATAATAAACACCACAAGAAAGATGCCAGACCTAATAACAAAGATTTTGAAGAAATTCACTGAATTTTCTGAGACTCTGAGTGACTTTGACGCGTAACACAGAAAAAATAAACAAATAAAAATTTAATTGATCAACCATCGACATTTTAATTGGAGCATCCAAAACGGACAAAAGAATGTCAACACTAAAACTGAAACAATGAGAATGAGGGAATTTTCCTTGGAAATATTCTAAAGGCAAAAAAAAGCACTGCTCTCAAGCCTCAAACAACATATAATACCATAAATTACGGTTTTTCGGTCATGAAAGGAATAGGATGCGTTGAAAGGTTCAAAATCTATCAATGAGAATTATTCACACAAGATTCTGATGAAAATTTGAACACTTATTTTCAGAAAACCACCAGTACTCAAATATTGTACAAAAGTAAAAAAGGAAGGGAAAAATACAGGAAAAAAACTGAACTAAATCCTCCAAAAATGTTCCTTTTACAACCGAGGGAGATTATGAGATCAATTCAATACAGAATTTAAGATAAATTTCGAAGCAACAGATGGAATGTTAATTTACATATCTCACATAGGGTTATCCACTCAAGATGATAAAATTCAAAAGGAAGACTTCTAAAAATTCGGCAAAAGTGATTCTATTAATTGCCTCTAACACTAGAAATAGGAAATAATTAACAAAATGTGTGATAAGTACTGAAAGGAAATTACAAGGCAACAAAAAATCAAGAGTCAACAGCCATAGGCTATTTTTTACAGATTTTATTTTTAAGAGAAATTATGGTTTAGATAATAATTACGGCGAAACCCTATGCAAAAATATTGAAATACGAAAGAATGTCTTGATATGAGAAAACAAGTCTTTGATAATGACTTGCGGAAATAAATGGAAAACCAAGCACCACAGAATGGATTAGAAGATAATGATGCATCACTAAATACAGCAATCAATAATTTAGAACTGAGACAGTCAAACAAGGAAAACCTGAAAATTTAGTGAGCCATAGAAAATTGTAAATACAACCATAAAATCAAATTTAAGGAGATTATGAGTGCAATTATAAGGAATGAGCCATGAGATAACACTTGTGCAAAACAAGTTCTAAAAATAATAGAGCATAGGGACACAAAGAAAAGGAGATTTGCATTACAGACTACTCAGCGGGGCGTAAAAATTGGGCATTGGAGGCATGCACAAAATTAAGTACCTGCTTGCCCCACAATGGAGGAAATAGCTTGACCAGTTGCTGCTGGCTCTGACTTGGAAAAATTAGGAACTTCGTGAACTATTTCAACACCATTGTCTGATAACATAAAACCAGCATTAAATGAAAAACGAAGGAATAAAAAAAATAAGACAAACAATCTTGAACTGCAATATACCACAAGATTTTCACTGAGAGCAAGAACAAAATTAGCTTAAATCTGATTGAGGCAAACACACGCTACTAAAATGAAGGAGAGCAGAGAAAAGAGATGGCTGCAATAAAAATAATGAAAATTTTATGGGCATGATTTTTCCTTCAGATTTTGCGACTCCTTACCAACAATTCTAGGAACAATACATTTTTAAAAGCTCTCTTGGTTCAGCTCTTTTTTTCAGCTTTTCTCACTTAAAATACTTGCACAATGACTTTACCGTTACCGTAGAGCTATTGTGAAGGATAGATTCTAATAATTCCCAGGCATTCAACTTGGTAACCCACCCACTAATCCTTGTGTGAATCTTTGACCTTCCATCCATGGTAACTGGAGATTCCTATCTACACTGAGCAGGGGATCTCTAGCTTTACACAGATTACACAGGTACTCATCACATTCAAAGCACATTGTTAGACATTCTATGCTGTTAGTTCCTAACGGGGGTTTAGGAGACGAAACGTCAATCCTGGAAAACATGATGCAAATCGATTGTTTAGCTGAGGTTAGAAAAACGTAGGTAATGACTATGTGATGAATATGATATTGCAAAACTAGGGGAAAATTGGACCACGTTAAGCAGAAAAGAGCCAAGCCATGTCAGCTATTGTCAAATTTAATTGGGAAATTTAATTTTTACACGAAAACGGTTGTACCGATTTTTGTGCAAATTTCAGTGAATTTTTTACAAAGCAAGTTCCTCAAAATTTTCTAAGGAATCTGCACGAACGTTCTCTTGTAAAAAATTGAAAGGCCAGTAAAAATTGGCAATAACTGATGTCGCTAGGTTCCTTTCTGCTAAACACGGTCCAATTGAAGCAATAGGATTGCCAGCAAGATAAAGGACCCCCATCTACAAATTATAAAATTGGTAGAGTGATTTTCGTTGAGTTGGATCAAAAAATCTGATTTCGATAGAAAGCACTCTTTAAAGTCCTCAAAAATAAGATGCTATTGATTCAGTCAAAACGTTTCATCAAAATTTATCATTTTTCATACTCTGAACAGAGCAGATTAGAATTTGAAATGGCTTTTTCTTGCAACAATGTACATTTCTTGAACTTCAAATTTCAAAGTACCATAACTCTAGGTTGATTTGACATTTTTGGGGATCCTTCACCCCAAAGTGATTTCAAAGCACTCCTCTCTGCTCTACCTAGCATGATTCAGGTGGCTTTGTGAAAAAAAATCAAGCCATGACCTTTTTCGTGATTTTTTCTGAAATGTTCAGATTTTTCCGCATATCCTAAGTCCGAAACAAGAATTTCTTGTTTTCTGTAGATGTAGATCACAATTCGTTTCAAGAATGGCATGTCTCCGCAGATGATCTAATGAAAATTTCAAATGCTTTCTCACTCTTTAAAACAGAGAGCACTTACCACTTACAATCAGGTAAGAGAAAAGTTCAAGCACTTTTGGAGCTCTTTTCAAGGCCACATGAACCATGTCTGATATTAGTGAAACACTTTGGAGTTTTTGTAGATTAAAGCCCCTTTCTATGAGACCCGGCATAAATTAGGGGGGAAAAAAGGTCAAGTTGGAACAGTGGAGGGAAAAATTCAAAATTAACATTATTACCGTCATTTTCAGGAGCTGGCGTCTCCTCTTCTTTGGATGGAGATGGAGGTCTCTCGACAGGCCTTTCTTCCGTTTGCACTGGCGCAGCAGTTTTGGTTGGCTGAATAGGCCTCTGTCTATTGTAGCCAGTTTGATTGCGAAAATTGTTTACAGCTGTGCGCAAGAATCTGTTTGGGATTAACGTTTCAGGAGAGATATCCTTTTCCTTGCAGTCAGGGCATTCATGATCTTCCGATTCCAGGAGAATATTTCGGATACCTAGGACAAATTTTACAGTAAGACTTCATTCGGAATACAAAAGAGTAAATACAATTTCACTTTCCCTGACAGCAAAGACTGATTTGAGTTATTGCTACATACTTCTGTTGAAAAGATTACATATATATTCAACCAAAGAATATAAAATAATTAATTGACAGATGAAGCACTCAAAGAAAAGATATGGTTAGAACTTGAAAAAAATTCAGTTGCCGGTAATTTTTCTCCTGCTGAAACAGCAAGTTATCTTAGGATCAAAGCCTTTAAGGGGATCATTCTGCCATGCAGAAACTTAACCACTTGTGAAGTTTGTTTTTTGTTTTTGAGATCTTTTTGATAAAAAAAATGAACCCTGTGTTATTTTCAATAAGGGCTCCAGAAAGTAGGCACCAGGGGGATCAGCCAATTAGAGACGACTCGTAAAAGTAGGGGGTGCCACTTAGCCAGAAATTCAAACTCGGGCTCTTGTTTTCTCTTTGAGTGAGATACTGTAAAACTGAGTAAAATCCAGGGAGACATCTACTAGTCTCCTATTTACTCATGTCAGCTCTCCTTCAATCTTGCCGACATCCTCTAGATAAAGGATGAATACTCACAATCATCACAAAATGAGTCTCCACAACAAGGAATCATGACAGCATCAGTCAACAAATCATGACATGCTGAGCACACAAGATCTTCCGGAATATTCGGCTTTTCCACAACAGCTTTTTCGGGCTCTGGCTGGAACGGAGGACGTTCTTTTTTAACTTCTTTGTAAGCTTCACTGTAAATAAAAGAGCAAAAATATAATAACACTGAAACTATGACTACATCAGCTCAACTTTATTGTTGACTACCGCTCAGTATTTGCTCCATTTCTTGACAGAATACCTGAGAGAGCATCAAAAATCCGATGTTCTCCTTAAAATTTCACATGGAACATACTGAGTACTGAAAATCCCCAAATCTAACTCATAAAAGAAAGATTAGCATTTTTCAAGTTTGCCAATTTCAAATTAACGCTCCCCAATAGACCTAAATCCACTTGAGCCAAATTAGGCATGCAAATAATTTGACAGCACTATGTAAAGAGAGGGTTTCCTAAGAATATTGAACATCTTTTAACAAGCTTTTGGGAGCCTTTTTTTTTTGGTTGAATGGAAAGTTTCATAAAACCAGTCTTCGGTAATTTGACGAGTATACCCGTTTCTTTCCGGGGATTGATTTAGCTTCATTTTCTATTGTGTCAGGGTAAAAAGTTTTGTCAATATTACATACTTGTCACGCAGAGAATGGGAAACTGGTCTGAACTAGAAATTAAAGGTTCATGGACATAAACTCACTGATCAAGGGCAGGAACAGCAAAATGGCCCGCAGGAGTAATCATAGCACCAGGTAGGGTTGGGTCAGCAACAGGGACCATGAAACTCAATGGAATGCCAGTACTTTTTCGAACATCCCTATTCACGTCCTGGAATTAAAGATTTCAAATTATGGGATGAAAATTTGATAAACTTAAGCTGTTAGTTATGTAAAAGATATGAAATAAACTCCGTAAAGCAATCATAAATGCACAAATGGACTGATTCTCTCATCATAATCTACACTTTTTTGCTCTCTACCTATTTTTCTTACACTTTTGCGATGATCATGTGGTGAATTTTAGAGTTTCCACAGATGATGGAAATCACTTTGGTTAGGATACATTAAAACCTTAGAAATTTCACCTAATTTGCTTGTGTATCCATCTGTCATTTTTAAGGACAAAAGCGGGCATAGGTACTTCTCAAATTCAAGATGAAGATGTTGACATTGCTTCATAGCTAGAGATTGGAAAATTTCGCTGTTATTTTTTCCTGATTTAGCTGTTATTTCTCACCGATTTTGATGTTATTTTTGCTGATTTTATTGTTACTATAGTAACACTTTGTGCATTTGAGAGCTTAAAATGAAGCTTTTGACTTGATTTAAAAGGCCGTTGCACAGCTTCTAGTCCTACTTTGTAGAAGCACTTTAATAGTATGTGCACTTTGATGACCAATGCTCAAAAACAACTTTGAAGTGTCATTATTTTGGGAAAATGCACAGAAAATTTCTTCTTACACGCATATTGACGCAAATTTCACAAAGATGTACAGATTTTGCCGTTTTCGCAGAGAAATTTGGATAATTTCCCAGTGAATTTCGTAGCTTCTGAGCGATTTCGCACTAAATCCAGAAAACGGCCTATTCCTTGTTATCCCTCTTTACATTATCAAGATCAGGGGGTTATAATCAGTGCTTCTGTCTGGTTTCCAGATTCCTATGAAAATTTTAAAAATTTTGCGGCGAATCGCAGCAGTGAAATTTTCCAATTTCTATTTATGGACACCAGTGTTATTTCCTACAAGACCAAAATTCCCTTCACAGAGAGAAAAACACATTAAGAGCACAGTTTCCCCTCTTGGAGATACACTGTTTGCAGAAACACTAGCTACAATCCAGGCAACTAAGAGCTCATTTCAGGATTCATTGGTTGCATCAACAGCACAGCACAGTCTTCTGATTTTTCATCAAAGAACTCAGAGGTCATGAAAACACTGCCAAGTTTGGGCATGGCAGCTGCAGCAGACAAGCCAACGTGGTACCAACAAATCATCAAATAATCAGTGGCGAGGCGTAAATCATTGACTATTGATATTTTCTCATTTGAAGTTAAAAGTAAAGAATCAGTTATCAAGGTATTTGTTGCCTAGTAATCTATCCTTTTGGAGTGGCAGATCAATTGTTCCATGGTAGAGAACGCCAGGACATTGCAAATAATCAAAACTGCGCCCTGAATTTCCTGGCAATCTCCAGGCTTCATGAAACCTTAAGCTTAAGAAGAGAGAGAGAGAGAGAGAGGGGGGGGATAACAAAAATACTTAAAGAGGAAAAGTCATAAGTTCTCACCGTAGAGGGACATTCATGGATCCAATGTCCTTGCCTATTGCAGCGATGACATGTGTAAGAAGCAGGAACATCTCCCATTTGATTTTGTCCACGTATGCGCATGTAACTGTAAAACAATTAGTGTTCACTGAGTAATGAGGGAAGGAAGATAGAGATATTTTCTACAGAGAATTAATGTTCGGGGCCATTCTTTGAGCCACTCTGCATTCCTGTAACTTGATAATTTTATGCTCACTGAAATTTTTCTATTGTAATGCAAGGACTGCACATAGCCATTGTTGGACTCCTGTCTAGTTTTATAATGGGCTGGATGCCAATTATGGCAAAAAATTTGGGTTTTTTGGTATTTAACTTACACCATTTTGTACTGATCCAGTTTGGGTACCTAAAAATCTCTATATATTATATTCATTGTAAATGAGACACGCTAAATTGAGTAAAACCGAACCTTACACAATTGTTAAAAAATAATTTTTCAAATTTTTTAATTTGTCTTTGCACTTTAAAATAGCTTCAATATAAGAACACGCACGCACCAAAAACGAGCTTTTTCAAAGACTTCCTCCTTCCTCACTTAAAACATTCTCCTTATTCTGAATTCTTAGTCCAATTCATTACCATGATACAAAAAACCCAGTTGCCATATTTTTATTGTCTTTAACCAACTTTTTCACCTTTTGAGGGCTGATCCTCATCAAGCTCTTTCAGCAAAATTTGAAACCATTTAATTTCACATTCTTCAGGTAAAATTATCAAAATCAACATACTTAAAATTATCAGGTAAATTCATCAATTCATCTTCTTAATGGAGCCTTCTACTTCAGTACAACCACATATACTCGGAAAAATTAGGAGTAATTCAAAATTCCCTGGTTTTATTACTAGTGTCCAGTTTTGAAGTGAGATGAGAAGTAGGAATTATATTACCTGGTTTCTTATATTATTATTTTAGGGTTTCGAAATAGACACACTTACTTGCTAGGATCATATTCATGAGTTGACTGAGTCATCATGACGTGAATTTTGTCTTCTTCACTTGCATTCAAGGTGGCTAGATTTGACCCCTGGAACAAACAGCAAAAGAATTAAGAGATTAGCAAGCACCAACACAGGATTTCTATTATTTCTTTATTTTTCTGGTTTCGAGGATTTTTTCTGATTCTCCCTAAATCCAAAATTTCTGTATTCCCTGACCTTTGTGAGAAAAGAAAAGAAAAACTTTCACTTGGAATTTTTTCTTATAGTTGTGCTAAATTTTTCTTGACTGTGGACAAAATTTTCACTTCTAGAGTTTCATGTTCTGGAAAAGGCACTGGCACTCAGAAAATGTTTGCGTTCTCTTAAATGGCACTAATTTTAGTTTCTCAGTTGACACTCTACTCACAAAATTTTCTGATTTTGGGAGACCCAATATTCCCAAACTTATTTTCTATATCTCTCTTTCTGGACCTTGGGAGTCATTTTCTCAGCTAAAATCTAATTAAATTAAAACCAGTAATGAATCGCCTCCTCATTTTTCTAAGTGCTTGAAAAAAATGGATAAAAATATAAAATGCAACTGCCCCTTTACATTATAACAAATCAAGGCTGACAAAATTTAGTTGATCAATACATTAAAAATTCTCACCTTCACCATCCTGTTTGGCTGAGCATCCTGAGGCTGCCCCTGTAAATTAAACAGTAATTTTTAGATTAACAAAATGTACGGGCAAGAAAGAGGCAATTGAGGGAATTGCACATGTAATTGTAGGATAGTGAATTAGTGCCCTAAGATACAATTTTAAATGCCATTATTTCGAAATTCAATTGTCGTGAAGTAAAAATCATAACAATTTCATAAAGCAATAGATGCAAAACTAAATTTCATTCTTCCAATCAATAAAGTTCACTAATTTGATGGCAGTATAAGCAGAATTCTGTTCGCTAAAACAGGTTTTTACGATAGAGATTAATAATACAGTCCTGGTTTGTTCAAAATAATCACAACTTGAAAAACTGGTCTAGCTAGATTTTATCTCCCCCTTCAGTTTCATACTGGTGTGCATTAGAGTTCAAAAATTTAATTTTGACTTTAATTTGAATTTTTTGGAATTTCTTGGCTTTGTTTCCCCGCGAAATGGTGTGGACCCAGCACCATTTTTCCACAGTTCGGGCCACTTCTTAGTGTTTTTTTTCATTAGATTTTATCTTTAGTCTTGTCAATTTCTCCTTGGGGACACTATAGTTGATTTGGGGTAAGTCAGAATCTTGGGATTCCATCTGCAAAGGAAATTCATTCACCCTGGTACTTTTATCCAATCTGCAAAAACAAATTTTCTGTTTGAGTTGGAAGAAAGCATTGGACACTATGCCTAATTGATAGGAACCAAATTGGTACATCCAAAAGAGTGATGAATCTAATATAAACAACACCTGCCAGGAGCAGCTGTAGTCATCTTTCTTTTTTGGTGGCTGCGTTGCCATTCATATAATTTCTAACAGGACATTCACTCAGGTACAAAAAATGGCCAGTCTCAAGACCACCTCATTGGTCAAAACTACGCTGTACTTTCTGACTTTAAATTATAAATGATTCCAAAGGTAGAACATTTTTTGAAAATTTTTTGCACGAAATGCATATGCGATGGGTCAGCTTATGATAAGATATGTATTCACAAAACTTTTCTGTCTAACAGGTAAAATCCTGATGAACTGAGTATAAAAATTCCTGGTAATGAAGTAGTGTCTTGCAATACTATCAGTTGATATTACCTTCATTAATGGAAGTTGAGGCTGGTTTGCTTCTGCTCTTTCCCTACAAAAGAAAGTAAGTAAGAGACATTAATTACCAGTCACCAAAATTATTGGGGTAAGATGAGAAAATAGTACTTAAAAAGTTTACTTTAATGATCTGAATAGAGGGCCTTATTGATGATATTATAGCTTGGGCCTTCATGGAAAAACTGCTTAACTGCAGTCAGCACTGGAAAACTAGGCTCAACTCCAAAATCAAATCTTTTTTTGTACTCGTTCTTTCGCAAAATACACAGAAATTAAGGGATGAGTTTAAATAAAAATCTGTAGGGGTACATTTTTCATTTTTTCGATAAGATCTTCAGTTACGCGAAGAAAAAGTTTTCTTATGCAAGACAGTGCTAAAGATAAAGGATCAACAATCTAATTTGATCGTCTTTTAGATGTGCAATGGCAACTAATTTCATAGGAGAGCCCTATTTATAGGTTCAAGGCTTGAAAATAAGAACTAAGAAGGAGCTTGTAATTGTGTACCAGAGGCAGGCCTCAGGACTTGAAGATTCTGTTACGAATGAAGAGTTGAAGGGTAATTATGAAGTGTCATTCCTTGCTAACTAGTGCCACTTTGAAAAATTGACCCCCTAAACACTGGATGAAATTTAGCGAGTACTTTCTGTACATGTGTAGCCTGGTCAAAATTCAAAATTTCAAATTTTTTCGACCCCCTGTTGGAATTTTATTAGACACTGAAAGTCCACAAAAGCTGACTTTGTTCAATGGCTATCGTCCCTTTAATGCCCTTACAATAACAATCTGGCTTGTCATCACTGCACTGGACTTAAAATTAAGTGACTAATGCCACTCGTCAGGGAATTTGCAACAAAAGTTTAAAACTCATCAGTTTAATTAAGGTTCAGAGACAGAAAATTAGAGTACTCACCATGCTTTCTTTTGTTGTATTGTCAGAGGCACCCGACTAACAATCAAAGAAGAGTTTTTTGGGATCAATGTGTTTTCATTGTCATAAACTGGAACAAGATGAAGAGAAAATAATCAAGAAAATTTGGTAAAATATGAAGGTATGATAATGGAGGCACATTTATAGCATACTAGCCGTGATCAGCGCGAGCTGTCACGCCTAGCTAGGGAGTGCCCCTGGACCCCCACTTCCTCAAACTTGCGACCGCAGGCCACCCCTCATAGCTATTAACTTTTAAAATAATAATAATAATAATGAGAAGATAACATCTTTGCCGCTTGGGTCAAGGCCGCCTTCTTCGGTTATGAAATTTTGAAAATCTGACCAAAACTTAGAGTTTCCCGTCAAAAAATACCCCCCGAGTTTCATGAAAATTGATCAAACAGGAGTCGACTTAGGAATTCAGGCCACTGTCAGCATCTTGGATTTAGCAATTTAGAAAATGTGACCAAAACTTCGAGTTTCCTGTCGAAAAGTACTCCCCGTCATCAACTTTCATAAAAAACCGCAATGTACCACCTAAAACCAGAAATTTCGTTTTTAATGGTATGGCGTCATGCGACAGGATTGAACCTGTTCGAACCGCGTATCCTCAATGCATTAGTATAGGGAGAAACGACTTTTCTTTTTTTTCGGCTTCAGCGGCAATTTTTTGTAAATTTGATTTTTCAGGCATGTAAAGGTGTTTCTTAGCTTCATTCTTGCCAAGTTTGAAGGAAATCGCTTAGACAGTTTTTTCGTTACGTGTTGATGAAATCTCGGTACAGTAGCTTTATATATTTAATGAAGTAGCAGTGAAGAGGGAAAAATTTTCAACACATTCCATGACTTGAAATTTCATTTCAGGAAGAAGGGAAGGAAGAGATACAATTTTTCCTTAGAGGATGATAAGTACCAACTTCTTGACGTATGACATTATACAGTGAGCAATATTTTATTTGGATGTATTTCTGCAAAACAGAACTAGAGACAGATGGGAAAGAAGGCCTAAGCATGGTAGCTTTCGGGCCGGAAGAGTGAATGGGAATTATTGAGTGCCAGTGACGAAGCCATCGCCACAGTCGCCTGTGGGCATCTTTATCTCATGAGCCGTGTCCACAGCTCTCTTTCCCTGCGCCCTCAGCTCATAAGTGCTGCGTACAGTTAGCGCTTCTTTCCGTTTAGTAGAGTGTAAAATCCCACTTTACCATTTCCCCAAAGGAAATCATGCCCACTTTTACATTGTTTCTTATGCAGCTTTCTGATGCACACCTCATCTTTTCCACTCTTCTATGGTTCTGACAGAAATACTTACGTCCATTTGCGATACAATGTTGGAGTAATTTTTGAGCATCTCATGCAGTGTACCTACCTTCATCAGTCTGGGCATTTATTATTTGCAGATCAAAATCTGTAGTTTTCCCGATCTGCTTCTGATGCAGAATAAGCTTCTTCAGTTCCTTGACTGAAATATGCAAACCATCAAAGGTTATGGTATCATATGACAACGCTGACTTGAATTTGTAGTGGACAGACATCGTCTATTCATGACAGTCTTTCAAAGAGGTCAGCTTTGCTCATTCCTGAAAACAGAGACAATTATAATAGCAGGAATATACCACCTGGCTATGACTTCAGAGCAATCTGATAAGCCAAGCATGACTTGTTTCAGTAAAAAGCCCTGCCCCCTCTAAAAATGACCATGGAGAGATGATGGCCACTTCTTCATTATCTTCGCCAACGATAACAATATGCGACAAGTCAACAGTGTTACCAGTAGAGAAAGACTTATTAAAACCTCCTCGAATTTATAAGGCTCAAACGAAAGAGGTTACACCTTTTATATTAGTTGGAAAACTCATGCCACTATCAGCGCCAGAATACCTACCAAAATATCTCCTTGTGCTACTAAAAAACGTGAGTGTCTATAGACGCTATAAGTGCCACGTCACAGCGATATATATAAATTCTTTCACATTGGTAGCATTAATAGAGGTTATGCCAATGTTATTGTTTGGATCCAATGCGATATTATGGAGAATCCCTAAAGGGCTTTTTTTTATGCGGATCGCAGTGGAACGCGGTGAACACCGGTATTTTTTAATTCCGTTCCTCAGCGTGATCCAAGCGTTCCAGGTGGATCAGGGTGGAACGCTGGATCGCTCTTCCGAGGTGGGGCGAGCTCGCGATCCACTGTGATCCTAACCTAATGCGAGGAAGTTGCCGTCCCCAAAAAATCAAAACAATAACAAATCGAACCAAATTCCAAGTTTGGATTTTTTTATCCCTTGGAACACTTGGATCGGTCCGGATCGCTCAGGATTCCGATCCAGTGCGTTCCACTGCGATCCACCCTGATCCGCGATAAAAAAAAGCCCTTATGATGATGTCGCCACTAATAGCATCTATTCATCTTACTGAAATCTACTGTTCAGTTAGCTCTATTAACTAATCGACAGTGGAAGTCGGCATCACATAACTCGGTTAGCGACGTCGCAGAATTTGTGTCATATTTTATTTTTTAAATAGAAAATTACTCAACCGCAATTCTTTAAAATTGCCGTGATTTTTCTTCTCTGTGCAAAGAAAATTCAGCAAAAACTTCGATAAGTGATGTCAATTTGTTCTCTATTAAAAAAATAACTTAGAGGCAGAGATTTTCAGACACCACAAACGAGTTATGTGATTGCCGACTAACACCGTCGAAATGCCTTTGTCAAATGGGAACCTCACTTGAAAACATTTATCTTGGGCAAATTTCACATTCAATACCCTGAGAGCTCTGCAGAATTAATTCTTCAAACCGGGATACAAATTGGAGAGCTCTCAACAATAGAGGAATCTTCAAAACTCTACAGGTTGCAACGTCTGGCAGAAACCAGGCTCGAGGATATATTCCTTATGTTGCCCTATACATTAAGAAACCAATCTTACTTGGTGTAATGCATCCCATTTTCATGTGTTTGTGTGTCATTATATCGGGATGTAAGTGTAAGGATTCGAGATAATATTGCAGAGGTCAACGCATGACATCCTCCGTAAGCAGGCATTTCATCCTATTACATTCCTGACCCTAACCAACCAGGAAGTTGGATCATTGCATCGAATTGCGTACTCAAATTACTGAAACCCTCTATACAAGATTGCTTCAATACAAGATGTTTAGCATGCAATGAGCGTTGAACCAGCTAATACTCAAATGTATATAGTTGTTGACTCCACAAAGATGTCTCGGAAATTGAGTGGTGCATGAGAGGCCATTAAGTAGCCTCTGCTTCACCATGCAGTCATAAACAAGGTGAGAATTTCGTACCTAAAATAAGATAAAGCTATTGACAGAGGGTTGCGGTTCCAACGTCTGGTGCTCAAAATGTCCAGTTAAAGTGATTGTAAACAGATAAATGATAAAATATGAAGGATAAGATGTGGTTCAAGGCCATGATGAAATCCATCTTGCTCACATACCTCTTCCTGTCGGCGAATAATCTCGTCACAGAAGCTCTGTAAATTAATGTTGAAATGCTGATAAAACTATCACTGAAAATCCGATGATCACGATGAGCTGTCTCACTAAGGTGTGAGTAACTATGTAATTAAAGATAAAATATTTTCAATTCCACTTCACCAGTTCACCAGTATCACTGCACAGACTTCTTTGCGGAGTTCGCTTCAGCAACAGCAGCCGCAGCGAGCGCCATACACTATTGTCAAAATGTGCGTTAAAACGATAAAATTCCGGTTATTTAAGCTTCTTAATTGCACTTTTTCTTGAAACTTGGCACCTTGCTGAAGACATCCACCATTCAACTGTCATCTTGAAACGATGAGCGTTTGTGCGTTTGTTGTTCGTCGTTCTTCTCGTCAATCCGCCGCTTGCCGCCATATTCTCAGAACCGCTATGTTCATTGTCTCTTCGTGAAGATTATAGTTTTTCTGGAAAAATTAAGTTACTTATCATTTAACAGTTCAAGCGAATGGTCGTGCAGTAGATCCCGACCATGGCGAACTTTGTGATCGACAAGGAAGCTTTCTTTAAACGTGTCAAAAAGTTGTACTCCTCCTGGAAGGTCTGCTATAACCCTATTTTTACTTGCTTAAGTCTACACATTTCATACTTTATTGACTCATGATATCTCTAACTCCTAATTATTTATCACGTTTCATGAAGATCATAAGATGCAAACTCCCATGATAATAAAGCTCACAACTTTTGACCTTTATAATGGTGGCCAACTTCATACTTATGACTGTTTGATGTCATAGCCAGGGATTTAAGGTGCCTCATGAGGTTATGCTGTTCAGCATCGACTCGCAGCTTTAGCATTAATGCCGTATGCTCAGGTAGCGGGCATGCAGCGCCGCACTTAATGCACATAACCTGCCGGCTTCGGGCATCGAAGCCCAATGCTGGCGTGCCGGCCAGGCCAGTATCAAGCGCTGATGCTGGGTTAGGGACCAACATGCGCTTCAACTTTTGATGCCGGAACCTCGGCTCGCAGCGCTGTACGGCATCAATATTTGGTCCTGCCACCCAGCTTCATTACTGACAGGGTTGTCCCAGAAGACCGCCGGGATAAGCGACCCTTGGACTTTGTGATGATTTCGCAGAACACCCCTTTGTCTGTCTACGTTTCCCATCGGCGTGGCGGCCCACGCCTCGCCGGGAAGTTCTCCGAAGTGGACGCTGAGGAAGGGTTGAAAACACAGCCTGGTGCAATCAACCGCTCAGCAGTCGGGCCCCGGGGTACTGGCATTCAACGTGTCTAAATGAAGCCGCTTTACTTTTGATGCTGGGCACCCAGCATCAAAAGTCATGCCAGGTGTCGGCTTCACCAGGTCAAGCGGCCTTACGGGCAAATGCGATCCCCCGGCGCACTGTCCGATGCGGCATGAAAGTCCGCGCCGGATACCCGCCTTGCGCGCCGATGCCGCTCCATTTATGATGCTGCCTCAAACCTCAGCTCTAAATCCCTGGTCATAGCAGCAATCAGCAGCACTTGTCATGGTGTACACTCATGCTAGCCCCCAGCATTGTTACTCTTTTCGATGAAAATCATTTTAGATTTCATCACTATTTTGTCTTTCCGAAGACCATTGAATGTTCACATGTTTTGTATGTGCTTGCACCTTATCTCTAGACCTGACTCAATCTTAACTTATCCTGATCGTTGGTCTACAACTTGCGTTCCTTGTGCTGAAAGAGGACAAGGCCCTGATTGTGTAATTAAAGTTTAATTCGGAGGATGGATCTTTGTCCAATTTAGAGCTAAAATGAAATTTTAGAGTGAATACCAAGGGAGGTTCTTCAATTTCAGTAAAGTGGGAAGAAAAATTCTCTATTGTAATGGCTGCATTCGGTTACTCATCATTCACCGAAGATAGTAGATTTTCTGTTGTCTGGTTCTAATTGGATGTCTACTCAGACATAGACTCAAGGACCTCTCTAAGTCCATGATTCACTGTTGCATGTAGCATTATGTTTTAATCTTCTCAGAGACAGAGAATTAATTCTCTTTTTATCATTAGAGCGGCTAAAGATAAGGGGTCTAGGAAATGTGCTTTTTATGAATGCAGTAAAGGATGAGAAACTTTTTCTTAAAGCACTCAATCTCCCCCCCCCCTCCAAATTAATTCTTAAAATTTTCTGTGAAAGGAGAGAGCCGCGTTAATTTTGGTGAAAAAGACTGTCTTAGTGGTATTAATTCCTTGTCACTGTCCCATTGCCCAAACTGGATTACCGTCATTTTAGAGTCCAGCATAATTCTGCCAGTTGTTTGAGGCCTGACCAACTTTGTGTACTTGTCAAAAGTTCCGATTTCTCAAATTTTTTACTTCGTTGCTTTTTTTCAGGGTGAAAATGGAGACTCGGATGAGACTCTACTGAAAGCAGATGCTTTAATCTCAGCAGTTGCTGCTGACGAAGTCACTGTTTATTGCAAGTCCTCAGCTTTGCAGGTAATTCAATTCACCTCTTGCCAGACTTTAAATGTTATGGATGAAACAGAACCACCTTAAAAAAATGTGTTGTTAAAATAGGATTTTCCCCTATTTTTGCCTTTTCTCCGATTTCTTATTTAAATGCTTAGAACTGGTGAAAGAAAAGAAGAGACGAAAGTCACATCAGTCTGGATGCATCAATCATCAGTTGGCCCATCGGTTAGCATGTAAATATTTGTTGGATGGTGCAATTTATAAGGAGCAATTTATAATTTTATTTTACAAGGAGCATAGGAGGAAAAATCTAGGAACCTCTAAATGAGAGCATTGGCATTTGAGTGAAGTTGTTGAATCTACTATTTAACAAACTGTTTTACTAGCTCTGATGGCATTCCTTTTTAGTTTCTTAAATAGAGATCCCACCTGTCGTGTATTCAGAGAGTTCAGACTAACAGCACCGCCAAATATTCACTTCTGAGAACAAGTAACCTCACAACTCCTGCACAAGAATTTGAGTATTGTGTGCTTTTTTTTTGCTTTTTTTATACTTCTTAAGGTACCACTCAAAAGATAATCCTGCACTTTTTCAATGTAATGGTGTAACTGTGCACTAATGTAATGATGCTGTAGCAATGTCAAGTTGTTTGATATAAATCTACAGGACCAAACAAATTTCAATTCTCTCTTCACCTTTTCAGCTGTGGCTCCTTGGTTATGAACTCACAGACACTGTGACTGTTTTCACCCAAAACACTATTTATTTCTTGGCAAGTAGAAAGAAGATTGATTTCCTCCGTCAGATTGAGTCAGCAAAGGATGAGGCAGGCTTGCCGTCAATCAAATTGCTCACCCGTGAAAAAGTAAGTACATATGGATAGTACTTAGCCAAACTGAGCCAAATGACATAGACTTGGAACAAAGAAAAATGACCTCAAAGTTTTAATTCCTCCTTGAGGCCCTATGTAAAAAGGAATCTTCAGATTAGTTTTTTCTATACTGAAATGATTTTTCAAGGCTTTCTGTTTGCTGCAGGAGAATATATCAACAGTGAAACTGCCAGAATTTAAGTCTTAGTTTGTAACATTGTAAACTTCCTATCACACTTCCTCTTTTAAATGGAAATACACTCGATGTAATTTTTTTAAGACATTGTAAATTATACATATCTATTATCACCTCTAGGATTTTGTAGACTATTGTGCTTGAAGCATGAACGCTGCCAAGAAGTGGTGTTAACATAGTCTCCAAAGTTAGTCTGACACTCGTTTATTCACTACAAAGCTAACATGCTTTATACTGCCTGAAATACCTTGAATGTTGATTCAAGTAAGATAGTGTAATGGACCCGGGGTGAATCGGTTGTTCGGTCCCAGAGCCCTGAGTCTATCTGCTTTGGGGGCGCAGCGTAGCTCTATATAGGGAAAGTAACCTCTAACACATCTCTGATGGGGATCAAACTTTATTCCCTCTAACACTTACGAAGTAGCAGAACACAAATGAACACACAAACTTTATGACCACGAAAATGCTTTTAACACAGCAACTGAGCAGGCCAATCTCCCAGTGCTTATGCCTATGGCATCGGACCTCAGCAAATGCACACTCTCCCAAAACGCATAGCAGACTGCCCAGAGTCAAAGCTGAAGCCGGCCGAACTTAGCTCCGGCCCCGAAAAGCCGGCTATGAGACATCACTTGCCACAATCCAAAATCCAAAACACTCGGCACATAGGACACACACAATTCCCCCAAAATAGCGTGTGATCCATCGCAATAGTGCCACATTTTCTTCACTGTTCCTATCTTTTTTTTCATCAAAGAATGGTTTCATGTATGTGGTACATTATTAAGCTGGAAATTTTCCGCATCCATGCTGGAAATCAAATGATACTGAGGTAACTCATATGTACTTTCATACCTTCTGTGGTAAAAGTCTTTCAAATCTGTACCTACTCTTTTTCAGAATGGTGATGACAGCGAAAGCTTTAAGAAATTATTGGATGCCATCAAAGGTTCCAAGAATGGGAAAACAGTGGGGCTTTTCTCAAAGGAGAATTTCCAAGGAGCTTTTATGGATTCTTGGAATGCAGCTCTAAAGAAAGGCAACTTTGAAACGGTAAGTTATGAACCCAGTTTATTGTCTACTAGCTTGTGACTTCAAAGTTTTGTTTGTCTCCTTTCATTCATTTATTTAGTGAGGAACAGATTTGATGACTCATCAAGCATGACTCATATTTAAAAAAGCATATCGTATCATTCAAACCCTCTTAACTTAATAAGGGCTTGCTCTCATGTCTAATAACTGTTCAAGAAAAAAAAAATCATCGTTGTAGCCCTCATATTTTCTCCAGGCATGAAGCTTGGTAATTTGTTTTTTGTCCCTTCAGCCTTATTTTAACCCTTCGTTGGGTGCATCTCTGTATTTGAACCGTCAAGGGCCTATTGCAAACTTCAGCCAGAGCGAAAAAAAGTTATTTCTTACAGAAAATGATTCATAAATCACAATGAGCGTCTTGGAAAAATCTGAAATACACTCCAAACTTCACAATTTGCGCAATAAAAGTGCATTCCTTGAAGCTTCCTGCTTCAAAAATGATAGTATGGCACAGGTGAACATTTCTTATCAACTGGGTCAATAAAGACCATGGTGTTTCTTTTATGATTTGTACGCGGAAGCATCAGTCATGCAGAATATTTTGTAGCATCTTGATGCGCAAGGATTGGATGGAATGACTCCTCTCACAAAATGTTTACCTGTGCGGAAATATGGTTTTAAAGTGAGAAGCTCAAAACAGTGCATAAGTAGATCGTAAAGTTAAGAGTGTGTTTCAGACTTTCCTGATGCCCGTATTGTGATTTTTAAGCCATTCTCCATTAGAAGCAACTCTTCTTTTTGCTTTAGCTGAAGTTTGCAACAGTCCCTTTTTAAATTTTTCCTCTTTGCTGGTAGGAGAGCCGCAAAAATTAGGCCAGGTTCCAAGTATTTCTCATTAGAGTGCAGAGGGACATGGAACACACAATTTGAGAATATTCTAATTTCTTTTAAACAAGGCCTGAAACAGAGAGTATCAAATTCTGTGGTGCAATTGTCGTGGCGCACCCAGCTGAGAAAGGTTTTTTTAAAAGTTCCTGAGGGACTCTCTTAGGGTCTGAAGGACGTTCTTTTTTTTTAAAAACAAAAATAAATTAGTTAGTAATTCTGTATCTCGATTAGTGACTTTCAAACTTCCTGTCAATCTTTATTTTTTAAATGCAAAATTAGTTGACGTCAGCTCTTCAAAAATAATTTTTCTTCCTCATGCAAAGAAAATTGTCCGAAAGTTTCGAGATTTAATGTTTATTTGTTCTCTTTTCAAGAAATGAAATGGGAGCGGAGATTTTTAAACTCTGCAAACAAGAAACTTGGTTCATTAGTCTCTCCGTTGATATCTGATTTGAACTGCTTCTTGTTAAAATTTTTTGTCCGGTGAAAGAAAGTTAGAGGTGTCGTCAGCTATGTTGATGGTTGTTTACTTTCGATTTGCAAGCATTTCTGCGTCACTATCTACATGAAAACATCTGACTCTCGCAGAATAAAGAACACAAGCTTAGATAAGCTTTTTAATACTTTCAAACCTTGTAACACTTTAATTTTTAGCCACACAGAAATCACAACCACATAAAAGTCGCGTATCATGAGTAGTTTTTTTTATGATACAATCATGAGGCAAATGTTCCCAAGGTGGATAGTAGGAAACGCCGCTCTGTGCAGAGGCCCGAATTTGCCGTTGGCAAACCAAAAGTAAACAACCGTCAACTTAGCTAACGACACCTCTATGAAGTTCAAATTGGAATGTCTTTCCTGTACGTCATCTGCTGCATCAAAAGAGAAAATTCGAAGCAATTTTGGTTTTTTTTTCAGGTTGACATTACTGCAGCCATTGGAATGGTCATGAGTGTCAAGGATGAAAATGAAGTTGCAATCATCAAGAAAGCCTCGCAAGTCTCTTGTGACCTTTTCACAAAATATTTGAAGGATGAAATTATGGATATAATTGATGCAGACAAGGTAGGTTTTCCATTTTATTGATTGTCGAGTCTCTTGTGTTTTTCTTCTCAGGCTTTGGCCTATTAACAGCTTATCTGATCTTTTGAAAGCTGCCTCCTATTTTGAGTGTCTGAAACCTTCCAGCATCTGAATTAAAAAATAAAGAAAATCTAGACAATGAGGTAGGAGTGCGAATAGTTCCAAGTCTTAGTAATGGACCTGTTTTAAACTTTTGATAGAGCAAAATTAATAGTTGTTACTTATTGGAAGTGTCTCAAGAATCACAATGAGCGCATTGGCAAAGTCTGAAATGGACACCTTACTTCACAATTTGCGTAAGAACTTTGCATTTTTTCGAGCTTCCTGCTTTAAAAACGATAACACAGCTCAGATGGACATTTTGTTAGAGGAGTCATTCCATCTAATTCCTGCACACAAGGATACTACGCAATATTCAACAAAGCCGATGCCAATCCACCAAAACACATGTGACAGGACAATGATTCTAATCACCTGTTAACAATCGGCGTGTTTACATTCACATTTTTCTCACGTTGATAGATATCCACCTTGATTGACCTTGTGCTCTCCTCAACTTGCGCGCGGAAGCATCGGCCATGTTAAGCAGGGATTGAATGAAACGACTCCTCTGACGAAATGTTCATCTGTGCTGTAGTATTCTTTTTGAAGCGGGAATCTTAAAAAAACGCAAATTTCTTACGCAGATTGTAAAGTTAGGAGTGCATTTCAGAGTTTGCCGATGCGCTCATTGTGATTATTGAGACATAATTTATAAGGAACGACTCCTCTTTTTGCTCTAGCAAAAGTTTGCAACAGGCCCATTTTCAAGGAGGCCTCCACAGTTGTCTTGATTGCGCTGGACTTTTTCAGGAAGGTCGGCAAAACGCAATGATTAACATGCTAACCGCCACAGCATTTTTAGGAGTTTGTCCTGCTGCGCCATGCTTGACCGACAGGACCGGCACTTGTGGAAGCCATTCTTAAATAATTTCTGCTGAGTGGAGAAAGTACTTTACCATTGCATGAATGAGCCTAATGTTAAACCCGCGTCTTAGAAGTAGCGCTACAGCTGCCTCAGAGTGCCATCTGTCATATTTGATTATTGTTGGCGCCTCTCAATTTGCCGTGAATTATAAGGCTAACCATGGTGCAGTAGGACCAACTATTTCCGCTCTTTAGAACTCAGTGCGGCAATTAACGTGTAAACGTTTTATTAGATTTGCAATTCTTTTTCAGATATTTGCACAGATCAGGTTATTTACAGGAGACGAAAATTGCCAATCTTAAAGGAAATGAAGCCTGTCAATGTACGCAATTTTCAGAACATGTCCACACTTTGGTCTCGACTGGCCTGTCATGGGGTCGAGAACCATCAGCACCGCTGTAATAGGCACTGACTTTTGAGCAAGAACTCATTTATCAATATAATCCTCCATGAGACTCTTATTTTGCTCAATGATGCTAGTCTCATTACCTAATACCCTTCATACTCTTTCCAGTTTATTCATTTTGGTCCCTTATCCTATTCAGATCAACGTTGAATGATTGATTAAATTGTCAGATTCATTTGAGTGTGAGAAGTTTCTTTTGTACTCAGGTTTCATCGCAATTTGGATTTTTGTGTATAAATTGACAAAATAGCCTGCATCCTATTTTTAATTTTTCTTTTCCTGATAAAATATGTGTTTCATCATATTTAAACCAACAATAATTCATTTGACCGGTCTATTTATTTTGGTTGCAGAAAGTTCGCCATGACAAGCTTGCATCAGGTGTGGAATCAGCCATTGCAGACAAAAAATACATCGGCTCCATTGACCCAAGTCAACTAGATATGTGCTATCCTGCCATCATTCAAAGTGGAGGAAACTATAGTTTGAAATTCAGTGCATCAAGGTATTAAAACTCTAAATTAGATCTCTGTGGCTCAGACAATTAATAACACCAGTCAATCAAGATTCATATGGATGGCTAAATACGTACATAAAATGCCCATCTCAATTTCAACGTTATAAAATCTCCAATTATATTTTATTCTCTTCCAAAGAAACTGATCAAAATGCTTCCTTGCAATTTCGACAGATTTTTCAGAATGAGTGAAGAAAATCCACAGAAAATTAAAATCAAACTTGTTGATCAGTTTCCCTGCAAAAGAACGGAGCATGAGCAGAAGCTTACATACAACATTATAATCTGATATTCTCAAACACATCTTTTGACTTCAGCAACCAATATTTGAGTCCTTCTCAAGTGCAGTGTAGTCTTGTAAAAAATATGGTAGTTCACAATTCTAGATTGCCCATAGGAAAGGAATGGTCAATTCAAATAGCCATGTTGATCCTCCCTCCTTAAAATATGTCGACTGTGTTTTCACAAGTTGATTATGCAAATGCAATCACAATCTAGCAAAAGAATTCTTTGGGTGCAATTCCAGGATTGATATCAAGTGACCTTTTTGTGAGGATCCCATATCTTGTATTGAACTAACATGATTAAAAATTTCCCAGCTTATTTCTTATCTTTCAATTTTTATTTTTATTATTTTTTGCCTCCACTATATTTTTAAGCCATTCTTAAAAATTAGACAACTCCTCAAGAATTTGTTTACGACTGAGGAGTGGCTGAGTAATAGACCATTCGTAAAATGTGTAATGCTAACTTTCAAATTTTTCGGCACTCCTCCCTCCCCCCTCGAAACATTTTTGCGGCATAGGTCCCCATACTTTAAAATGCAGTAACACAATGGTGAAATACTCACCTCATTTTAACGAGATTTATCGATATTTTTCTCTTTCTCTTGCATTGATGCATGACATATTAAGGAAATTCTTTTAAAACCTATGTAAGAGCTGTTTTAAAGAGCTCAATTTACTTTCCCCTCATATATGTGTTCAGTGATGTTTCACCTAAGTTTCCTCTAATAATGTTCCGTTTTCAATTATAGTGACAAAAACAATCTTCACTTTGGCGTCATTGTTTGCTCTGTTGGGGCAAGGTACAAGTCTTACTGTTCAAACATAGTGAGAACATTATTAGTCAATCCCACCTCAGAAATAAAGGTTCGTAATTTTCTCTACTTTGAAGTTCTTTTGAATGTGACATGATCTACATGAACCTAATGAACTTTCCAAAACTGGCACAAGTGAACTTGGTATTGATTAAAGAAGTCAATTTTACGAAGTTAGCTTCTTTATTAAAAGTAAAATGAAAAACCGTTCAGTTGCGATAGTTGCAGAGTCACATTTTGATGGTTTAAGCTTGTATATTGGAGGAAAAAAAAGAAAAAAAATTTATCGATTGATTCAGGCACCTAGTTTCTTTGTGCAGTATCAATAGAGATTTCAAGCTTCGAAAAACATGGTGTGTACCGATACTCACATTTGCACTGATTGCTCCTCTTAAAACGAGTATAAACCAAAGTGGAAGAAACTACAGTATGATATGCACCACCGTTGTACACCCTGTCTTATGAATGGTGATATCTCCTCAAGTATTGGATTTAAAATCTCTGTATTTGGAGAGATCTTTCTATTTTTTGCTGAGCTATATTCTAAAATTATCAAAGCACGATTCTCTGACTAACCCAATCGACCTATTGTAAATGGTTTCGGAAAGGCTTAAAATGCAGAACTCCATTGCAACGTTGAAAAATTTCCAATTGAGTTTTATTTTTTAGAAGAAAAAACTAACTGAAATTTTCTGGGAAATCCTCTCCAGATGAAGAAACTTCTCTGAAAACATAAGGAAAATTGTCAATTATTTCTCTGTAGAAAAATTAAATGAAGGCTATCGGAAATCCAAATTGTTTTGCCTTAGCCAACAATTTACATAAGCATAATAAAGCCTTCTTTCAATCACTGGCCAACAAAACTGTCACCCAATTGAATCCAGGTTTGCTGCGATGACGTTATTCCTAAAAAAAATATATTGGTAGTTTAGGAATTTTAATGAGTCCGTAGAAAATTGTCAGAACATTGAAAAAGTCATAAAATCAAAAGTTGTTACATTGAGGTTTTATTATATATTGTCTTTACTTGCCGTATCAAAAAAAAAATTATCATTCTTAACAGTGTGACCAGCACTTAATATCGTCAATTTATTTTGTTTGTGGTTCTTGTTTATGAATTGTTAAGTATCAATACCTGTAGTATGGACATTGGAAAATGGGACACAAGAAAGCGTGTCAGATAAATTGACAGTTGTTTACTTTTTGATTATCAGTGCTGTCACTTCCTTGCCTTAAGTTCTGAGGATTCTTGTCACCCTCTTCACCATTTAAATGTTTAATATCCAGGCATAGGCTATCAGCTATTTTGAGCTGAACAAGAGTTTAATCGTTAAAAAGGCTTATGTCAACTGCTCTTTCATTCGAGTCCAGTTAATGTCCGTTCCTTGATGTGTGGTCAGCAAGTAGAATGAGCAGAAAATGCTATCTTTACACTGCTGTCCACCCGAGCAGATTTTCAATTAAAATGTGGGTCCTTATCAAACTAATATTTTGCTCGCCTGACAATATGGCGTTACTACTCGTTAAGATGAGCTAAGAAAAGCATTGAGTAGTATGGATGGTGAAGCTCATTGTAAAATGTAAATGCACCCCTAAGTCAGGAAGGCAACGAATTCAATGATTTTGAGTCTGTTTTTGTTTCAGGATAATTACGTTTTCCTGTGTGATCTGTTTGAAAAACTGCTGACTGTACTCCAAGCTGGCACAAAACTTTGTGATGTATATGAAGCAGGAGTCAGTTTTGCTAAAGAAACAAAACCTGACTTTGTGGATCACCTCACTAAAAATTTTGGGTAAGTCTCTTTGGGCCTATTTATTGACTTCTAACGTTAATGAAAAGAGGACTAATTTTCTTCGCCAGACAAATGTATCATTTAATTTTTGGACTACCCAAAGAGCGACGCCAAGAATGGCACAATTTGGGCCAGCGGGGATTTTTCTGAAACCGAGCCCAAACGATACCTTATGATACCCTAAAACTCTGGTTAAAATTTTAGCTTGAGTATACGCACGATTTTTGAGGAATGAGGAAAAAAGAGCAATGAGGAGCAAAGTTGCCAAATCGCCATCATTCTGGACAGCATTTCTACAGCGAAAAGACAGGGAAAATGGACGAAAAAGTTACACCTTTGATGGGTTTCGGCTGTAATTGTTCTTATTGGGCCCCCAAGCATTTAACTGTGTTCAGTTTCAAAAATGTTGGTCGCACAGTGGTCCAAAATGGGGAGAAATCGTCGACAAATCAGGATTCTTTGTCAAATTTTTAAAAATTTATGTTAAATTGTAGGTCGGCTGCAGTTTTCATGGCTAACAATGTTCTTATTGGTCCTCAATGCATGAAATTGTGTTCAGCTTCACAAATTTACATCGCACTGTGGTCAAAAATGAGGGAATTAGTGGACAAATTAAGATCCTCTGTGAAACTTTTTAAAAATGAAGTGAAACTGTTGGTTCCCTGTAGAGTTTAGATCCCGAAAAAATTCATGTATTCAATTTTTTTAATTATTACTGCATGTCAGACCGTATTGTTTATAGAACGTTGTTTTAGAATAGACTTTTTAGCATTAACTCAATAAAATATGCAAACCTTCAGAAATTTAAAAGAAAGAAGGAAAAATGGAGAGAAAAACTTAATAAAAGATTTAAACAGTCCAAAAAAGAATTTAAAGCATTTTTCCGGGATCTAAACTCTACTGGGGACCAACAGTTTCACTTCATTTTTAAAAGTTTCACAGAGGATCTTAATTTGTCCACTAATTCCCTCATTTTTGACCACTGTGCGATGTAAATTTGTGAAGCTGAACACAATTTCATGCATTGAGGACCGATAAGAACATTGTTAGCCATGAAAACTGCAGCAGACCGACAATTTTATAAAATTTTTAAAAATTTGACAAAGAATCCTGATTTGTCGACGATTTCTCCCCATTTTGGACCACTGTGCGACCAACATTTTTGAAACTGAACACAGTTAAATGCTTGGGGGCCCAATAAGAACAAATACAGCCAAAACCCACCAAAGGTGTAACTTTTTCGTCTATTTTCCCTGTCTTTTCGCTGTAGAAATGCTGTCCAGAATGATGGCGATTTGGCAACTTTGCTCCCTCATTTCTCAAAAATCGTGCGTATACTCAAGCTAAAATTTTAACCAGAGTTTTAGGGTATCATAAGGTATCGTTTGGGCCCGGTTTCAGAAAAATCCCCGCTGGCCCAAATGCGTGATTAAAATGTTTGATACTTCATATTGCCACCAAAATGACTGTTGGGCGTAATAGTGGCCTATAAACCGCTTTTTTAAATTAAATTTATTAGAGTGTAAACCCAAAATGTATCGCAAAATCTACCCTGCATCCTTCAATAGAAGGGTTAGGTCACCCAAAAACACCAAAACAGGGTACCTGCATAGAAAAGTCTGCGCAGTACATCAAAAACAAAACTTTAAATGCGTTTTTTTCAAACGCGGTTATAGGCTGTTCTTGGTGCGGTGTCCTCAATTAATGTGGCAAAAACATAGACTTTAAACACCTTTAATGCCTTCAGAACTCGCCTGAAAAAGCTGGAGTAAAATTGTCTGTTTATTAAAGTTATCGTTGAAAAGCCTTTGTCCTGTTCATCCATGATGAATGACTGTCTTAGTCATTGAGGGAGAAAAACAAACAAAAAAAACCTCTTATACAAGGCTCATCAGTGCATTAAAACTTGATCATCGTAACAAATTTATGAATTACAGTGCAAATTGGTGTCAAGTCAAAGCAATATCCTCCCTTTTCTAATAAAATCATTTTTAAGGTGCTCGATGGACGGGGTGAGGAAGGGGAGTAAGACTGTCGATAGGCAGTAGTGAGAAAGGGGAATTCAAAGGTCAGAGTTTTAATAGAGTGGGTCCTTACTTTCAGAGGCCTTTGTTTGGTCATAGACAGCTATGTGGCCCTAGAGTACCTTTATAGACAGAGTATGGCCATTTCTGTTCCGGTTTTTCATTGGTCGCGAGCGAATAGGCTGACTTGATGCTCTTAGGGCCGTAAATAAACAAACAAGATGGCTGTTATCAGCAAGCAAGATTGAGGTTATGCACATCTTTCATCCTCCTGTGATAAAGGTGAAAGGCGATTTAACAATGTTTTAATGTGTTTTTCGTGTGTTATTTGTAGATATGCTAGTTTAAAATGTTACTGCCGTATAATTGACATTTTTGTCAAATTTACCTTCTTATCGATGTTACGGTGAGCCGCCATCTTGTTTGTTTATTTACGGCCCTAAGAGCATCATGAAGCCTAAAAACTCGTTTACCAATCAAAAAGCGGAACAGTTTTCCTGTAGTAAAAAGATACGAATGGCCATACTCTGTCTATAAAGGTACTCTATGTGGCCCTGTCCAGCTTGACTTCCAAAAAATGAATCAAAATTCAGAGTATGGAGAAGGTCTTTAAGAAAATTGTTTGGCGGGAAATTTTTCTTTGAAACATCGTTTTATTATTCAATCAAAATTATTTGCTCAATAACCGCCAACAGGCAATTCCGACTATCTCGCCCCCAAAGGCCGCTTGGGGCCCACAGGGCCCGCAGGTTTGGCCGTGTAGCGGCCAGGAGGCAGAACCCCCTACTTTTTTAAGTATTGATAAAATATCACTAGTGGTAAAGGTATTGAAAGTGCGTAGAATGGTCCCCATGTCTTGGAATGAGTGACACTTGCTCAGTCCTGACCTGCCGTCAAGATCATGAGTTCAGCTTGGTAGATAAAAGGAGAAAGTTTATTTTACCCAATAAAGCTGCTATTTATTCACTCATGCTTGAATTAGAAATTTATCTTTTTGCAGCTTTGCCATGGGTATTGAATTTCGTGAAAGCTCGCTGCTGATTGCTCCAAAAACGACAACACCTGCTCGCAAAAATCAGATTTACAATCTCAACGTGGGCCTTGCTGGGCTCGCCAACAAAGAAGCCTCTGACAAAGAGGGGAAAACTTATGCTTTCTTCATCGGTGACACAGTTTTGGTGAATGAGGTGAGTTGGCATCAAACAAGGAAGAATCCATCCTCAAAGCATCGTTATAAGGACGTATTTATGCTAAAAGGAACTATGTCTAACGCAAGCCCTATGCTTATAGTTCCTTTTAGCATAAATACGTTCATATGTACTGACACATGTTTAACTATCCAGAATCAGTTGATGATTTCAGGAAGGAGCCAAAAATGGGTCTATGGAAAAACTAAAGATCTCGTCCATGTCAGACATTGCTAGAAAATTCTACCACAAAATATAGTCTTCTTATTGTATTTTAATTGTTGAATTTTTGCATTTATTCAAGATGCAAGGTATTTTCCTTTCAGACTCATAATTTTCAGTTTTTTTTCAAATTTATAATGAAAGCCCTTTAATGTAAAGAATGTGAACACAGGAATAGCAATGTTCACTTCTTTAGATCCAAGGATCCTTTTTCGAGGGTTTTTTTTCTTTCTTCCTTTGCAAATGCTCCTATAAGTCAACTTAATTGTTTTGAAAAACAAAAAGTTCACCTCTAACAATAACTTGGGTATTGTTGTTTTTGATCTGAAAAACCTTCATTTTGTTCGTATATTCTAACCAAGGTTTAATCAAGGCTACCAATTATTAACTGCAGTTTCTTATAGGGTAGCAGCCACCGATTTTTTTTTGTTCCGATTATCTTGGCATGCAACAAAAAATTTCAGTTGAAGAGAGGCTGGTGTGGACTGACTAAATAAGCCAGCTGACAGCATCACCACAGGTTTTCTCCAATCATGTCCATCAAGTGGGCGAAAATTTGGTGACTGATATATCCAGTAAAAAATTGCTGTTCGTATAATATTCTTTTGCTATTTTTTCATACCCTATTGTGTAATTTCATGATTTTTCTATTTTTGCAGAATGCTCCTGCAACTCTTCTCACTGCCAGTGCTAAGAAAAAGCAGAAAAGTGTCACCCTTGAGGTAAAAGATGAGAATGATGAAGAAGAAGATGAGGAGGAAGAGAACAAAGAAAATAAGCCGAAGCAAGATGCACCAATTACAGGACGCGGAAAACGCTCTGCAGTTCTCGATCAAAAGCTTAGGATGGATTCCTCCAATGAAGCTAAGAGAAAAGAGCATCAAAAAGCTCTTGGTATTGCCTTAAATGAGAAGGCCAAACAGAGGCTCGCAGCTCAGTCTGGTGGCAAACAAGAAGAGAGAGTACGCAAGTCAAATGTATCCTACAAGAATCGTGATCAGTTTCCCAGGAATAGTGAAATTAAATCCTTAAAAATTTTTGTAGATAGTCAGTATGAAACTGTAGTATTGCCAATTCATGGCATACCAGTTCCATTCCACATTTCCACCATCAAGAATATCTCTCAGAGCGTAGAAGGTGACTATACCTATCTCCGAGTGAATTTCTTTCATTTGGCACCTCCAAGCGGCCGTGGTGACAGCTCTAGTATCCCACAGCCAGATTCTATATTTGTGAAAGAAGTAACCTATCGTAGTACAAATATACGTCAACCTGGCGAGGCTATTGCGCCATCCTCCAATTTGAATACTGCATTCCGTCTGATAAAAGAAGTACAAAAGAAATTCAAAACACGAGAAGCAGAAGAAAAAGAGAAAGAAGACCTTGTCAAACAAGACTCGTTAGTTCTATCTCAAAGCAAAGGAAATCCTAAACTAAAAGGCTTGTTCATCCGGCCCAACATTGTCAATAAAAGAATGTCGGGAACTTTGGAAGCACATGTAAATGGTTTTCGCTACACATCGTTGCGTGGAGACAAGGTTGACATCCTGTACAACAACATAAAGCATGCGTTCTTCCAGCCATGCGATGGGGAAATGATAATTCTTCTTCACTTCCACCTGAAAAACGCCATCATGTTTGGCAAAAAGAAGCACTTAGATGTACAATTCTACACTGAGGTTGGAGAGATCACGACAGATTTAGGTAAACATCAACACATGCATGATCGTGATGATTTGGCGGCTGAACAAAGTGAGCGTGAACTCCGCCACAAATTAAAAGCAGCTTTCAAAAGTTTCTGCGAAAAGGTAGAATCTGCGACAAAACAAGAAATAGAATTCGAAACACCATTCAGAGAACTTGGCTTTTTGGGTGCTCCCTTCAGAAGCACTGTTTTACTTCAACCTACAGCCGGATGTTTGATCAATTTAACAGAATGGCCTCCGTTTGTCGTGACCCTTGAAGATATCGAGTTGGTTCATTTTGAGCGAGTCCAATTTCAGCTCAAAAACTTTGACATGGTATTCGTTTTCAAAGACTACCATCATAAAGTAGCCATGGTAAGCGCTATACCAATGAACCTTCTGGATCATGTCAAAGAGTGGCTTAACTCATGCGATATAAGATACACTGAAGGAGTTCAAACATTGAACTGGGCAAAAATTTTAAAGACGATCATTGATGACCCAGAATCATTCTTCGAAACTGGTGGATGGACTTTCCTCGATCCGGAGTCGGATGATGAAGCTGAAGCAGAAGACGAGGAGGAAGAAGAGGATGATGCATACGAGCCTACTGATTTGGACGATGATGATGAGGAGTCGGACGAAGACTCAGACTATTCGGAAGTTTCAGAAGATGACGATGATGACAGTGAGGAAGAGCTAGGCAGTTCAGACGAATCAGGGAAAGACTGGTCTGATCTCGAGCGAGAAGCTGCTGAGGAAGATAAGGAGAAGATGGACTTTGAGGATGAATACTCATCCTCCAAGAAAGGAGGCCGCCACGGACACCACAAGAGCAGCAAAGGCAGCAGCAGTAGCAGTCGTCACCACAGCAGCAGCCACAAATCCTCCCACTCATCTTCGCACAAGAGTCCAAGCAAATCCTCATCAAGTCACCGTCATTCATCATCATCAAGCAAAAGCAAGTCATCCAGTCATCATTCCTCATCAAGCAAGAGTCCTAGTAAATCTTCCAGTCATCACTCATCCTCATCCAGCAAAGACAGGAAGCGTAGCCATGATGACAAGAGTCACAAGCATGGAAGCTCTCCAAAAAAATCCAGGTGAGCATCTCAGCTTCCTGATTTCTCTCAACTCAAGAACTCCGTACCTCATGAAAATCACCTCTCTCAAATTATTTTTTTTTTGTTTTAATTGGTTTTTCAATATTGAATATAAGGCATCATGTGGATCGCATTAAGGATAAAGGAACCAGCGCAATTACAGTGTTGTAAAAATATTGCTCATTCATGGTTATTTACCAAATCTCCCTGAGTAGCAAATGGTATTGTTTTTCCACCAAAAACTCGTAAATTTTGAAGGAAAATAATTGTATAAATTTTAATACTGTACGTACATTAAGTATTTCTAAAAGAAAAGGAGCAGTTTTGAAAACACTGCAATCGCGCTGGTTCCTTTTTGCTAAATGCGATCCATGTAGAAAGTGGGTTGAAAAAGGATTGAACATGTATTATAAAAACAGATCCTTGCAAAAAAATCTAATGATATTGCCAACTGGTTGATGGAAATGTTGGACCTTTTTACGAATTTGAAGCTAAGAATTTGAGGATCAAAATTAATTCAATACCTTTGCTCTCGATGCCCCAGAGGTTTAAGAGGTAGTCATGTGGCGATGGAAGGTTGTCACGGTAAAATGAATTTTTTTCCAAACTTCCTGACTAATTTCACCAACTTTGACTTTTTTAAGCTGGAAGCATGCATCATAATTTTGTTTTGAATGATAGATCTTTCAAAATTAAAAAAATCTCAATTTTAATTAATTTATCTTCTCATCTTCTAATGGCATAATTCTTCCCTGAAGGACTACGCAAGGACTATGAAGAAACTCAGTGCCAGCTAAATTTTGTGATTGTTTTTTATGCTGTTCCTTACAGTATCCTAAGCAATGTGAGCTTTTGAAATTGAACTCTCTTTGTGTCAACATTGAGAAAATCTAGTCTGATATGTGCATTTTTTGGCAGTTTTACACTCATTATCAAAAGGGAAGTGTAGGTGAGTGAGAGGGGAGCTCCTCTTTCCTTATCTTGCACCGCCCAGGAAAATTAGACACGCCAAACTCAGTTCCAAACAAAAGGCTTTGCATCTTTAACTCAGTAGCAGTACCTTTTCTCAGCAAGATAATACATGTTGTATTCACAAGAAATCCTCTTATCAGACCCAATTCTCTCGAGTTAAGCACATAAGAAGTTTGATTTTAAACACTCATCTCACTCATGAGATCAGCTAGGACGGAATTTCTCGGTATGCCTTTAGGAGAACAACTACTTTATATAAAAAAAAAGAATAATTTAAAAAATTACTATTTTCTGGCCAAGTTGTGCTTGCCCTCTGTGGAGACGTACTTAAATTGATTTTTACTTTCATTTAAGTAACTTTCTTTGATTAATTTTCTGTTTTTTTCTTTTTCAGGAAATAGGTAAATGGCCCAGCGTCTGGATGTTAATTTATTACTACACTCATGGCTCCTGCTATTTTTCTCTCTTCTCTTTTGTAATATTTTTAAAGTTTTATACCCATTAATTTAAAAGTATCATGTTATCTAGAGCTCGACATCTATGTTCAATATATTACTATTACTATTAGAAATTGTGTCACTTATATGTTCCATTCAGAAAATTAGTGTCAGCATTTGCAATTAAGGCTCTTTCTTACAATTTTTCCCCCTAAGTTAGTGTTCGTTTTTCAACTGTATTTCCGTTAATGTACATTTTTCTTTCTTCCATATTCTTTTAAGTATTTAAATCTAAATTTTGTCTGAGCAGCATAGTCAGAATGGCATTTAGTTTTTCTGAAGACATGGGACTGAAGCAAAAATTGTTCACCCCCCCCCCCCCCCCAAAGTACCAGTTTAATTTACACTCTAACTCAAGTGCGTGTTTGGAAAATTCAGAGTTGTAAATTATAATTCTGTTCTCTGAAAGTATCAAATTATTGTTACTTTTATTAAGCACTAGTCATGCGCTGTCAGTTGGCTTAAAGTTAAGGATGGAAGTGAAAGTCTACAATCTCTAACTGATGAAGGCTGAACAGTGAATGACACCGGTGAATAACGGGAATTGTTAATCTGTTTTCATCCCATTTTGTTTTTATGAATGCTTTGATTCAAAATTCTCAATTTACTAAATGTTTCCTGCACTTATTAATCCCCCCCCCCCTTCCTTTCTTGTGTGACTTGAAATGATCTTAGTCAAGCTTTTATCACATGTTTCTCTGTTGAATTTCATGAAAAGTACTGTGAAAAGTTTCATCTTTTGCATTCAACAACACTTAAAATACAGATTTTGTATCACGCAAAAATTTCCTTTTCTTCACTCTGCCGAAAGGTCAGAAGTAGCTGTTGAGCCAAACTTTTCAAAAATTATCCAGCTCCTCTATTTTTTCTCATTTTTTGACATTAAAAAAAATGGAAGAAAAAAAGTAATAAGTTTTTATTGGAAAGTTCCCTCCACAGCTCTTCGCCTATGAGATAGAAGGTGAGATGTGCACCAATCTTCACAGCTAAGGCTGCTGTCGCACTCGAAGACAGCTTGCGAGCAAATGAAAATAAATGAGTAAAATGCCTCCGTCTCTCTTGTCTGGTTGATGTAAAGGTTTGCAAAAAATTGTGCGTAACTAATGGATAAAAATAGTTCTGTCTCATTGCCAATTGATTGGGCTAAAGAGAAGACCACAGGTTGCTGTCCCACCAGGAGAGAAATGAAGTGGGGGGCTCACAGCATACCACCTCTCCTCTGAGGTTCCTTGCACTGTCCTATTATTAGTCACTCTTTCAAATGAACTATTGCCAATATCGTTTCTGGAGCAGATTGGGCCATCATCATTTTAAGTGCTGAGTAAACTTGCACTACTTTATCAAGTTGATGACCCACTATGTTCCAGTTAGGATCAGTCTTTAGATGTGCAACGCAACCGACAATAAGACAGGAGAATGTCATCACCTTGGCATAAAAAGAATTTAGTAAACTATATTATTTACTTACCTGAAGCTTGACAAAAATTTTGATGATTTCGACCTTCTACCTCAAGCATAACTTTCAGAGGCTTCGTTCTGAATGATAGCAGCTATCCAAAAAATGGAAACTTAAACAAAGCGGTGATTTATCAGCACTGCCTGGCAACAATGTGCTGCAGTCACTCCTAGTGTCCTCTGTGAGTTTCAGGTGACAAGTAGGAAACTCGCAAGTTTTCTTTAGGCAGTGACTACAGTAATGTCGGGAATTCTAATGAAGCAGTTTTTGCATTAGTAAATTCAAAATTTGAATCAGCTGAGGGCTCTGCATATCCCATCATTTCCCAGATGCAGGAATGTGACTTCGTTCTGAGGTTACAAAATTAATTCAAATGATCCAATTCATATCAAGAGACAAACCAAGCAATTCGGTTTGAAAGACCAAATTTTGTGATATTAAAAGAACAATTAGTAAACTTTTCGGGTTGAAGTACCCCAAGTTTCCTGCTAAAAATGCTTATGGGTGGAAAATTTGGGAAGTTCAAATGCAGTTACATTTATCATCTAGGTAACGATGATAATGAGTATCAGATCTCATGTACAACTCAAAAAACTCTTACTTTCTCTCACTAAAAGGTATTTTACATATTCACATGCCTTAGAATGATCATGTACCAGAGAAATAAGAATAAATACTTTATTTCATAACAGACTTATGGCTGAAGACTTCTACTTTCTAGTGGCATTGCTAAGAAGAAGATTTCAGGAATAAGAATTGTTGGTTTAAATATTGCAAAGAGAATTCAGTTTAGCAGCGGAACCACAGACATAACTTCGCTGCCAAAATAAAGCACTAGGTTATTTGCTGCTAGGATTGCCTGAGAGGACATGTGGAAAATAAATAATTTAAACGCGATTTTAAAAAATTGATTCATTTTGTGTGGAAAACTTGTTTAACTTTAAGAGTCCTCGACTTGATAGAGGTAGTTGCGAAGCCTTAGCAGCATCGAAGTGTTTTTGGTTCCTTTCTACTGAACTAGGTCGCATTGTATGCTCAGAATTATGAGATCAAAGAAAACAATTTTTCAATCAAATAAGAGGTCCCTTAGTGATAAATGGTACGGTTGAAGGTGAAAAAAGTGGTCACTTAGACAACATATTTAATGATTGGTTGCTCCAAATGAAAATAAATAATTTGTTCTCAAACAATGCAAAAAATGTTCTACAAACACCTCAACTTGTTGAAAGGATGACTTCCTTTATTATTCATCATTTATTTTTGAAAAATGGTTCCTCATCTTAAGTCTTCGCCTCGAATTTATATTCATACACTTTTCAACAGTGCAGATTTCACATATTCCTTCTTATTATGAGGACTTCATTTTGCGATGAGGATAACTACAGTTTCTGATTGGTTTGTGAAAGCGCTTATTTACATAGGAAGAGTAATGTCACACTCGCTGTTTCATAAGTGAGCCGGCAATAGTGCTTTCCCAACAACTAAATGCAGTCTAATTAGAGGTGCATGTATGATGTTGATTCACTATGTTGACCGAGTAAGTCAGCAACCACATAACTCGGTTTGTGACATCGCAGACTTCCAGTCATACTTTATTTGTAAAACTGAAAACTACTCAATGGAAATTCTTTTAAACTGCTGTGATTTTTCTGCTCTGTGCGAAAAAAATTCTGCAAAAACTTGAAGGAATGATGTCAATTTGTTCTCCTTGAAAAAAATAGCATAGAGGCTGAGTTCTCCAGGCACCACAAACGAGATATGTGATTACGGATTTATGCCCTCGATATGATAGGTATCAAAGCCCAAAACTTAGAAAAGTTGTAAGAAAAACTTATGGTTTGTTTCTTTTAAATGGAAAAGGACATGAGCAGAGATTGGCGACGCCCCAATCAAAGATACGCAATCTTCAACTTGAACCGTTGATATGAGAATTGAACAGCTCAGTTGGGAATGCTGATGACTGATTCACACTAGCCCTTCATATTTGCATCTGTTACTCCAGCTAAGAAAAAATTGAACGATGGAGATGTTGCATGTGAGAGGAATTTGTGATTTGACTATTGATTCTTACGTAAAAGTTGGCGAGAAACACGATGGTTCACTGGTTTTCTCTGAGACCAACTCCCAAGCTCAAAGAAAGCTCTTAAGTTGAAGCCAAAATGGAGGGGATATCCCACGCTATCCTGAGAGTCCACCTCTACATCAAGACGAACTCTCCATGCAAAGATAGGGAGCAAATACATTAGCAGGGATGCCGTGTTTACAGTTTTCAAGTCCCCAAATAAAGTGGCAGCCCTGTCAATGTATTTGCTCCCTATCTTTGCATGGAGAGTTTGTCTTGATGTAGAGGTGGACTCTCAGGATAGCGTGGGATATCCCCTCCATTTTGGCCTCAGCTTGAGAGCTTTTTGTGAGCTTGGGAGTTGATTTTGGAGAAAAACAGTGGCACCATTGTGTTTCTTGCAAACTTTTACCAAAGATTCCACAGTCAAATCGCAAATTCCTCACACATGCAACATCTCCGTTCACTTATAATATCTATGTTATTGTGAGATTCAACTGTATTCTATTGAACTGCCTGAACTCTAAAAGAAACACTAAAATGACAAATGCAGCGTTAGAGTAATTAAAGTTTAATAATGAAAATATTTACACAATGGAAACAGTAAAGGAGAATTTCTAAAGCTATTGCTTAAAGAAATGTCAAATTTAGGTACTTGTTCACCAAGAAATTCGCTGTTACAAGATGTTAAAATTATTCGAATTCATTTGAGAATTATTCATAGAATAGAGGTGACAAAAAGTTACTATGAGCTTGAAAATTAAAATGTAACTAGGAAGAACCTAAATGCAAAGAGAATACAAAAAATTTTCCATCACAAACACTCACATAAAAGCTTCAGTGTACATTGGATCTGATTTTCAAACCTTCAGACCACAGAACAAAGGAAAAACAAACTAAAATAGGAAAAGTTGGAGAATAGAAAATATTGACATATCGATTGAAACCGGATAAATGATGGAAAAGTTAAAAATAGTGGAAAAATAAGAGGCTCATCGTGTATTGTTTACAGTTACTTCAGGAAAATCTGACAACCTGCACCGACCGCTTGATGAAATGCTGTGAGAGATGACCATACAAAAATAAAAGCGAGACATGAAACAAGTTGAAAGAAAACAGAACCCTGTTGCAGAGTCCTATTACTTCTCTTCGCACCACTCGTTTTCCTTGCGCACTTGCTCTTCTTCGCTGGGAGTGAAATCGTTCCTGATGTTGAACGTCTTGCGGATTTCCTCAGGAGCCTTGCCTTTGATCATGTTGGCTACAGTCTTGCATGTACAATCTAAGAGTCCTTTGATATCCAGATAGTTGGCGGCCAAAATTAATTCAAAGAGGGTACCTTGATCGACTTTCAGGAAATCTGCATCCCAACTGGATATATCATCTGTCCTCTTTTCCTTGTTCTCATCATCGTCGGGTGGAGGAGGGTCGTCCTTGTGGTATGTAGCCCATTGGATAACTTTTTTCAAAATAGCTGAGTTCACGTTAGGCAGGGGCACCACTTCTTCGTCATCTTCTTCCAAACCCAAGTCTTCAATCATGGTTTTAATCGTTACAGAAGATTTTGCAATTTCATAATCAACCACGAAAACCTCACCGTCAGAGCTCTGAAGCCTGATGTTCGGCATGTTGATTTTGAGATTTACACAAGTGATACGGTATTATTAAAATACAACACAAGACAGAGCTATAAGGAGAGCTCAGTAAGGTTTGAGTAAAGTCACTAGTCACTAGAATTCAGACAGGGCCACGGACGATTTCTAAGATTTCGACAAAAAAAGGCACGAGCCATGCATGATGCGAGGGACGCGAATCGCAATCGAGAAAAATGTAAGAAAACTTGCGAACTCAACGATTTCGATATGAAGAAGACAGAGGTTGACGGCGATGGCCGGCGATTGAAAGTGAGAACAGTATCTTGATGACGTAATTTCAAGAATTTTTTTTTCTAGGGCTCTTTCACCAATCATAGCTTATGATGCTACTGGATCACTAAATGACGTCATCAAAAGAGCACTATGCTTCCACCTCTTCTCTACCACAATTTAGTTATCACGAGTAAGGGCTAGGGGGGCAGAGAGAAGAGAAGGAGAAAGGACGCGGGAAAGCAGAGAGCGGCCCTATTTCCATGGAAATTTGAAAAAAGGGAGGGAAATATTTTGAGCGTCTCGCATTCCTACATAGCTGAAACTATTCTTAGAGAATTCATCGAGTGAAGTCTGAAATAAGATGGATTGAGAGTATCAATTGATGTCTTTCTACGGAATACAGATTCAATGAACATCTGCTCTAATTTACTATTGACTTAAATTAATTAACAACAGTATTCACATACTACCCTTGGCATAATGCCACATTGATCTTTAATGAGGCAGAGGGTTATCTTGCATTCCTAAATTAAGGTCTAGAAGGGCAAAAAACTTCAGGAAAAATCGAGAATTTCGTTCCAAAAACCGGGAATCTCCTCTTCTACAGCTGTATAATGACAGTTTTGAATCTTCAAATCATCAGAATTATAGAGAATGAATCAGTTTTTTACATGAGAGCGTTTAGTCCACTTAATGTTTCAAAATCGTCAAGGGCAGCTCAATAAAGATGGACAGCTCACAGTGGGGAAAATCTCCTTAGAAATTTCACTGAATTTAGTTTGTGGTAAAGGGAAAAGTTTCCATTTCTCAATTCCCAGGTAACTTTCTTAGTTGCGTCCATTCATACAAAAAGAAACTTGCCTTGGGCAACTTAGAAAAATTGGGATACGGCTGAACTCTCAAGAAAAGTTTGTTAATTTTTTTGATTTATAATACATGAAATTAATGTCAAAAATTATGGATAAGCGTACTTAAATTTTGGATCTGTAAACTTCTCAGGCTAGTTGCACTAGCGACTAAAAACTGAACTCATCGCTGACATCCTTGATAGCCAAACGGCGATAAATTAAGAAAAGAAGTACCTGAGTAGGTTAGGTTTCTTGGTAGATTTCTATCAACCAGCTGGACAGGACTAAAAATCATTTTAGTCTTCAGAAAATTTTAAACCATTTTTAATTGAAGCTTCCAGTGTATTACAATGATGAGCGACACTTTGGAGAAAAGATGAGATGCATGAAGGATTTTGAACAAATCTGCTCCCGACACGATTGGACCTCCAAAAGTCAATTTTAGCTCTACAGTTGCAATTTATGTCACAATCAATACATTGAATTGTTTTAGATGTAAATCGATATTAGTGGTTTTGGCATTACTTGATCCAGATGTTTAAAATTGAGGCACTGAATGTGAAAAGGGCACTTCTCGATTGCAGAGTTTCAGAATCTCTAATGCTAATTAATGCCTTGGAAAATAATTTAATGGGTGATTTTTCCCGAATTCCTTCCATAGAAAATTGTAGAGTCATGAGAAATATTCAGTAAAATTTTTAGTGAAATGGATAGATTCACTTCCCTTACCATGAATGAAATATCAGAGGAGACTCAGAAACACTGCAACCGAGAAGTGCCCTTATTGCATCCAATACCTCAATTGCAAAAATTTAAAAATTTTCAATTATCTAAATAATTGTAGTGATAGATTAACTAGACAGAGACTGCAATTTTGAAGTTATGTCATTGTTGGAAATCGTATAAATTACAGTTGTCTGGAAAAAAAGAAAAAAAAGGAGAGAGGAAAGAAACAATACTCATAGTGGAGGAAAATAATGAGCTTTTTACTATCCTTATAAGTATAAAATTCCCGTCAGCTTTCTACAGGATTTTAATAGAACAGTTTTGTCTTAAACAATAATGCTATTGGATTAAAACAGAGGAAAGTTTTCAAATTCTACAGGTGAAAAACTAGAAGGAACACATGAAAATTACTGGAGAAACTTAATTCAACGAGGTCTTGATAGGAAGGAGAGGAGAAAATAAAGACAGCAGTTATACGGAGATATCTAGTTAGTCTAAGAGTAGAAATAAAATGCAATTAAAAGCTACAGAATTTAAGATACTGTGAACAAAATGAATTAGATCTCTTAAGAAAACATGAGCTATTCAGTGCCACTGATTACTGTTATGACAATTCAGAGGTGGCTCATACAAACAGAATCAAAGACCACTTATTTATACTTCTTTGATCACTTTTTTTGCCCATCATAGATATTATGTATACCTCTCTTACTCCTTCCCACCAAAAATAAGTTCTCTTGATGGTCATTAATCTTTAAAAACACTCATATTTATCGAGTGATAAAAAATCAAAAATAAATTAAAATCAAGGGTAACGCAGATTCAGCCCATTCTCTGTCGAGCCAAATGAAATGCTTTGAAAGATAAAATTGCATCTATGTTGGAATGAAAATATTTCCATCATGATATTCATGTCTTTGTGCTAATTCCATAATGTGAACAAATGCCAAAAGTTGAATAAAATCCTCAAAATCTATTGCTTCAAATCCCTTAAAATATTCTTTAAAGAGAGGTTGTTTGGTCACTGCCACTTAAAAAAATTTCACTTTAAAAGAAATAGGATACATAAAAAAAAAGTCATCACTGACCTCTTTTTCATGACTCAAGATCAGAAATATAATCACAGAGGGGGTTGATTTCATATATTCTCCTCCTGTTTTTCACTCGCTTCAGACTTTAGAAGACTCCGGGAACGGTCTTTGCAGACATAAGTAAAGCTTAAAATGCACTTCAAGGTATCACTCGCTCATTTTGATACTGTATCCTGAGCTACAAATGGATAGCAAGACCTACACCAAAATAACATGAGTAAACAAGTAAAATAAAAAAGACACCAAAACAATTAAATAACAAAAAATAACTGGCTCAACAAAACCTAATGTACATGGCTCATCTTGACTTTCACTTGAAAAAATTAAATTTTGTCATCTTAAAATGCAAAAAATTGAAATTTTATGACTTCAGAATCAGAGACTTACATATATTTCGAGGTGAATAGTAAAAACTAGTGTGTATCAAACTTCTTAATAAGTTATGATCATCTACATGAAAGAACATTAAAAAGAGGATAACGCGATAGACCAAGTGTTAGAGTAAAAGGAATTCACTTTCTTACATTTATCATTTTCGGTAGAAGTTCAAAAAAAAAAAAAAGGTTTTCAAAACCTTTTCTGGTTTTGGTTTTTCTTTGGAAGATTTCTTTTCCATAAAATCTTTGAAATGTTCCCTCTTTTTAACTTACGCATTTGAAAATCTCATTTGAAGTCTTAATAGAGTCCTTATATAAAAGTTGTTTGCGATTTGCTGAAACCTAATGATAAGGAGACCTGAAACTACGCCCATATCATTAGGACATGGGGAATTAATAGGCATGAGGATGAAAATGAGACACTTTACAATTAAATACTTTTGAGGCTCTTAATGCTCTTAGATGCAACAGAAGACTCACATTAGAAAAAATTAATTACCAAAAAAGGTAATTCTGGCACAAGGAACGATGTACATCAGCAAATATTTGGACAAACTAAAATTTTGGCCGTATGAGTCAAGCTTTGAGAGATTTTCACCAATGAAATGATCATGAAACAATAATGAAAAGCAAATGAAAAGCTTGAGGGGTAAAACACCATACAAAAATTTACAAGAGTTTTCAATAATTAACAATATTAACAGTTACAACAATTCCTAGCAAGAAAACTTACTAATTTATTCAACAAATTCGTACAAATAATTATATTTTAATAAATATGGATCAATTCACCATTAAAATAACTGTATAAAACAAAATCAGATTAACTGTTTTCTTGGACAGTTTAGCATGGTTTGAATCTTTCAAGATGTGCTCCAAATTTCCTTTCTATCCTTTTCGGAGGCGATGGACAGATAGAAATCCTCCTCTTCAGCTTTCTTGTTTTATTCCTTTTTTCCCTCTGATTTAGTAGTTTTTCGAGGGAAGACAGTGAAATAAGTGGATACAGAAGAATTAGGAATTTGAGGGTCAAAAACACTGTAGAATAATGGGAGAATACAATTTTAAAAATAGAGGTTGTTCCTTTCTGATTATGAGTCACTTCTTACCTCCTACCTGATATTAAACACTATTCTGCATAGCAAGAGAAAACCACGGGACCTCTGTCACCTTTACAATTAGATCTGCAAATATTTTTTAAAAACATGGAGCTTAGGTTTGACATACATTAATCCATTGCTCACAGGTTTGCATAACTGCTATCGAATGAAATAAAACAGATCGTAATTTTACAAGTTTGAAGTTGAGTCCCAATTTTAACAGGACTGAATCTTTGAAAAAAGAGCATCAAATGGCATTCAATCATTAGACAAAATAACATAAAATGTGATACACCTGGGAAAAGGTGACTTGCGGCGAGGTGCCAAGTTCAGTAGAGTGACAAAACGCAATTTAGGTCAAAATTATCGATTTTTAGTTTTATGAGCTGATTGATTTCTACAAATCTTGAGAACATGTGGTTAAAATCTTAAGTCATGATTTGAACTTTTAACAATATTACAAGCGTTTTAAGTGAGGAGGGTAAAAATCGCCTCAATTATTACACCTCAATTATTGCCCTCACCCACACTAAGTTCCTTTATACACACAGTGCAGGAAAATTTAAATATTTATCTTCCTACCACAACACTAACTTCCTTGACTATTTCTCTTCTGAGATTTTTGACAGATCAAGGAAAATATAATTTGAGGGACCACTAAAAAGAAAAGAAAAAGCAAGATAAACTAAATTAACATGGTAACAAATGGGTAGGTACAGATTTTGCCAGAGAAGATTACACAAAAAAATAAATGCTTCAGTTATTTCATAATGTCACATTGTTACATTAAAAAAATCTTAGATATCATCATCATCATCATCAGCGTCATTTACGACTCCTCAAATTGGGTACATTAAATGGACTACTGTGGGCATGGCTACTTGCTTTTTCACCTTCTTTGCTCTTCAACCTTTAAACCTCTAGGCTTTTGCAATTCTAGTAAGACCATAAATTTGCAGCTAATAATATTACTACAACTGCAACACCCAAGAAATATAGCCGCACAAATTCAAAGACTATTTTGAAGGGTACTTGCATCAGATTTGGCAAGCATTAGGCATCCAATGCTCTGATGAAATAATATGAAATTATCATGCGATTTTGATACAATTTAATAAGCACGCATTCATGAACTTGATTTCATCACCATGACTAGAAACGTTCACGTTACTTTCTTTCTAACAAAATATTGGACACACATGAAGATTAGTTGTATATTTTTTCTCCAACAATGGAAATCTTCAGGATTTTTCCCAATTTTTCAATTTTTACAAAGAATTTTTAAAATGTCTATTCCCTCCTCACCTGACGCTTAACAAAGACTTTTTACTTACAACAACTGAGACATCTGTCTGGAGAAAGACTTAAAAACACGAAACATATGAAGGTGGAGGATTGAAATCAAAGATAGTATGCAGCTGTGCAATAGTGTTCCTCTGGCTAAAACCCACAGGCTGTAGAGCCTGACAAGGTGAGGAAGGATCAATTTGCGGCATATAGATGGCCAAGCTTTCGCTCTGTCAATACTTTGAGGAGAGCCAAATAGAGAGAAGTTGGACATCAAAAATCAGAGTTTTTTTGTCATCAAGAAAATTTAGCATGAGAGCCATGGGCACCAGGAGCTAACCTCCACCAATGGACTACTAGACAAGGCTTCAATTTAACCATTATATGTTTTCCCATTCAAATTTTACATATAAAATGTTTTTTTCATCAAAAATAACTGGATGTAACTCCTGACGAAGATTTTTGCGTTGTTTCATGCATCGATTCAAATGTACCGCCTGAGAAAAAACTAAAGTATATGTGAGTTAAATCGCTCAACATTACCGTGGCAGTCTCTGCAGTATGAAAATATGACAACCTCAAACTTGGTGCTCCGGCTCAGCTGGTGCATGTGGTTAACACAGGGTGTCTACTGGTACCCTGTCATTCAGATTCCTTGCTTTTTCAGTACCTATTCCTTGCTCTTTCCTCACTTTCCCGAAAATTGCTTTTTTGGCGATTCTCAAAAATCCTTGTTTTTTCTTTACCTTTTCCTCACTTTTTTCTTACCGCAAACACATTTTTAACTATATTTGAATTGGAAAAGAGGAGTGATGAAATGACAAAGGAATAAACCGAAAAACACGAGGAATCGAACCGGAACGTTAACAAATGGATTATGTTAGGAAATCGCATATGGCCAAGGCTACTTTCCAGAGTTTGTCACAAAAATTTCGAATTTCTGTGCCTTTTTACCGAAAAGCCGTACCAATTCCGTACTTCCGTACCAACCCTTTGAAATCACTGCTTTTTTGGTGTATCCGTACTGTAGAATAGACACCCTGTTAACCTATTGAACAATACAAAATTGGGAGGGAAAATTACTTGATTAAAAAGTCTGCCAAAACCATTGTAGTGCACGATTTGATTCAAGAAGACTATTGATGTTCTTGCAAGCAGGGAGTTCAAAATTCCTGTAACTAATGTAAACTAAAAACGATAGTATTTCAGTTGGACGTTTTTCTACCAAACAGAATTGTGTGCGGGTGGGAAAGATGGGGAGTGCTTGTTTTGAGCTGGATAAGAAATAATGTAAAAGAGTGTCTGATTCCTTTAAGTAAAATGGAGAAGCGAGATTTTAAATTTACCAAACGGAACTAAGTGCCAACTGTATGCAAGACTCATGAGTCGTGGGCGTGGGACAAGAGCGTTGTGGATAGGGCTCATGAGTTAAAGCGGAGGACCAGCGACCAAGGTGGCAGCTTCGACGCCGCTGACGTCCCGGGCGCTTTATAATTCCCATTAATTCTTATAGCCTTCGACTAACAAGCACACCCCTTCTTCCCCACCTGTCTCTGGTTCCGTTTGACAGAAATATGTCCAGTTAGGAGTTAATTTCAGTAATTTTTGGTGTACGAATTGTGTTCTAGGTGAAACTTTAGTCAGGAATCATGTGTCTGAAAGTTTAAATTTGCACTTGGTCTAGTGAACCATTTTCCGATTTTACACTGCCGAAAATCGTGAAGTGGGTAAAGCGAGGGAATTTTTTTACCACATACTACAAAAGTAAGTTTATTTCACAGTAAAGATCAGGGTGTAAGCTATCTCAGAACACACATAGGTAGTGTCCCAACTTATTGTACCCTTACTTACGGCTGAACTGTGCGGATAGAAATTTAGTTTCACCCATCAAGGAACAGACTGAATATTGGAGTGATCTGAGGCAAGCTGCGAGCTGAGAACGAGCACCATTGAACAGTTTCATTGGTGACAGGTCTGAATGCATGCTTCTGAGTTACTTGTTCCCTCGACTCACTACTACATATTATCTGGTATGTCTAGTGTTTTTGTGTATCCTTTTTAAAAAAAAAGATCATTTGACTTATATAGTGCAAAACAGGCCCCTGAACTCTTCGTGCAACTGATTGTCTCAGCTTCTAAAAGACTTCAGGAACACATTAAAAAATAAATAGATAATAAAAATGAAACTTTCATGATTTTTGACCGTTTTCCTAAAAAATGTTTTAATTTCTCAATTCCCTTGCCACAAGACACCTTGATTGAGCCAAATCCCCTCCCATCTGAAAAATTCATCCACCTGAGCAAAAAGCTGACTGCAAATACAATTTCATTTCATGGGAAAGCAAGAAGATTATTAATTATGTTTGGCACAAAATTCAACTTTGTTCATTGATAATTCTTACAATCAAACACCATGGAATGCAAATTAAATTTAACAGTGAGGTTCCTTAATTACTGATATATCTTTGTGAGGGGAATTCCACAATTGGAAATTAAGCCTAATTCTTCTTGTTAACCGAAACCTTCGAGGGTTACAAATAAGAGCCTATTAACCTTAATTTAGAATACAAAAGGGATAGAATATCAAGAGAGAGATTAGATTGCACTGACTTGCAATGACCTTGCAGCATCTATGTCTACAGTGAGACCTGCTTGGGATTTTCTGGCATTCATGGGTGTATTGTGATCTAGAGTGTTGCCATTCTCAACCAGAGTTAAACTGGACGACTCTAATCCAACGTCAACGCCACTTTCATCTGTTTCCGAGTTATCCCCGCCGTTCATTAACGCAGTAGTCGCAGGGTTGGGTGGTAATTTCACATTGCCTTTACCCCCTGAGCCACTGCTCTTTGTGACAGCTGTCAACTTCTCTTTCGTTTTCTTTCCGAAGTTGGCTGCTAGTTTCGGCAAACTTCTTTTCGGAGCTATTTCAGGTGTGTTACTGACACCTATGTCTTCTTTCTCTTCATTGATCGACGAGAGATTTCCAGTGGATGCATCGCCTCCTCCACCTTCTTGTGGGGTTTGAATCGGAATGTCATCTGCAAAAAAGTTGATCAAAATACGTTAATATACAAACATCAAGGAGAGATGCATCATCTAAAAGAACGAATATTTCTGTCCACGTTTTCACAGCAAAAGAGACTTAATGCTCAAATAGAGGAATTCCGGTGATCATAGTGATTATTCTAGACTTGAAACATACAATGATCTCCTGAGAATTTAAATCAATCAGGGTAGAGCTAATAAGAATGGGTACAAATATGAATATCAAAACATAGCATCAATGACCTGACCAACAAAAATCAAGTGCATATTGATTATTTTATGAATACTTGAGTGTTCTTCCCATTCAATTTTCTTTGCATGAGCCTTTATGATTTATTCCTGAGACTGTCATTTTTACTCGGAGTTTATCTTATGAATTTTGTATCATCATTGAACATCTAGCCAAATGATATTAGCAACATGAGCCAAGATAATTATTGACCAGATGGTTGCAGGACCACCACAAGCAAAAGCTGCACTGAAGAGAAATTTGTACTGTATTTATGGGATCATATAACCTAAAACTTAAAATAAACACGAGAAAATTGGGGGAAAAGGCTGAAAATTCACAAGAAAATTCCTAGTTTTATTGAAATTATGAGTGGTTTCAACGTCTCCTCCTGAATCAATCAGGAAAAAGAAGCAAAGAGAATAAAATCAATAAAAAAGGAGAATGCCTGTTTTGCAGTAACAAATGAGGGCAATTTGTTGTGTATTTTACCTGTGCTCTCATTTAATTTTTTGTTGCGAGAGATGTATAAAAACATAAACATAGTTTTAGAATATTTTCAGGTGTAAAAATGGTTTGAGTGTAACTGAATGAACGTAAAATGATTTAAGTTTTTTTTTCTAGACCCAAGGATAATTTCCGTGACAAGGGAGGAGAGGTGATAGAGAGAGGAATAAGGAAAGGGAATTACACAGGGATGAAGAAAGCAGACAGGATTCAGGACCTTCCTAAGCGGACCTGTAGAACTGAACGAGTTTAATGCTAATCAAAATTGATTAAGTCACAGGTTTTCAAATGATTCAGTTGATTGGCCTCCTGTTCTTATCATACTTAACTTCCTCTAAAAATTAAAATAGAGAACTTGGTGAAAAACACTTCCACATCACCTGTAATCAAATACCTTAATTTGCTTAATTAAAGGAATACACTAAAAGATACAAAATTTAAAGATTTCTCCCTTCAATTAGAATGAGCTGTGAAACAAAACATCACTGGGTCTGTTGCATGCAAGGGATAAAGCCCAGTGATCAATATCAAGTACAGCCAAGATTTGCAACAGGTGCAATCGCAGGAAAATCATGATGGGTACATTGAAAAAGTCTGAAATGCAGTCCTTAGCGTATGATTTGTGTAGTTTGTCATTTTTTAATTTCCCGTGTCTGCGCGCAGCTTTTCTTGCGCTGGTATCTACAAAACAAAGTGATACAAAGAAGAGCCCTCAGATAGGGTCATTAATGGCATTGCTGACTGTTAACCTCTTTAAGATCTCTGAAGGTAACCGCTGCTTCCAGTTACATCATAGATCAGATCTTGAAATTTTCAAGGAATTTTGTGTAGAAATGGCTGAGGTTTTAAAGAATTAGTGCAACTTTGAGAGCTCTACTTTGATTGTAAGATACAGGCTTTAGTGGCTGATATTCAGGTTTGCCTAAGAAAACCTAACCTTTATGAACGAACAATTTTGCCAACTGTTGCAAAATTTCCTTACACTTGATTTCTATTGAAAGCTTATGTTTTCTAACGCTTAGAACTAACAAGGGAGACAAACACTTGATGATTGCTGAAGTGAAAGAGTTTGCAAGATTGTTTATTTGGGTTAAATTTTTTTGTCTGTTTCTGAGCAAACTTGGTTGCTGGCAACCTAGAAAAATTGCCCATGGATGCTGTAAATTTAAAAGAGCCTGTTACAAACCTTGCAGATTCCGCCCTGAAGAAGGGCTTTTACCTTTTAGAATTTTTAGATAAGTCCTTCATGATTTTCACCTGATTTTACCCGTGGAAAGTCTGCTTATTTGACTGTATCTCTCATGAAACAGACTTATTCTGATCTCAAATTTTATTTTTATTGAGGAATTTTTTTTCTTGGTGCTCATTACAATTAAAAACATTCATTCTACATTTGAATAAATCAAGTTCATGATTTTAAAAAAATGAAAAACTATCCTGATATTACTTAGAAAAAAGCTATATATAATGCGAATAAATAATAACAGACAGCAAAAAATTGATGTGAATTTTTGGTCCAAACCTAATTAAGCTTCTCCCACTATGAAGACAGATATAATGGGCCTGTTGCAAACTTTTGCTAGAGCAAAAATAAGAGTTCTTATCACAGAGAGTGTCTGAAAAATCACAATGAGCACATCGGAAAAGTCTAAAATGTCTAACTTCACAATTTGCGTTTTTTCAAGCTTCCTGCTTCAAAAACGATACCACAGCACAGATGGACATTTTGTTAGGGGAGTCATTCCATCCAATCCCTACACACAAGGATACTACGCAATATTCAACAAAGCCGAGGCCAATCCGCCAAAACACATGAGACAGACGATGATTCTAATCTTCTGATAACAATCGGTGTGTTTACATTCACATTTTTCTACTATTGATGGATATCCACCTTGATTGACCTCCTGCTCTCCTCAACTTGCGCGCGGAAGTATCGGCCATGTTAAGCAGGGATTGAAAGGAACGACTCCTCTGACAAAATGTTCACCTGTGCTATAGTATTCTTTTTGAAGCAGGAATCTTAAAAAAACGCAAATTTCTTACGCAGATTGTGAAGTTAGGAGTGCATTTCAGAGTTTGCCGATGCGCTCATCGTGATTTTTGAGACACTATCTATAAGGAACAACTCTTACTTTTGCCCTGGCAAAAGTTTGCAATGGGCCCATTAATGATTAGGACATGCATACCCCAAGGGCAAAAATTGAATTCCCACCATTTCTTACAAAATTTTGGGTACAACGGTTTCTTTGGCTTCAAGTCATTCTTATCATTATACTCATTAATCATGCTATTTCTTTGGCTCCAATCATTGATGCTTTGTATCCCAGGCTGCCTGTACTAGAGTCCCTTTATACTGAGAGTCAAGACAATGCGAATCCATTTCTGATTGGTTCCCGTATTTTAGGCCTTCACGGTGTCACAAACGGGAATAAAGATTACATTTTCACCGATTGCAAAGATTATAATCTGGAATGGACCGGGGAATTACGGGTTCGGCAAGGAACAAACGGAATGAGAGAGGGAATGGAGAAAGGAATTTGAGAATGGGCCGATCAAAGATTTCAAAAAACGTTCAATTTCTGTAATCTTTATTCCCGTTTGTGACTCCATGAGGGGGTGTTGTCTTGACTCTCAGTATAAAGGGACTCTAGCCTGTAGCAGGCTTTTGTTTCTTGGTTATTTTGGGTTAGCCAAAGTCATGGGCCTCAGGGACCACATATGTTGTTTCTAAACTGAGCCAGAATTACTTAGTGGTTCCTCAATGCAGAAGGTAGTCTGGCTGACGCTAAATAGTTCTGGCTGATGAAGTAGCACAATTTCTCAGAGAGAAAGAATCAAAGAGTATGTGCCATCTCTTCTCATTGTTTAAAGTTCATCTGCAACTGTTGCCTTCAATATGATGCAACGAATGAAACTTTTTCTTGAAAGATAGAAACATAGCTGGACCCTTAATTTAATCTTTAGACATTATTACTTAACAAACAAACAAACAAACAAACAAACAAACAAACAAACAGAAAAACAAAAACAAAAAAGTGAATTTTTAGAAAAGAAATAAAAACTAAAAGGAGATTTTTCTTACATATTCATAAAAAAAAACCTTCGGAATGATAGAAAATTATACCTGGTAATTTTTTCGTTCTGAATGATGCATTGGTAATCATTGATTTTGAGATGGTGGTAGTGTTTGTAGCAGTTGTGGGTAGATCAACACTAATTCCCATAGGTAACCCAGTAGGATGAGCTAAGAAAAGAGAGAATCAGTATTAATACTTAGCAAATACAAAAAAAATCCAAATCTTTTTTCCTACAATATGAGACTTAAAAAAACTTAAAAAAGATTATGAAGAAGACGCACAAAATTAATTCTATCAAGATAGTGTCATCGATAAATAATGTTGGGGAAGGAAAAGGTGTATGAAAAGAACTTGCAATGCATTCTGAGGTTCCTGCGCAAGAGCTGACTGAGAAATAGTGAGTGCTCTAACTCAAAGGTTCTCAGACTTTTCAGTCCGCAGACCTCTTCAATCGTAGCCTGACGGCTTGTGCCCCCCCCTCCCTATTTTGCGAATGTTACTGAAAATAATTTGAAATACAAGCAATTTGAAACCAACCTAGAAAACTAAAAACTTTTAGTCTGGGTAGATCAGGGTTCATGTTACCAAGGCAGCATTTTCTCTAAGAATTGCCATGTTTCCCTCTGACGATTTGTTGATTATTCCCCCCTATTGAAATTAACTTTTGTCTTGCGGCCCCCTCGAGTGGCCTCTGCCAGGGACAAGTTCTGTAGGACAGCATTCTGTTGAGAGCAGGCGATTGCAGCGCGACCTTTCGTAGGATCCTCGTAAACTCAATAGATCCTTCGCCCCGAACCTTGACTCACCGATAGCCTGCTCCAAAAATGAGATTAAGCTGATAATTGAAAAACAGCCCGTGAGGCAACTGAATTCTTGAAAAATAAGTGCATTTTCTGAGTCTTCCTGGTAAAGTAGGGTGAAAAACTTGATGTTTGGCAGATATATGTGATCTTGTGGATTTTTTGTGAGGCCAAACGACTGATAACAGCAGTTAGTTGCTAGGATCCTAAGCAAGATTGTAGCACAAGTAACTGCTCACGGATTTTTACAAAGGCACTTACAGGTGTCCAGGGTCCTATAGAACTGGTCCCTACCTCCGCGGACCACGATTTGAGAATCGCTGCTCTAACTCAATATTTAGACAATAAAAACGCCCATTCTCTTTTTTTCTCAGACTCTTCTCTAGCTTTCTTTCCGCCAAAATAAATTGATTCTAGGCGCTTTTGGTACATTTGCTATGTTGATACTCAAGACTAAAAATAAAAGGTCTTTAACAGGATTGGTTAAAAATTGCATTGTCATTGTCGCGTATACCGTGGTATTGCAACGATACCCTTCTTTCTTTTTCTTAAAATTCTAACTTTTTCATTCACTTTCAATCTAGTCATTAGGGATGGCTGCATTTCGTCCACTTTTAATATTTTCGTCTTTATCTTTGAGCCATCACCTATAAAATTAATGACTAGACTTGCAACTGATAGCTCCACTGATTATAGCCGGCCAATAGCGTATAGACTTGCTGTCTCGCCACTCGTGACGTCATCAACTCTATAAAAGCTTGTGCTGCCCGTTTCTCATGGTCCTTTACCAACTTGACCTGTACATGTACGTATGTACCTCTTGCTCCTCTGGCACAAGTGTGACTACTCTCTGTAAATCATAAAACTGTATCTCTTTCCAAAATTCACTCAATAGATAAATCTTTCGGCCCCATCAAATATCTTGTTCATTTTCCACTCTCCCACGACTCTGCTCTTTCTAGCGCTCGTTTTAAGGATTATTAGATGTTTAAGTCCGTCTAGCTTATATCACATCCTTTGAACGTGACAGTCACCGGTTACATGTGAGTTTCTTCCATTCTGCAGTTTTTACAAATTGTTGTCCTTCCTTGATGTTAAATTTGAGTATTTACCTGCCACAGATGTATTTTTAACTGCTGAGGCGAGGAGAAGGACTTTCGTATAACAGTGGTAGCTTGCTCGTTGGTAGATATCTTCAATTGACTGAAGAGCCATAAACCCATATTCGTTATACCTGTACAAAAAAAAAAAGATTCATATTCAATCCCAAATAATCTGAATCAGTCTCATTTTTACGAAAGTATCTTGCAGCAAACAGGAATGAACCTGTGACTGTTGAGTCAATTACAAAAAAGGAAATGAATTGGATAGAATTTAATTTAAAACAATTATTCAGATTAGGATCTTTGTGCGAGAGCTAGTAGTGTGAATGGGTCAGTTGTGCTGGTCACAGAATCGTGTTTTAATGCTTGATTCTAACAGATTACCGATAAATAATAAGATCCGTCCAAACATCCACTTTCTACGTTCAATGTTAACCGAGATATCGCCCTTTGAAAAGTCGGGTTTTTGACGTCATGGGTGTGACTCACATTGGCACTGATTATTTAACGTGAAACTCTGATGAAAGCAAGGTGGAAGAGACCAAGGGTAGCACTACCGAGGTGGATAACGTCAAACACCTGACTTTTCAAAGGGCAATAACTCAGTTAATATTGAATGTAGAAAGTTGCCGTTTGGACAGATCTTATTATTTTTAGCTGATCTACAAGAATCAAGCATTAAAACAAGATTCTGTAACCAGCGCAACTAACCCATTGAAACTTTCTACATAATTTACACTTTCTGCCATAATGGACTAGACCTTAGACAAGGTACATATTTAGGAATTCTGATACATGTTACCTTTTCTAAATGTCACATAAAACACAATTTGCGAAAATTACTGAAATTGATCCATCACCGAGATATTAATATTTCTATTCAGCATTGGAAAAGAAAAGTTTGAGGTTCCAGCTTATAAGAAAAACTAGAGTCTAAATCACATGAGACGGTTTCGGCAGACTTCTTGATCAAGCATCATTCCTTGATCCCCACCCTGTGTTGTCCAAAGTGTTAACAACATGCAACAGCTGAACTAAAATGCTGTAATTGAGGTTGCCATATTTCCATTCCCTAGAACGTTTAGTGAGCCATTTAACTCAAGTAGATTATGGATTTTCATAAGCGGGAAGTTTGATAATTAACATTAATATCTTGGTTTGTAGTGACTTCCAGAGTGCCTTCCTGGGGAGAGTACAAATATGTCAGTAATTTTGGAGGTTAGGTCATGAAGCTTTTAGGGGTTTTGCCGACTGGCCACTTGGACGGTCAACCGTTGGAATTCGGCGGTTTACCTCGAATCTCCACTGCGGCGGTGCATTTTCGAGGGTTCGGCACTTTCAACGTTGTGACCGACCGCCGCCATATTTGTTTACGAAATTATCATTACCACCTTCACGCATGGTCGCATGCCCAAGCATCGTGTGCTGATCGATTATAGTATAATAATTCCAAATTAATTTAATTTAAATCGTTTCAGTCGTTCCATTTTAGCCTCAATAAACCAAGCTCACCATTACGTGAACGTAAGTATTTGTTTAATTTTTGCAACTGTTTCACTCCACTTGTTCATTGTTCTAATGTCTTCATGAAGTGGGTTTTCCACCGGAATTTACGTATAAAAGTCTCCAAACGTTTCTGATTAATTGGTATGAATATCTAGTATTCTCAAATTTAAATGTAGTAGCGCTGCTTGATCTTGTAACTTTTAACTTCGGAGTTGTTTGTGATACCTCTTCGTTGATGCATCAAAGGTAACACCGGCCTCTTGCCGTAATGTGTCAATATTTGCGAAAGACATCGAACATCCAACAGATTCCATTGCTCTCAGCAGTATAAACCATTATTTCAATATTTTCCAGACCAAGTGCAAATAACAGAGAGGATAAATGCATAAATATCTCTTGACGCTTGCTGCCTGTTGGGCTGATTGTTTTATTCGTGTTGGGGTCAGAACAAAGCTGAATCAATGGCTTTTCTAGTTCAGAGGTAAGGAATTTATCTCAAGAGAATCATTTGATTCTGTTGCGCAGCCTCTCACAACACAGCCAGACCTAAAGTCCACATGCTTCTTTTAAGGTCAGCAGCGTCAGAGATGTTTGCGTTTTTATTGGTTGTAAAAATTCCAATTTCCCTCCCATGAGAAAAATCAGAGTCTACATTAGTCAAAATAAGCACAACAATTGTTTCTGCAGACTCCTTTATCGAGCTGTGCCCCTCCTCTGGCTTGAGTTGAACTCATTCATCGAAGATAAAATGAAAAGGACGAGAAAAATTGTTTACTTACATTGCAAAATACAGTCCATGTATTAATTCAATGAGGATTTGAGGAGATAATGGAATCCGAGGTAACGAACCACTTTGGAATGTATGAGACCTAATATTCAATTTTGAAAATCCTTGAGAAACTAATCTAAAATGAGAGGAAAAATGGCAATAATTTAAAACATCATACAAATAGCTAAACCGCTCATGCAAAAAAGTTATCAGACTAGTTCAAACATGTCTGTCCTTAAAATTTTGAGCTTATTCAAAAATATAAAATCATAATATCTTCTGAGATATGGTATATTATTACACTACATCAAGATGAAATCTCATTCAGACAAACTGAATCAAAAATAGCCGAACTGCATTTCAGGCTACTTTTCTCTAATGTCATACTATTTTGATGAAGAACAAAACAACTTCACGCCTTCAAACTTTTCATGAGTGTCCCTTAAATTATGATGAGTATACACCCAAATATTAAACACTCGGTGTTTCAAAGGTTTCTGTTTGAAAAATAAAAGATCAGAGAAAAATAGACCACACTTGATGAGGTTTGGTAGCTTCTGGTGAAATCCGTCCATTCTATCATCAAGCAGACATATTTAAATCAAAAGGAAGTATATCCAATGTGGCATATCGATGGTGAAAGTCGGCAATCACATAACTCGGTTTGCGACGTCGCAGACTTCCTGTCATACTTTATTTTTTAAATGGAAAACTACTCAACTGCAATTCTTTAAAACTGACATGATTTTTCTTCTCAATGCGAAGAAAATTCTGCAAAAACTTCAAGAAATAATATCAATTTGTTCTCCTTTAAAAAAATGACAAAGATGCGGAGATTTTCAGACACCGCAAACGAGTTATGTGATTGCCGACTTTCACCGTCGATATGCAGTGTAATGCATGTAATCATATGGATCTCGGGGTTCATGTGCAAATGAATATGATTCCTTTTGATTTAAGTGCTTCCAAATTTCCTGTCCTACGTAGTTATTCATATCTTTTGAGGCACATTGTATATTTGGAAACACAAATTTTGTATGTTACCTATACATTCATTTTTTAATGGAACCATACATAATTCCATTCGCTTATGCAACTGTTTCAATGGATGCAAAATTAGCAAGGTGTTACCCTAACATTAAAGATCAAAGAGTTGTCCAGTTCTCTTATGTGTGGATTAACAAATCGATAACAAATTGGTCTTCACCTTGCTCCGAGAGTAAATATTACTTTGAGGGGTCATGGCACAGCTTTAAAAGAGTATGGACCAAGTATGTTTGACCACTGACTTTTAGAAAGAACCAATAAAAAAGAGCTGAAAAGTTAATGCTATTTAAAACAAATTTCGTCAGAACTAACCAATGACTTAAAGCGACAGCTCTGAGCCCCCGCCTTGCAATGAGGCACTTCTGATCAGATGGCTCAGAGCCTAGTTCATTGACTTAGCATCAATGTTTGTAATAAATCAATGATTCAACAATAGACTGCCTATTCGTAAATGTTGATGAGTCAGGTGATAAATCTAAAACTTATTTTATGCCATAATTTATTGCTTTATAATAATGGTACTTTTGTATTATTGTGCCGCTGAACATATGATAACCTCATATTTTGCCGATCTTAGGATTTTTGAGGTTTTGACAGCAATAAATCAACAATATGAAGTGATCTTAGCGATAAATCAAAAATATAAGACGACTGTGGCAACAAATCAACAAAGCAAAACGATTGTAACTAAATTTAATTGCTGTTCCCTCAAAGAACCTGTAATAAGTAAATGCTTTGTAGTTTAATTTTCAGCCTCAGGAAAAGAATTTTTCGGAATGGATATTTAAATTCTGATTCTAGAAGGGGGGGCGGGGGGTCAAAGTTAATCGTAAGGCAAAAGGTTGAGGGATAAGTTTGAAATTTGTTGAATACTTACTTTGATGATATTTTACACAGTTGTTCAAGAGAATGTTTATTGAGGGTACTGATGTTATGGTTGTATACAAATAATAACGCTGTTAGAACCTGCAGTCTATTTTGAGCCATCAAACGTTCAATCTGTGGTAAAGGACCCCACTTTACAAGCTTAGTATCACATTCTTCCAGTCTTTTCAGGGCACTTTCTGTCAGTGAAGCATGAGCTAGACTCATGGGCTGAAAACAAGAGAACAGCGAGTAAATCAATAGGTGAGGCTTGTGACTTCAATATTGAATAGTTTTCCATGAAAGTAAAGTACCGAGTTATGTTGCGACTCAACACCATATGTTTCTCCTTCATTTTCAAATGTAAGCAAGTTCCAGTATTTGTTAGATCACTGCTTGGCAGTGGTTTGTTCTCTGTAGCACTTGGTGCTAGAGGGTCATTAGTTGCCATTTCCTTTCATTGATCATGCAAGCACCTTCAAAACTTTATTTTCCTCCCTTTTTAAAAGAATATTTTAAAAAGGTTTATCATTACCTTCCTTGCTGGTCATTAAAACATTTTCTTCACACCATTATTTAATCTTCATCACAAAAGTACATTACCTAAATACAATCCCAGATTTTGATCATCAAATTGCATTAACCACCACACAGTGTTCTTAGATGTGATTAATGGAAATGCATCTGGAGGGAAATGTTGCATAAACTTGCAGGATCAGATTGAATTTACTTCTTAAATTATTACCAAATTTCATTTTCAAGTTCTATCATCCTGCCTCAATTTCTGGATTTTGGTCAAAAATTCAACCTTCTGTCTTCAAACTGCCTCTGCTGTCTGAAGATAGAAGTCCGCGGCCCAACCCCCATAAGGTGCTTCGCCATCTCTTAGGCCCGCTTCGACATAAGAACAACCAAAAAAAATTAAAAGATTTTCATACTCATACTTTCATACTCTCATTTGTCCGATCTCCTTCTGGCCGGGAGCAATTGGACCAATAAGAATCGAATAAGAAAATCGGCATTTATTTCAAACTTCACGCCAAGACTGAAACGAAATGGAACGGAGCGTTTCATCGCTTTTGGATAGTCTGTAGCAAAGGAGCAAACCTTCGGTTCACTTACCCTACTAACAGACCGAGATTCAACATTTCCCTCTTATTTCAATTTTCCGCTAAATTTGAAATTCCCGCAATTTTCCATAAGCGGGAATTTCAAATTTTGCCCCCCTTTCTAAGGTCTCTCGTCTACCCTTATATAAAAAAACCTGGGTCCTATTTTCAAATTCTGATTACAGCGGGCTCATCAAGAGACTATTACCTGTCGATAGTCGCAAAAATAATGGAAATTGGCCCAGTAGGACGTTCGAACGAACTATGACAAAAAATTACAATGTTTAAATGGGAGAATTCGCAACTCTACCACGTAATATAAAAAAACCTGGGTTATATTTTCAAAATCTAAAGATAGCGGGTTTATCTAAAGACAATTGCCTGTTGATAGCCGCAAAAATCATGAAAATCGGCCCGGTAGAATGCTGGAACTAAGCGTTACCAGATATGCAAATTTAGGAGGTCTCGACATTTATAGTATAGAAACGAAAAGCGGTTTTTCCAACTTTCATGCTGAAGGTACTCTTTTGCATGTTGGAGGATAAAATAAACGAGAACGGTAAAAAAAAAAACAATTTAAATTTGATCAAATACCTCATGATAGATTGATGACTGAGCTAAGGACGGTAATCTGAAGGAAATTACTTTTGGTTGGTTATTTTCGTTAACTACCTCTAAATTGTACAAGCCAATAATTAGCATCTGTATTCCTCGAGAGTTCTGTAAGAAGCAATAAGAAGAAAAATCACCAAAGGTTTCCAAAAGTTAATTAACACCAAAGGTTATTAAACAGAACCCCTTTAGGCATCATTCGATTATTTGGACGTATTTCTGCCTAATAGTGCCATGTGCATTCAGACATAAGCCCTGAGACCCATAAGAATATATGCATAACAGGGCTCACGTCATAATGCACATCGTTCCATTTGGTAGAAATACGTCCATTTCATTGAAGATCGAGGATGAAACCACCAATCCACATATCTCAATTTGTGACATTGTAAACTTCCTGTCATACTTTCTTTTCTGATTGGAAAACTGCTCTTCGTCAAATATTGAAAACTTCCATGATTTTTCTTCTCAGTGTGAGGAAAGTTCTGAGAAAACTTCAAGGAATGATATCGATTTGTTCTCCTTCAAAAAAATAAAATGAGAGTGGAGATTTTTGAACACCATAAACGAGATACATGGTCTGGAAGTTTCATTTTCGAGATGGTCCATGCTGAATATAGAAAAGTAAACATTGTACAGGAATAAACTGGCTGAAAAGTTCATTTTGGGACATTTCAAAGTATGAACTTGTTCCTAAGTGAGTAAGTACACGGAAAAAAATTAAATTGCTGATTCAACAATTCAATTGCTAATAACAGTGAGTGCAATGTTTCAAGGTAGATTTTACAACAAAAAAATGCTACTTTAACCACCCCGGTGGTTAAATTGGTTTACAATGTGGTTAGAGTAGCATTTTTTTGTTGTAAAATCTACGTTGAGACATTGCACTCACTGTTTTAAGCAATTAAATTGTTGAATCAGCAATTTATTTTTTTCCGTGTAATTAAGTGAGGACCGGGTCAGTGTTCGAAACTCACCTTTGAGTTTCAGGAGCCATGTGGCCTATTAAGCTCGATTTTTAAGGGCCATTGAAGATTTTGCAGGGGCCAAATCGGCTTTTTGCCTTTGTATCACAGTGCGTTTCGCGAAAGGTTGGAATCCGGTGCCGTGCATCAAAATTTCGAAACATCACCCAACCTAAAAATATGGATTTATTTTGAGGGAGGGAGGGGGCAATTTTTAAGGGCTACGTTGGCACAGAGCCTTCATTTTTTAGGCGCCATGACCGATTTCTTGGGAGCATTTGGCGCGTTGGCGCCTGTGAATTTCGAACACTCGACCGAGCTTAGCGGCGAGGGGCCAAGACAACTAGCTACTGCTGTTGTGCACCCCGAAGTTGACCTGTACTCCTTAACTTTGCACTACTGACACATTCTGTATACTCTATATTACTGCAAGGCTCAGCAGCCGTCTGATAGACAGCAGTAGATCTTATCAAAGACTGTGGCAGATGCTGCAGAGCACGGATTTTTGGAGCACGGCCATGCCTCCACCGAATTGGACTGTGTTGTTTCAATCTCCACTGATGGGTAGCGCTGGAAATTGCGCACACTACGGGTTATCACCGATTTTTTCACAACCCAGTCAAACAATACAGATGGATTACTTACTGGGTGACTATGTCCCTCTCGTACCCTGTTACCTTGAAGGGTCACAGGGTGTTGGAGTGGCATAGTCATCCACGGACGGATAATTGAGTGTCCTCAAATATCAGTCACCTTTGGGAATTGAATCCGTTTGAAATTGTTTCTAGAGAGATGCAGAAATTTCTGCAATTTAGAAAGAAGGATTAAACACTTCTCAAAAATGCACTCGGTGCATGTTAAGTACTATCATTCTTTGATTTGATGCTCTTCCCAATTTTTCAAGCTTCATAGACTCGAAAACTAGAACTAAAGAAGCGCCAACTTCCAGGCTCCTAAACTCAGAACTGAAAAAGGAGTTGGTTTTCTTGCGAATTTCTTTTTCCGTACGATTCTTATTTTCTGGTGACAATGTTGTAGCACTGACAAATCGACTATCAAGAAGAGGTCTCCAATTTATGCTGGGGACATTACACATATTTAGAATGCCTTCAACAGATTTCAAGGAATGAGATGACAGTGAGGATACTCCAAGTTTTTCCAAAAGATACCTGAGCATGGCATGGTGTGGTAACTTGCAAATGAGGACTTGTCTACAGACTTCACACAGCAGCGTTGGTATACCTCCAAAATTAAATATATAAAGAACAGCAGAAAAAGTCACAGCTTGGCCACGATTTTCTTAAGAATAGTGTACAAAGACTTCCAGTTTTAAGGCTTATTATACACAGAAGAATAAGCAAAACATAATATCCGGAAATGACAAAATTTAGCCAGCTGTAAAAACTCCCATTACTATCAGTAAGGATTCTTTTGATGCTACTACTTTTTAACAGAACTTTTTCAACAGCTTACCAAAAACCAATAGGACACCTCTATGTCTAGCTGTCCATTGGTTGGAAAGAAACAAGAAATAAAAAGAAAGAGTAGTAAATTAATTAACCTTCTTGTCTCCTAGAGCAACACAGTTTAAATATGCATAAATTATGTGAGGCAGGAACTGGAGAACGAAGCGCTTCAGTTCAGTTTCACCTGATCTATAACACTCGAATAGTGTCTTGCAAGCAGGGTCCAGGACCTAAAAATAGAAACGTTTAACGAAAATTGGTCAAAGAAGAAGTTACCGCTCATTCACTTTTACGAGAGAACAATAATCTCTCTTACTTTTCTACAGTATGAAACTAAAATTGTACACTTTGACAGTTTCTTGTACACCTTTTGTACTCTACTGTCACACAAATAAATTGTGATCATACTCTTGAGTCTTTAATTTTGTCAAGGGAGTTAGAGGCACTATTTATACTCCCGAGCTAATTTTTGAACCCAACAAAAAAGGGGAAAAAATTGAAATTGGCGTTTTCATCCTTAATCAGGGGGACAATAGCACTAAAATATTTAAATGAGAATTTGAGAAAAAATTTATAATAGAATTTAAACAAGTTTTTATTCAAAGGAAAAAAATTATTTTGGAACCTCTGCTAGGACACCTTCACAAAACATTACCGAACACTGATTTCCTGAGAACAACATCTGAGACTGTTGTGATGTTTGCTGTTCTATTGAGACATCAATCTTCAAGTATAATCGAAAATTCAATATCAGAAAGCCGACAAAACTATTGTTTGAGACAAAAACAGTGCAATTTCTAGATTTTTTCAATTTTAATCGAACAAAATGTTTTATTGCAGAGAAACCAACGAATGTTCTTCTTTAATACTTCCTAAATACTTAATCTACTACTTAGGACTTAAACTGACAAAATGAAACATGATGGTGATCAGGATTCTTCATAATAGAGCATTACGTGAGGAAGAAAATGCAATATCATGTCTGAAGTTACTACATTTTCGCAGTGAACGGCAGAACAGGACTAGACTGTTGAATGTTTTATTGTCCATTAATTTTCTAACCAATTACTGAGAAGATACAGAGCACTGATCCTCTTAAATTTTCTTCATTTCTACATTTCATAAGAAAAGACAGACTTTCAAAGTTCCTTAAAATCCAATGTTACGGTGCAATATACGGCCATGCAATCGATCTTTACATTCATCTTCAAGTAAACGTATAAGTGAAGTGCCCTGTCCCTAAAACATCTGGTAAATTTTTAGTGTTAACACCATTTCTATTTTAAATGAGAAATTGGTATTTCACCGGTCAATCTCTCGGTATCTTGTGAATTGGAGAAAGCGTGCGGTGGGAAGATGGGTTGCTCCTCTATTCACTTTGTTATAGAATGGCGGCTACTAGGAGGGAAGAGAACGGTCCGTCATCTTCATATCAATACGACAAACCTAGTGAGGTCTATGCATGTCCTTCTGCCCTGCCCACATGCTAGCCTTTTTGCTCACTTTCACCCCACAGTCCCTGCTTTGCCAAACAAGCCAGGTTCTTCCACTAACGCAGTCTCAAGTCTGTCTTGAAAAAGTGACTGAACTAGTCTCATTGGAGAAAACGACCATTACCTAGTGAACTTGGTAGAAATTATTATGTAACTTTCATGGATTGGAAATGGCTGAGAGGGGTCATGATGATTGGAAGAGTTTGAGACAAAGACGATTCATTCTATACTATCTACCACCACAGTAAAAAACCATGTATCTCCAATTGAAACACTGCAGGCTTCCTGTCATACTTGAGGGAAAACTAGTCAATGTAATTTCTTGAAAAATTCCTTAATTTTTCTTCTCTGTTTGCATAATATGTTCTTTACAAAGTTCAAGCTATAAAGTTGGCTTGTTCCTCCACAAAAAAATAAAATAGGAGTGGCAATTTAGTAACACTGCAACCAAGATATATGGTTTTACACTTTCGCCAAAAATATGAGATCATTTAGAATTTATTCAAACTCTAGAGCCCATATCAAGAGCCAATTGTTTTTACAAGCAATAGGTAGAAACTTTGACAGCCTACCAGTGGCGATTTCTGCATGTACTCTAGGGAAGCACTGCTCCCCCTGAGCAATGGGAAATGATTTTCTTTTTTTCAAGAACACTAATAATCTTTTAACAATTATAGTGACAGCAATTAGAAAATTGTTTCACAGTACGCAAAGTAGCAAGGAGCGAATGAAAGACGTTGAATCATCTAGCGGCTATATGAGAATGCGAACGTGACAACACCGCCTGTACGCAGTGGTCACTGCAGCGTCCGCGCTCGGGCTCGTGACGAGGAACACAGAGCTGCAGGAAGCGTTTCCCAGTGTTGGTAGTGTTGGTAGTGGTATATCAGACCACAACGATTACAGCGCTAGTACGCTGCGCCTCGAGTAGCGTATACGCCTGATGTAGGGCAGAGAGGGGAGAGCTGCTCGTCATGTTCCAATCTCAAGTCTGCTCCTCATTGCTCCTCCACCAGACAGTTGTACGGAGGTTGCGATGAGCGGTGCCGTGTCACAGCATACTAGCGCTGTAATCGCTGTGGCCTGATATACCACTAACAACACGTCAAAATCTGTTTAGGACACACACACGACCCCCCCTAGCGTCAATTCAACTTCCCTAAATTTCATGGGCAGGAATCGCTACTGCAGCCTACAGCCTACTGAAGTGCTCTTCCTATTGGCTCTTCCTTAAAGATAGTTGCGGGCACATACAAAACTTAAAGTAAGTTTACATTAAGTCTGGTAAAAATAAGAAAATAATTAGTCAATCATACCTTGCTATATTTGCTCCATTCCTCAAAAATGGAATAAATTGCCGATGAAACCTTGACATTATTGTTTTGCAGACTTGCAAATGTGTGAATTTCCTCTTTGGATAGAGCCACAAATTCAGCAACCCATTCTAGGATAGTTTGCTCAACCATGACACCAGATTGAGTAGATCATTTGTCTATAGAACAAAAAGGATTTGATGAAAAAATACAAAGTAATGTCTATACAAGAAAAAACACAGCTATGCAACAACAATGCTATGAATGCTGGTGCATTTGAAACACTAACTATAATTATAGATATTGAATAAAACAGCTAGGAATAATGCTAAGTACAAGGATTTGACCGGAGTGAAAGGGCTACCAATGCTTAAGCACTTAATCGGGCTGGCATCTCTTATTTTAAGACTCTTAGAACATTTGGCGTTTTCGAAAATTAAGACTTTGCCAAGGATGGAACTAATAGAAAAAAGTTGATACTAGATTAGGCAGAAAGCTACATCACTAATTTAAAAGTAGAAGTTTGGTTAATCAAAAAAAAGGTATGAAATAAATGCAAGAGAGGAGATATGAAAGCTTACAGATAAGTATGATATGATATAATCAATATTGCCTCGAATGAAGAGTATTGCGCGGAGCTAAAGAGTGACTTGATGACTAACTTAAAAAGGCACGTAATATTGTACAAGTTCGTGTATCAAGTTCACCAGCAAGTTTATGAGCAACCCCATAAAATGTTACCGGAGAGAGCTCGAAAAAACTTATGGATGCTTACCTTCCCTCACCAACAGGTACAAAATAGAGCAAAGGATGGTTCTAAGTAGGGCACACGTTTGGGCGAAAGGAACCGTCGCTAAAGAGGTAGAGAATAGAAGCCAATGAAAATTAACAACCGGCGTTATTTGATTTAGGTGAGAGAATAAACCATGGTAAATTACTTAGGAGAAGGCTTGACTGGAAATCTTGTCGGGCTAGACCGATCATAACATGTATCAGTACAGTACACATGAAAATGAAACATGGAAATCAAGGTTAGCAAGGATCATATGATGCACAGGTTGACTGTAGAAAGGAGTACAAACTACCCCAGTAATATGATGATTTTTGCAATAAAAACGATAAAAACTAATGAAATGCCTTTTAAATAACAATTAGTTGACAAAAAATATTCATTTTAAATCCATATATGTAAAATATTTTATCATGGCGGTGATCTAATAAACAAAATGAGTTCACTCGACTATAGGGAAGTTTCGAAACGTTTTGTTGGTGTCACATTGAGCATTGAAAACAAATGTAAACAAACTGCATGGTACCAGGAACTATCTTCTTATCAGCATCAGCTACTGCCTGCTTGCTTTTCGCCGCTTTTCGCATGCCTTACCTTTAGCCTCTTTCCACGCGTTTACTCTTTGATCTAAGTATTGTAACTTCTGTTTGATCCGTCAACTCTGATTATCATTTTAGTGGCGTGAAAATATTCTCGAAAGTATACAGTCTAATCCTTGAAGCATTATTTGTACTCAGGCTTACGAAAGGTAATTTCACTTTGCACAACCACATTTATATTCCTGTTGTCGCTCTGCGTCGAAACCTTATTTAGTGATATATTGAGAAAGTCACATTTCAGTGATACTATCGTCAACGATTAAGAAACTTAGGCTCCCAACACATGGTTTTGTCTATTTTAAGGTTATTTGCATGATATATACTATCTGGTTACTTCACATTTGAGCATAACTGTATCAGGAAGTTCTGTCTGGTAAGAATTTTGAGTGTTACTTACTACTAGGGTAATAGAATCAAAGCGGGTACTCGCTCAGCCAAAAATGGACTATTCGGACATCCAGGTGGTTCAAAATTTCGTGTATTTACATGGGCGATGTCGTTGCTGTAAGCTGCTTTCCCTTGAATTTGGGTCAGGTTTTTAAAGTTTTATTGATTTAATCAGCATTCTGAAGCTCTGATCTTCGGATTTCCAAAGTTTTGGCAACATTGTATTGGTAGGTTTTTGTGAAATTTACCTCTAAAATTCCTGCAACTCTTTACTAATGGACGTGTTATTGTATGCCTCAACTCTCTTGACCAATCAGAAAGTGGACTATCCCTGTCCAATGCTTTTCTACACGACGATGTTAGAATGCGATTTGTGAATAGTCCATTTTTTTATTGGTCGATCGCTTCTTAGCGCAAGACGGGAATGAAGTACCCGATTGATTCTAGGTTACCCTAGTAGCTGCCAATAACAAACAGGACCTCACACAACTGGAGATATGTTTGAAAATAATTGCCATGGTTAGGGGTTTTCTTTTATTGGACGGTGATACCATTGATCACCAAACTGCGTATTTTAACTCACTGGTCAGTGCTGATGTAACGACCAGAGGAGCCATTGCCGGTGGATTTGGTACCACTAACCTACCGCTCGGAGCACTGGAGATTTCTCCGGTACTTTCAATTCACCGGTCCACCGGTGGACAATCTAAACCGTACTTCAGCCAGAGATCTCAGGCCAAAAATAAACAAATCAGAAAATGTGAGTATTCCGGCGCCGCTGAGTCTGATGATTCCACTCTGCATCGTCACTGTCGCCTATGTATTGAATTAAGTAATATTCAGGTTTTTTTAGTGTTATTTTTCGTTGCACTTCAATTATGGCAGAAAAAGAGTTAATGCTGGTACATTGAGTATGCGTTTACACTACTGCAGTATCATTGCAGTAAAGGTTTGAAGAGAGGAAGAAATCCATTCGTTCATATTAGTGGGAAGTGCGTTCTTAAACTCCCGACTGATAGCGGCCATTTTTGTACCAAAATGGCGACTGGTGAATTTCCACCGGTGGCTCCACAGATCAGAAAAAGAAAACGCCTGTTGTAAAAATTATTGCTATGGCATGTAGATCAGAACAGAACCGTACCAAATTGGAGGGGTTGCTGTGAGTGGGCCAAAACTAGCTTTTTTCTAAAATTAGAACATCTTAGAGCGGTAAAAGTTGAATAGTGGCACCTGTCTGAAGCCTACCAAAAGTTTTTCCTTAACAGCTTATGAAATTGTGACCTTTGGTTTTCTGAAAAGTTACTTTTTCAATTCATGCATTCTTTGCCTAATCCACCGTAGTTCTTAAGCATGTTAAATTTGGTCTGAGCCCTCATTTTTTGTGTGTAAATTCATATTAATTAGTATTTTAAGGTGTGTTGATGAGTTTAATTAATATCAAAAAGAATCCATATAATTTTTGTTAACACCCTGCCCCCTCCCTGCGGGCCCACGACGATACTCTCATTTTCATTTTCTTCTATCATTTTGACAAACTTGTTGAAAATCAGCTCTTGATTTTAAGACCATTCTGTTATCAGATTAATTAGTCTTGTTCCCTAGACACAAAAGGCCCCCCCCCCCCTCCTGGAAGCTCATCATTAGGCCAAATTATTTACTTTGGTTGAAATTGCTGCGATCTTCACAATTTTTTTGCTCTACCTTGGCAAGCATTCACAAATTGGCCTTTGATATTTAGAGGCCCTCCGTAGGATATTAAAAGGGTTTCAAAATTATTTTGCTGGGACATCAACATTTAGTCCAGATTTGCTCTTCCGCTAAATTTCCTAGTGTGCACCGCCGTCTTATTTCTTGTCAGCTGTCACATTCGTTTGAATTGTTATGTGTGCTGACACTGTCTTCTGGAATGAATAAAAATTTCCTTAGAATTGTAGATTAATGTCTGATATCTCTTTTCACAGTTTGAATAAAACATGGCGACCTTCTTAAGAACGGTCAAAAAGTCGAAGAAACCACCCATAAGAGTTATCCACAATCCAAAAATTAGAACCAACGTACCAGCAGGAATGGCTTCATCAGGTCCGCCTCTCGGTTCACAGTTGGGATGTGTTAGTATCATATTATATACTGATTATCAATCTTCTGTACCCACCCCTAATATAAGTTAAATTAGCTAGTACCTCTAAAGATACACTCCTCTAATTTTAAATTATGCTTTTGTTAAATAGTTCAGAGCTTTTCTCATATTGAGAGTCTTTTCTGGATAACTATTTTGCGGAGCATGTGGTGCAAACTCTAATTTTCTTTTGTACCTTTGCCTTTCAAACCTACAAAAGTAGACTTTATAATACTTTACTGATTGGCAAGCTAATGCTTGAAACAAACCCAAACTAAACTTGCAGTAAGGAGCATAGTGTCAGCTTTCTAACAAGCCAGGGATTTTGAAATTTTCCTCATAAAGATAAATGGATCTCTCTACGCAGCTCTCATTGAAATATGCCTTCTTCAAAGGAAAAATAATTATTTTCTTTTCTTTTTAGAGAGGTGTAAATATATCTGTATTCTGCAAAGAATTCAATGAAAGAACGAAACATTTGAAAGAAGGGATCCCGCTGCCTATAAGGTGCACAGTCAAGCCAGACAAATCTTATACTTTGATTATCAATCAACCCACAGCAACTTACTTTTTAAAGCAAGCTGCAGGAATCCAACGAGGTGTCATGCAACCTGGTAAGTTACTCAGATTCTATTCATTACTAAAACAGCTAAACATGAGACATTTTTCAGCGTGCTTTGAAAGTCTAGTCCTTAATTTTTTGTAACGCAGAAAACCTTTCAGCCAAGTAGTGTTCTTTGATTTAGTCTATACTATTAACATATGCACACAAACTGTCCATCTCCTGTAGTGTTATGGTTGTAGTGCTGGCTCTATAATTAAGAGGTCCTGGGTTTGATTCCTGGCTAGGCCACTGTAGTTTGCTGTAAGGGCTGGTTGTATAGTAGTCACTGAGGGGATGGGGATCCTACTAAAAAGTGCAGGATTACATCTTGTGTGGTACTTCAATTACTTAAAGAAAAAAACTAGAGTTGGCCAACTGCATTTTCATGTTATACAATTTTCTCTCATAAGCACTGTATTTAGCAAAAACCTAGAAAGACAATGCTCTCAAAAGTAGGTATTATGAATACATGCCCAAAATCCTGAACAAAATGTTGCCTAGTTTTTGTAAAAAAAAAAAAAAAGAGAGAGAGAGAGGGAGATTAGGAAACATGCACTGTTTTCAAGTTGACTCTAGTTGGAACTGTCTACTTGTATGTCCCCTATAGTCTTATATATTTCTTTATGTTCTTCTTTATATTCAATCCCTACCGTTTCAACAAGTTGTTCAATATTTGTTAAGATTCAAGTTTTACATCGGTTTCCATTCAAATACACTTACGCTTATGCACTGTAAATAGGAAACTTAAACACGTGGAATAAAATGCTATAAGATTTCTGGGGTGCGATGACACCAAATTAACCTCAATCAGGACAAAGGTTCTCTCTTCATTGAAAAAAAAAGGCCAATTATTTTTTCATGTATTGAACAACTTGTGGAAACAGAGGAGTTTGAATATATTGATATTTTACCCTAACTGAAACCCCTAGAAGTGAAATCTCTGTTTGGTGATCATGATTCGCTCGATACTTAGCAAAAATTCTTCTTGTCAGAAGAAAAAAAAATACAGACAAAGCACTTGAGGTAACCAACTGATTATTGACAACTGTGCACTGATGATGACTGCTGTGCAAAATTAGGAATTAAACTGTTGCGGAATCACTCTGTTACGAAGTCACCCCAACTGATCCTGTATGTTAAGAACAGAAAGTTCTTCACCTCACCCATATCTGTATCTGTTATTTCCTAAAGGTGACCGATTTTATCAGCTAGAACTCTGCTATTTTCTGTGCAACTTAAATGTAGTCGCTTTGAGGATGCCAGAATTTGAGCGGGAGATTGCTTTGAGTTAAGTAAACAAATGACTGAGTGAGCTGAGCAGAATTTCTAATCTTTCCATCAAATTCTTGTTTGATCTCTATACTAATTCGTGTTCGAACTATTTTTGTTTCTTTTACAGGAAAAGAAGTAGGTGGCAAAATTACCTTCAAACATCTCTATGAGATAGCAAAAATAAAGAAACAAGACTACAACCTAGAATGTACAGATATGAAAACAATATGTGCACTGTTAGCAGGTTCTGCTCGAACTCTTGGTATTGAGATCGTCCGAGAAATAGATCCCAAGGAATATGCAAAATTTCTAGAAGAGAGGAAAGTAGTAGTTGAAGAGCAACTGCAGGTTTTGAAAGAAATCAAGGAAGCTAAAATGCTACGAACTGGATAATTTCTCATTCTACCAACCGTAAATTTCATGCCTTTGTTGATGAAAATTTTATGTCAGATTCGCAATGATGTATTTTAATAATCTGGATTAATTCTAAAAGGTAACAGCCTGTTGTCTCCAGAGCATGGAGCAAATTATTTCCGCAAAGCCATGTAGTCTGAAAATGTCACTCAGGTGGTATTATTTCTTAGACAATGGTCAATAATTTTTACAGTAGAAAGCCAACTTCAATTTCACCCAACGAGAATTTCAAAGATAAATTGGTGACCCCTTTGCTCCTAGTATATTTTACATTTCTCAAAACTTTGTACCTTATTCTGAACAGAAGGAATCCTTACAAAATCTTTACACAAGTAGAGCCATGTAAGTTATATTAAGAATGTTTCTTGTTAATACTATAAATGCTAAGGAGACATGAACTGTAATTACTAATTATTTATTTAAAATAAGTTCTATTAGTTTGTGTTTTTTATTTAATGTTTATGTAGTCAGGTTGGATGTATACTTTTAAATCCGCAGGATCTTACAGTAAACAATATTTTCTAAAAGTTTAAATGATTTTCTTCTCTTAGTTTGTAATTTGTTTGATGTTTATTAAATTTTCTCTCTGCAGCATTAATCTAGGTCTAGTTCAACCTTTCCAGACAGTTTTGTTTCAAAGAAATGTGACCCATCATATGTATGTGTGATTTCACGATAACAGGAATAGTTGTTGCCATGGGTCCTGAACAACATCGGGCCAAACTGAAGTGATAAATCAGAATGAACGATGGCCATGAGCACAATCTTGCAAAAAAAACATGAGGAATTATTATTATTATTATTTTTGATGATATGAGACCTTTTTAAAAACAGAAAATGTTTGGCCAATCATGCGTTGCCAACCCAAATTTTGAAACAAAAGAATAATTTTTGGCAATGAATTTGTAATGATCATGGATTCTCCAACAATATCTAGGGGTTTCTGATGTTCTTGTGAGTTCTCAAAAAGTACGGGTGTTTATCTGTTGTTGGCAACTTCAGTGAATTAAAGAGAAGTAGATCATTACAAGATCATTGTACTTTAAATTAGTGATGGAAGTCCTAATTTTTCTCGTGAAAGGGTGGACTTGGATTGAAAAAGTAAGAGGGACTACCAACCCATCAGTACTTTGACTGTCCCATTTTAGGTGGTTTTAGAGGAAGAGTACATACTTAGAGCAGTGCAGTGACAATAGGTAAATGACAGCTAAGTAGCCATGACTGATGACAGTCTAAACATTTTTTAAAAACTCACAAGTTTTGAAAGACAACTTGTGAAACAATAATTGTTATAATTCATGCTCTAAAGGAAAGCGATTTTGAAAAATTCCAAAGAAATAATTTCCTTTTTCTCATACTTTTGCATGTAAATTTTACCAGACTTAGATTTTCTTCAAAAAATATAACTAGGTACACAAAGCGTTTCTTCAAACATATGTATAACTTTAGGCAGATTTTTCAGGGTTCCTAAAAAGTACTATCTCAGGCCTTGTCTCCACGTAACGTTTTCATGGGATTTGTCCCAAGTTCGAATCGCAGGAATGAAACTTCTTGGATTTTTCCCAGTTACCGTCTCCACGGGATGGGGCTCATACAGTCCTGCGACTAGTTTGCGCGGGAAGGTAAATTAGTTTAAGTCGAGTATTTAGACGGAATTAAAATACAAATTGCACTCAATCGACAACCAAATACATTATTTTAACTAACCCAACATTAACAATGGAGTAATGAATAAAATATCGCACAATTCGTTTTCTCCTCTTCTTCCTCTCTCAGTGGGTACAAGCACCATACTTGGTACTGGTAACTTCGTAAGTGGGATTTTTCCCAGGGACAAATTCCGTGAAACATTCCGTAGAGACAAGACCTAACAAGCATTGTTACAAGGGAGCTGCACTTAGAAAAACATGCACAGTACAAATTGTAAATTTATTGTTGCCCAACTGGGACTCTTCGAATGACTGAACCTTGACTGTCTGCTACAGAGAAACACTGACAATTTCTGGCTATTCCATTCCTCGGTTCAATTTCATTATTAAGTAATGATTTTGAAGCAGTTCAGATAATCAAGGTCAAAGTCAGATAACATGAGGATCAAATTTTTTCAAGGGTGTGATGCATGTATGTTGTTCCACACTGAAGAATTTGGACTTTTTAGAGTGGGGACTAAAAGTGACATGTTCAGTTTTATAGCTTGATCCAGAGTCCAAGTACTAATTATTGAACACAATGCAACAAGAATATTGCAGTAATTTAATAATATGCAGTATTTTTACACCCGTTGGTCAGTTAATGCAAATTTTAAGGGATCAATTTGCAATATCAAAAAAAATTTCAACTAATTTCAAAACAATTTGCAACACAAAAAAATTGCAACTTATTGCAAAAAAATTCAACTACAGGAGCCCCTTCCATAAGTGAATAGAAAACATACCTTTCACTACGGCACGAAAGAAATAACATAATGAGGCATACATGCATTTAAGGAGCAATGGTTTTGGTTCCACGAAAAGGGGCGACCGAGGATGCAACCGCTCTCAGAGGGTCGTGGGGGGACGCAATGCGCTTTGTCGGAATAACAACGCAAGTCCCGCCTGGCGATTGTTTTCTCTCTCGCACTTATCCGCGAGACGCTTGGCTATTTTCTATCTCTCTCGCACACTTAGGCGAGCTGCCTGGCTGTTTTCTGTCTCTCTCGCACACCCAAGCGTGTGAGGGTGCAACCGCTCTCAAAGGGTCGCGGGGGAACGCCATGCGCTTTGCGGAAAAATAACGCGAGACCCGCCTGGCAATTTTCTTTCTCTCTCGCACTTGTTCGCGAGGCGCTTGGCTATTTTCTATCTCTCTCGCACACTTAGGCGCGAGCTGCCTGGCTGTTTTCTGTCTCTCTCGCACACCCAAGCGTGTGAGGGTGCAACCGCTCTCAAAGGGTCGCGGGGGAACGGCATGCGCTTTGCCGGAAAACAACGCAAGTCCCGCGTGGCAATTTTCTTTCTCTCTCGCACTTATACGCGAGACGCTTGGCTATCTTCTATCTCTCTCGCACACTGAGGCAAGCTGCCTGGCTGTTTTCTGTCTTTCTCGCACACCCAAGCGTATGAGGGTGCAACCGCCCTCAGAGGGTCGCGGGAGAACGCCATGCGCTTTGCAGGAAAAACAACGCAAGTCCCACCCGGCGATTTTCTTTCTCTCTCGCACTTATACGCGAGGCGCTTGGCTATTTTCTATCTCCCTCGCACACTTAGGCTAGCTGCCTTGCTGTGTTCTGTCTCTCTCGCCTACCGAAGCGTATGAGTGTGCAACCGCACTCAGAGGGTCGCAGGGGAACGCCATGCGCCTTTGCCGGAGAAACAACGCAAGTCCCGCCTGGCGATTTTCTTTCTCTCTCGCACTTATACGCGAGACGGTTGGCTACTTTGTATCTCTCTCGCACACGTAGGCGAGCTGCCTGGCTGTTTTCTGTCTCTCTCGCACTCTTAAGCGTGTGAGGGTGCAACCGCTCTCAGAGGGTCGCGGGGGAACGCCATGCGCTTTCCGGAAAAACAACGCAAGACCCGCCTGGCGATTTTCTTTCTCTCTCGCACTTATACGCGAGACGCTTGGCTATTTTCTAGCTCTCTCGCACACTTAGGCGAGCTGCCTGGCTGTGTTCTGTCTCTCTCGCACACCCAAGCGTATGAGGGTGCAACCGCACTCGGCGGGTCGCGGGGGAACGCAATGCGCCTTTGCCGGAGAAGCAACGCAATTCCCACCTGGCGATTTTCTTTCTCTCTCGCACATATACGCGAGGCGCTTGGCTTTTTTTTATCTCTCTCGCACACTTAGAGGAGTCACCTGGCTGTTTTCTGTCTCTCTCGCACACCCAAGCGTGTGAGGGTGCAACCGCTCTCAGAGGGTCGCGGGGGACCGCCATGCGCTTTGCCGGAAAAACAACACAAGCCCCGCCTGGCGATTTTCTTTCTCTCTCGCACTTATACGCGAGGCGCTTGGATATTTTCTATCTCTCTCGCACACTTAGGCAAGCTGCCTGGCTGTTTTCTGTCTCTCTCGCACACCCAAGCGTATGAGGTTGCAACCGCTCTCAGAGGGTCGCGGGGGAACGCCATGCGCTTTGCGGAAAAAAAACGCAGGTCCCGCGTGGCAATTTTCTTTCTCTCTCGCACTTATACGCGAGACGCTTGGCTATTTTCTACCTTGCACACCCAAGCGTGTGATGGTGCAACCGCTCTCAGAGGGTCGCGGGGGGAACGCCATGCGCTTTGCCGGATAAACAACGGAAGTCCCGCCTGGCGATTTTCTTTCCCTCTCGCACTTATACGCGAGATGGTTGGCTATTTTCTATCTTACTCGCACACTTAGGCGAGCTGCCTGGCTGTTTTCTGTCTCTCTTGCACACCCAAACGTGTGAGGGTGCAACCGCTCTCAGAGGGTCGCGGGGGAACGCCATGCGCTTTGCCGGAAAAACAACGCAAGTCCCGCCTGGCGATATTCTTTTTCTCTCGCACTTATACTCGAGGCGCTTGGCTTTTTTCTATCTCTCTCGCACACCTAGGCGAGTCGCCTGGCTGTTTTCTGTCTCTCTCGCACACCTAAGCGTGTGATGGTGCAACCGCTCTCAGAGGGTCGCGGGGGAACGCCATGCGCTCTGCGGAAAAACAACGCAAGTCCCGCCTGGCGATTTTGTTTCCCTCCCGCACTTATACGCGAGACGGTTGGCTATTTTTGATCTCTCTCGCACACTAAGGCGAGCTGCCTGGCTGTTTTCTGTCTCTCTCGCACCCTCAAGCGTGTGAGGGTGCAACCGCTCTCAGAGGGTCCCGGGGGAACGAGATGCGCTTTTCGGAAAAATAACGCAAGTCCCGCCTGGCGATTTTCTTTCTCGCTCGCACTTATACGCGAGACACTTGGCTATTTTCTATCTCTCTCGCACACTTAGGCAAGCTGCCTGGCTGTTTTCTGTCTCTCTCGCACACCCAAGCGTATGATGGTGCTACCGCTCTCAGAGGGTCGCGGGGGAACGCCATGCGCTTTGCGGAAAAACAACGCAAGTCCCGACTGGCGATTTTCTTTCTCTCTCGCGTTAATACGCGAGACGCTTGGCTATTTTCTATCTCTCTCGCACACTTAGGCGAGCTGCCTGGCTGTTTTCTGTCTCTCTCGCACACCCAAGCGTATGAGGGTGCAACCGTTCTCAGAGGGTCGCGGGGGAACGCCATGCGCTTCGCGGAAAAACAACGCAAGTCCCGACTGGCGATTTTCTTTCTCTCTCGCACTTATACGCGAGGCGCTTGGCTTTTTTCTATCTCTCTCGCACACGTAGGCGAGCTGCCTGGCTTTTTTCTGTCTCTCTCGCACACTTAAGCGTGTGAGGGTGCAACCGCTCTTAGAGGGTCGCGGGGGAACGCCATGCGCTTTGCCGGAAAAACAACGCAAGTCCCGCCTGGCGATTTTCTTTCCCTCTCGCACTTATACGCGAGACGCTTGGCTACTTTGTATCTCTCTCGCACACACAGGCGAGCTGCCTGGCTGTTTTCTGTCTCTCTCGCACTCATTAGCGTGTGAGGGTGCAACCGCACTCAAAGGGTCGCGGGGGAACGCCATGCGCTTTGCCGGAATAACAACGCAAGTCCCGCCTGGCGATTTTCTTTCTCTCTCGCACTTATACGCGAGACGGTTGGCTATTCTCTATCTCTCTCGCACACGAAGGCGAGCTGCCTGGCTGTTTTCTGTCTCACTCGCACACCCAAGCGTGTGAGGGTGCAACCGCCTTCAGTGGGTCGCGGGGGAACGCCATGCGCTTTGCCGGAAAAACAACGCAAGTCCCGACTGGCGATTTTCTTTCTCTCTCGCACTTATACGCGAGGCGCTTGGATCTTTTCTATCTCTCTCGCACACCTAGGCAAGCTGCCTAGCTGTTCCCTGTCTCTCTAGCACATTTAAGCGTGTGAGGGTGCAACCGCTCTCAGAGGGTCGCGGGGGAACGCCATGCGCTTTGCCGGAAAAACAACGCAAGTCCCGACTGGTGATTTTCTTTCTCTCTCGCACTTATACGCGAGACGGTTGGCTATTTTCTATCTCTCTCGCACATGTAGGCGAGCTGCCTGGCTGTTTTCTGTCTCTCTCGCACACTTAAGCGTGTGAGGGTGCAACCGCTCTCAGAGAGTCTCGGGGGAACGCCATGCGCTTTGCCGGAAAAACAACGCAAGTCCCGACTGGCGATTTTCTTTCTCTCTCGCACTTATACGCGAGGCGCTTGGATCTTTTCTATCTCTCTCGCACACCTAGGCAAGCTGCCTAGCTGTTTCCTGTCTCTCTCGCACATTTAAGCGTGTGAGGGTGCAACCGCTCTCAGAGAGTCTCGGGGGAACGCCATGCGCTTTGCCGGAAAAACAACGCAAGTCCCGCCTGGCGATTTTCTTTCTCTCTCGCACTTATACGCGAGATGGTTGGCTATTTTCTATCTTACTCGCACACTTAGGCGAGCTGCCTGGCTGTTTTCTGTCTCTCTCGCACACCCAAGCGTGTGAGGGTGCAGCCGCACTCAGAGGGTCGCGGGGGAACGCCATGCGCTTTGCCGGAAAAACAACGCAAGTCCCGCCTGGCGATCTTGTTTCTCTCCCGCACTTATACGCGAGACGGTTGGCTATTTTTGATCTCTCTCGCACACTTAGGCGAGCTGCCTGGCTGTTTTCTGTCTCTCTCGCACCCTCAAGCGTGTGAGGGTGCAACCGCTCTCAGAGGGTCGCGGGGGAACGAGATGCGCTTTTCGGAAAAACAACGCAAGTCCCGCCTGGCGATTTTCTTTCTCGATCGCACTTATACGCGAGACGCTTGGCTATTTTCTTTCTTTCTCGCACACTTAGGCGAGCTGCCTGGCTGTGTTCTGTCTCTCTCGCACACCCAAGCGTATGAGGCTGCAACCGCACTCAGAGGGTCGCGGGTGAACGCATTGCGCCTTTGCCGGAGAAACAACGCAAGTCCCGCCTGGCGATTTTCTTTCTCTCTCGCATTTATACGCGAGGCGCTTGGCTTTTTTCTATCTCTCTCGCACACTTAGGCGAGTCGCCTGGCTGTTTTCTGTCTCTCTCGCACACCCAAGCGTGTGAGGGTGCAACCGCTCTCAGAGGGTCGCGGGGGAACGCCATGCGCTTTGCGGAAAAACAACGCAAGTCCAACCCGGCGATTTTGTTTCTCTCTCGCACTTACACGCGAGACGGTTGGCTGTTTTGTATCTCTCTCGCACACGTAGGCGAGCTGCCCGGCTGTTTTCTGCCTCTCTCGTACACTTAAGCGTGTGAGGGTGCAACCGCTCTCAGAGGGTCGCGGGGGAACGAGATGCGCTTTGCCGGCAAAACAACGCAAGTGCCGCCTGGCGATTTTCTTTCTCTCTCGCACTTATACGCGACACGCTCGGCTATTTTCTATCTCTCTCGCACACTTAGGCGAGCTGCCTGGCTGTTTTCTGTCTCTCTCGCATACCCAAGCGTCCCTGCCCTCCAGGGTATTTTCTATCTCTCTTGCACACTTACGCGTCCGACCGAGGGTGCAACCGCTCTCAGATGGTCGCGGGGGAACGCCTGGAAAAACAACGCAAGTCCCGCCGGGCGATTTTCTTTTTCTCTCGCACTTATATGCGAGACGCTTGACCATTTTCTATCTCTCTCGCACACTTAAGTGTGCTGCCTGGCTGTTTTTTGTATCTCTCGCACACCCAAGCGTCCCTGCCCTCCAGGGGATTTTCTATCTTTTTCGCACACTTAAGTGTCCCGCCGAAAGGGCAGAGCCGAGTGTACATTTTTAGCGCCCTAGGCCCTAATAGGGTAAACTTAGGGTACTTAGGGTGGCGCCCTTAAGAGTAGGCCCTCTCTTGATGAGATGGGGGTGTCCTTCAGACGCCCCTCCCCTCCAGATCAGAAGGTTGATGTGAACTTTCAGGCAAATGTTCAAATTCACGTTTAAAAAAAAACACGATTTCAAAGTTTTGAGGTACGTTTACGTTTGCAAATTGGTTTTGGAAAATAAAAAGTAACAAAACACTTGTTGAATTAAAAAAAAAAAAAATTCCCAAAAATTTTGCGCCCCTCAGAATGTTACGCTCTAGGCTGCAGCCTATGTAGCCAATTGGTAAATCCGGCCCTAGTTTCACTTCATTATTTTTAAGATTATCAACACTTTGCAGGAGATTTCTCTCCTTTTTTTTGGTATATATTCGGTCGATGACAGTAGTTTTCACTTTTCAGTTGCGAATTAAGTACGGGGGAGCGGGTGCATGGCGCGCTTTTACGTTTTTGGACGATGTAGCGGGGCTCCACTCCAGTTTATGTTGTGCGAGGTCATTTCCATATAATGAAAGAAGGAAGAGGCGGACAAAAACCATCAAAAACCCACCTAAGAGCTAGCTCCCTTGTCCTCACCCCTTCTAATCCTTCTCCAATAATACTATTTCCCTCTTTCTTCTTTCTTTTTGCAAAGCGCTGTCTTTTGTCCTTCCCTCTCATCATCTGTTGAGAGCTAGCGGAAGAATACATTTTGCTCTCCCTAATTACATATGTATGTGTATATACTCAATAATCTTATTAATCTGCACACAGGTAATCAGCTTTGTGTTTAGGGAATCGAAAAATTTTCCTGAAATTTAAAAAGCATCTAGAATGAAAAACCTCCTCTAAATTTTCCCCAATGGTAGCTGAATCAAGAACTATTTCTTTAAGGCACAGGAGGTTAGGAGTGAATTCGGCGCAAGAATCGTCTGCAGTTGTAAAGAGGTCATGTTTTGCCGTATCAGGGAGATAGCGTGCCGTGATTGTCGTGTTGTTGTGAGAATTTAATTTTATATTTATTTTTATCCGAGTTGTGCGCTGTGGATGATTAATCTTTTTTTAAATACGAAATCTACTTTCGTACTAAGGTGTATGCTTTCACATTAAATTGTGGTGTGCAATTTTTTTTCCACATCGTATTTCTAGACTTGACTAGGCCTCTTTGTAGGCAACTATCTCTCATGTTGTCTAAGTCTTAGCGATGACGTCTATGCTCCCTTCATTTTCTAATTCTAATAACCCAGTTGTAAAGAAATTATTAGGGTGGACAAAAGGCGAAGGGGAAGACAAATACTGCGAGAAAGCTGTCAAAAGTTTGGTGAAAAAGTTAAAGCGGATCAACTGTTTAGATGAGCTTGAGAAGGCCATAACCACTCAAGACCCCAACACAAAGTGTATCCCAATACCAAGGTATATTTTTTATTCCCTTAGCTAGATTATATTCCATATTTTGGTTACATTAGTCTGTGAAGCCTATCCAGACCAGATAATGTCAACCACCTGGCCTGGCCTCCATCCAACAGGGTTGTTCCTGGAGCCTGGCGGATGAAGTGCAAGCAAGGGAGACAGAAGGAAGAACTGTCATCAGCAGCATTACATAGTCTATGAGACATGTTTGTAGGAGAAGGAAGTAATGAGAGATGATTGCACAATACGAACTCGCTGTAATAGATGCGCTGCCCTGGCGCTTACGTCAACTGAAAACCCCTGCTGGAATATACGTACACGTAACCATTTCTGCAGGCTGATTATCGAAAGCTTAAAGCAGCCCGATAAGACATCGAAATCCAGTATATTGCGTGGTTAAGATAGGGCTATGTCTGTCAGTGTGAGCTTATGTAGTTTCAATAATCGAGCTACTGACCAGATAATCATTTTCATTCATCAATTTTCTGTAATTACTCAGAAGATCTTTTGGCGTAACTATTTGTGCTTCTCTCTTAGTAAACAGCGAAGATGGGGGAAGTATGAGCATGTCATTTCATGGAAATTCCAGGGCCTATAAGCGCAACCAACCCTCCCAAATGAAATATCTGAAACAGAGTTATTGTCAACCTCCACATGAAGATCTAGCTTAAACCCGGACTATTTTCTATACGGAAGTGAACGAGAAAAAAAAAATGGATACCATGAAAAATTCAGCTGAAAGGCACTTTCTGCACCCGAGGAAGCACCGTTTACATCTACAGAGAGAGATTTTGGTGAAAATTTTTTGATATCATTAAAAGTTGAGAAAACTCTTGAAAAACATCCTATAAATTTGCATTCTAATGATCCTCGGTTTTAATAAAAACACTTTGTTATTTTCTGAGAAAGTGAATTTTTGAATCAGAGAATCTCCCCCAATCTCATGAGAAATTTTGAATTCATCTCTTAACTTATTCTTCTTCCCTTTTTTTTCAGTGTCCGGAACGAAAAAGGAGACTTCTTTAATCGGTTAGTCATAATACTTATCTCTTTTTATCAGATTTTTTTTGGATATAATCTTGCTTTCTTACAAATATTCTAATTTGCTCTAGTTACAATAGAAATCCCTCTGTGATGAAATATTGATTGCTGACACCATGATGACATTTCACGGACTTATTTGTAAAACGGTAGTCTCATGTGAACATCCGCACTTACTTCTTTAAAAAGCATGCTAAGCAGAAGCTCTTAGGTAACTCCTATGTAAAACAAAGAATCAAGTCAATCTTGAGGGAAAAATTAAGGCAACAAGCCAATCTTTATCACGAGACCCTTTATTTGACGTGAAAAAGGAAGCCCATTGGTCAGGCAGTTTTTGAGAAAGGATGGGCACTATAAACAATGATGATAATACATTATCATGCTACTTGTCCAAATGCCAGGTGACTTGAGTCTGATGATCTCAGGCAATAGTCACTTGGGGCTATGTGCTAGGCTGGGACTGGGGGATTATTAATATATTTACTAAAGAAAAAGCATGTTTTACCAAAAAATGTAGAAATAATAAAAGAACATTTGGCCTGCAATTGGGTTTGCTTGTTTGGCAAGACAAATACATTTTACAGATGGATACAATATACATTAATAACATAATTCAAAGGCTTAAAACTATAATATATTTTCGGAAAGAAATGCATTATCTTAGTTGTCTAACATCCGGTGCTCCCTGATCCCTAGACTTCATAGAGAAAGTAACAAGTCCTAAAAACTTCTTCAGTGAACTCAAAAGTGAAAAAATTTATAAAAAATTCAATAAATGTAAAAGTCATTGAAGAAAAAGAAGCAGAAAAAGTTGAATCCTTCTCAAGGAGACTAAGCGTGGGAAAAAAGAAATTAATCTAACTTTAGAGTCCTAAGGGGGTCTTATTTTTATATGCTTTTGAGTGAAGTTAAAGCAGTCAATCATTCCACCTCAATTAACTTCAAACAAATTAATTCAATCTCGATAAAGCGGATTTTTAATAATGATTTACAAACTTTTCATTTCAGGACAAAAGGTTTACCTCACGTGATCTATTGTCGATTGTGGCGCTGGCCCCAGCTGCAATCCCACAGTGAATTGAGGCCAATAGAGACTTGCACCTACGCATTTGATCTCAAGCGAGATCAAGTTTGTATCAATCCTTATCATTATCAGAGAATTCACACTCCAGGTACCTAATTTACTCGTGCCTTGAAAACTAAATTATGCGTTCACTTCTCCGGAAACATTTGAATGGAATTTGTTATATTCCATTAAGATTGTTTGTGATGTGATCGTATGGAAGAAATCCATACTTGAAACATAAATGGCTGATACCTCGTTAAAAAACTGCATTTTTTATGAATGGCAGTCAAAATCAGTTTTTTAATTAGAGCAGGGTGTCTACTGCACGGAAAAAGTGCGGACATATGGGGTTTTCGGTGCCTTTAAAATTCCCAGTTCAAGTTCGGTTTGATTCCTTATGTTTTTTGGTTTATTCCTTTATCATTCCTATATCTCAATCGGAATAAAGTCAAATATGCGTGCGAGTTATGGAAAAAGTAAGAAAAAAGCAAGGATATCTGAGAATTGGCAGAAAAATGAATTTCCAGGAAACTAAGGAAAAAGTAAGGAAAAGGTACTTGAAAAGCAAGGAATTTGAATAACAGGGTACCCTAGACACCCTGTTGGATTGTTACTTTGTCTTCATGTATGAAAAAATGTATTTGTTAGCTAACCCCCTCACCCAATAAATTGTTACAGATTCATATTTTTATCCAAGTAGGGGATTTTTATTCTTCTCATTTTAATTTTTTTTAGTTAAAGCACTGGTAATAATCTCTTGTAACACTATTCAAGCAGTTTTTCAGTAAGATAGTATCTAACAGTGTAACTATTATGCAAACAGTATTAGTTAACTCAAGCTCTCACTTCCTGTTATATCTGAATGATTTTATTTACATTGTGACTGTCGCAGCCCTGCCAGCTGTCCTCGTTCCGCGACTGAGTGAAACAGCCAATACGGAGCCTCCATTGTTGGTGGATCTCCAGCAGTTGACTGCTCCTGAAAACACGTCAGCTCCACCTCCAACCGCCACGCTGGATCCACCAACAACACCGCCCGGATATATGTCCGAAGATGGGGACAACAATGATAATTTGAGTAAGTACAATCTCTCTGCCCCGAGACTTTCCTCTTGAAAATAATTACGGTCAAAGTTTGATGTACCGCAATGGGCCTGTTGCAAACTTTTGCTAGAGCAAAAATAAGAGTTGTTTCTTATAGATAATGCCTCAAAAATCACGATGAGCGCATTGGCAAAGTCTGAAATGCACTCATAACTTCACAGTCTGCGTAAGAAATTTGCGGTTTTTTGAGCTTCCCGCTTCAAAAACGATACTACGGCACAGGTGAACATTTTGTAAGAGGAGTCGTTCCATCGTCGGCAATAATCATCATGGCCGACGCCAATCCGCCAAAACACGTTTGATGGGACGGAGATAACACCTGAACTGGATTAGACCAGATAACAATCGGTGTGTTAACGTTCATATTTTCCACGCCCGAATTGATTGACATTGAACTCTCCTCGAATTACACGCGGAACTGTGCGCAAGCGTCGGCCATGATGAATATCGCCGACGATGGAGCGACTCCTCTAACAAAGTGTTCACCTGTGCCGTAGTATCGTTTTTAAAGCGGGAAGCTTAAAAAAACGCAAATTTCTTACGCAGATTGTGAAGTTATGAGTGCATTTCAGATTTTGCCGATGCGCTCATCGTGATTTTTGAGGCATTATCTACAAGAAACAACTCTTATTTTTGCTCTAGCAAAAGTTTGCAACAGGCCCATTGTCAGGAATTGCCAAAAATTTTGGTAAATAGATTGATCTGTTAAATTGAGAAGTCTGCTTTTTTATTCTTAGCAATAAATAACTGCATACAGTCTCTTCTAGAGTACCTTTATAGACAGAGTATGGCCATTCGTATCTTTCTACTACAGGAAAATTGTTCTGCTTTTTGATTGGTCAACGAGTTTTTAGGCTTCATGATGCTCTTAGGGCCGTAAATAAACAAACAAGATGGCGGCTCACCGTAACATCGATGAGAAGCTAAATTTGACAAAAATTTCAATTATGCGGCAGTAACAATTTAAACGAGCATATCTACGAATAGCACACGAAAAACACATGAAAACATTGTTAAATTGCCTTTCACCTTTATCACAGGAGGATGTAAGATGTGCATAACCTCAATCTTGCTTGCCGATAACGGCCATCTTGTTTGTTTATTTACGGCCCTAAGAGCATCGCGTCAGCCTATTCGCTCGCGACCAATGAAAAACCGGAACAGAAATGGCCGTACTCTGTCTATAAAGGTACTCTAGTCTCTTCCACGAACTCTTTCATGTCAGTCAATGCCGTTTCCTGCTTTCAGAGAACTGAAAAGAAAATTAAGGAAATAAATTGAAGAGGAAAAAAAATAAACAACTTAACTTTGACTGCTTTTACAAAGAATTTCTCGTCCCAGATTGCTTTCACACTAAAGTGCAAGAGGCGCATTCTCTGGACCCCTGACTCCATTCGAAAAAGCGATAATTTTGCAGTGTTGAACAAAGCACATGCAACCGGGCCTTGTGCGAAGCTCCTCAATTTTGGTTATAGTTCTCTCAGCCAATATGGCCTGCCACTCATCTTATTGCTATTGGATCTGAAAGAGTTCTGGCGATCTCTTGCTCATACTTTTTCATACGTTTACTTTCTTTCTCAAAACCAAGTCCCAGAAATAAGCAAAAATTCTAAAGGTTATTTGATATGCAAACTACAAAGCAAAAGTGACGTTTTATGTACGAGTAACTTTACAAGAATTTACAAGAATGGAAGTCAGTTATGATGGTTTTAATCTAGTACTTCTTACCAGAGTTTTAGTCTTAAGCTCTAAAACAATCTTTGAAAGCATGTAAACCGGTAATAAGCCATCTTATGTGGATCACTCGTTAACTTCCATTTCAACCACACAATGGATGGAGAAGAGATTGGTACATTCAGTCAGTTCCACTGGCATTTCCATGAGTTTCTCTTCAATACATCCTTATTTTGTATCAATGCTAAGTATATCGTTTGTGCAAGCACAAATCTGTCTGTGGTGGCAACATTTTCACTTGGAGGACAGGAAGAAAATTATGTGTGGTGTGAGCACTAGAAAACTGCACTTGACATTCGCGTAGCCTCAAATCATTAAAATCAAAAGAAAATGATGACGTTAGAAAGTAAACATTTTTTCGATTATGAGTCTCCAAGTCAGTAAGCATTCTCTAAATTTAAGGTGTAAAATTAAGTGACAAGCAGAAGAAGAAGAAAAGGCAGTTGGTAGAATAGTTGATAACTGGAAATGTTGCGGCAAAGAAAAGTCCCTGCAAAGATTTTACCCAGACTCTGTGCAAGACGGTTATATATTTTTAAAATGCAATTTTTTTTTAATTAGGTATGAGCCCCAGTCCTGCTTTGGACTCGCAACCGGTTATGTATTGTGAGCCGGTGTTTTGGTGTTCCATTAGTTACTATGAACTAAATACCAGAGTTGGTGAAACGTTTCATGCATCGCAGCCATCCATCTCTGTAGATGGTTTTACTGGTATGTAAATCTTTTTTGTGAATTATCCTTTTCCGCTCCCATACATTTCATCTAACTTTATTTTGATCTCTCAAAAACATACAGCCTACAGCCATCTCCTAGAGCTTTTTTTTTTTTTCAATGAGATTACATAAATGTAGAATGGGTTATAAGCGGTTTAAACCAATCAAATGACTTCAAGGAAGGGATGAAGCGATGGAACTGAAGGATTATGAACTTAAGTGAGGCCTTTAATATTGACCTTCACTTTGTACAAGTTCAATTATTTTATTTATGGGTTTCCAAACGTTAAATTTTATTCAGGCGCCTCCAGAAAGGTAAAGTCCCTAGTGGGGTAAACAAGGAAGGGCACATCTTGCATTAAATTTTAAATTGCTGCTACCCCAGGCGATCAAAAAAATATTGAAATTTTTTGCACCAGCTGATTCAGTGATGTACGTATTGTATAACTCTAACTGTACAGCATGGTATCTAGACGGTCGAAAACCGGAAAAATCCGCCATTCATCAGGGAATGAAAAATTTTAGGGAAAATCAGGAATTCTGTCCCAGAAACCGAAATTATCTTTTTCTTTCGCTTTGAGACTAATTTCTTCATTCAACTTCATTTCAATTTTCTCCTGGTTGTTTTACTACAGTCATTTGCCGAACATATATGAAAGTAATACTGAGTTTGTTTACAAAAATAAATTGTGGTACAAAACTTTTAAATACCTATTGATATTGAAGTATAGTATACACACTAGACAGCAGTGTCAAGCATGGATACCATTACTGACATCTAGAATGACACATCGAAATCTTGGTGTTATCAGAACCGTAGAGAATCTTTCATTGACAATATAATACAAACATCAAGAATGCTTTCAGGATAAAAAATTTAAATGTGTGCTTAAGAAACGGTTGAAAAATGAAAAAAAATTTGATATTCATGTATGGAACTCCGAGATGTATCACCCCCCCCCCCCCAAAAAAAAAAAAAAAAAAAAAAATCCTGGCAAAGTATAAGCAGACTTTGATTCCTCATCAAGGAATGAGCTCCTGAAAATCAAGGAAAACTCAGGGAATGAGAATGGCCATTCTAGATACCATGCTGTACAGGCAGGAATAATTCTGTATTTTGATACCTCTCATTTTTCTGTTTCAGATCCTAGCAATTCAGAAAGGTTTTGCCTTGGTCTGCTTTCAAACGTCAACAGGAACACAGTCGTAGAACAAATAAGAAGACATATTGGCAAAGGTGTAAGATTATATTATATTGGGGGTGAAGTTTTTGCTGAATGCCTTAGTGATTCTGCAATTTTTGTTCAATCTCCTAATTGTAATCAGCGCTATGGTTGGCATCCAGCCACAGTCTGTAAAATCCCTCCAGGTAAGTTTCTTGGTACCAGTAATCAAAACTATTTAGGGCCCTTCAGATAGAAATTATCTTATGCAGGAATTTGTTTCAGAAATCGAAAACTATTTGAAAATCTTTTGATTTCAATTAGAGTTGTTTCCTCTTATTTGATTTTAATCTGATATTTTAATTTCAGCAAGCTTTTAGCTTTTCAAGATTTTTCACCATGTTGACTTAATTTTGTACAGACAAAAAAACCCTAAAAATGTAGCCTGAACTGTAAGAAAAAGGATGGTAGAATATTCAACACTATTCTGCAGGGAAATCTCAAAAGGGAATTCTCAAGGCCTAAATTTCCACTAATTTTTATTATAGTCAAAAATATGAATTTTTTTAGTGTTTTTTGTCTGTACGCATAGTTGAGGGTATGTGCTTCTCCTGTTTGAGAGCGGGCAGTCAAGGCCAGATGCATTTACATCTCTAATTGCCTGATTATAATTTTCTCAGGTTTACCCTGTTTTGTCCTGAGAGTTGTTCAGCAGCAACGGCAGATGGCGCATAGTATCATGCTTTGTGTCATATTCACGACAGCGTTTCAATAGGGTTGTGGATTTTGCTGTAATGCTAAGCTAGGCTCACTGAAGAGTGTAATCCACTGATGAGATCTTGAAAGACCCAAACAGATATAACTCTCCATGCGTCAGCCCAGTTTAGTATTCCAATGCACCTGCCTGAGCTGATTATTCCATCCCCTCAGTCTTGCACTCATACTCATTATTTATTTACAGTATCAAGGGGTCATAGAGAACCGTTAGCTAGACAATATGACAAAAAACAAAGACCAAAACAAGATGGCAATAAGGCAAGATAGAAATCATATTTTTTATCTAAATGTAGGGTGTCTACTGGTTCAGAATTTCTAGAAAGTCCGCAAATAACACTCATTTTTTAAGGGCGGTCCGGAAGCACTGAAAAAGTGCAGAAATTCCGGAAGAAGGTCCGGAATATTTTCCCTCAAACCATGTGTGTTTTTCAATAAAGTCTGGAAAGTATGCAATCCCCTGCACATTGATTATTCAAGCAGTATCTGCCTGCAAAATTGCGATAGTGCAGTCTGTTAATCTTTAAGCCACCGATGGATGGAATTTTGCGTCTACATCATTTTTGTAGCAATTGGAGCGAGAATTACAAATTTTCAAAATGTTTTGAATTTTGTCAAATGGATTTACTAAAAAAGCACTGAATTTTTCTGTTGAAGAGGTACTGATTTTTTTGGAAATGTACTGAAAAAGTATTAATTTCTGGCCAGCCTGTTTAAGTGGACACCCGAAATGATAATGTTTGGAATTGTTGGCCTTACTTCCCTGCAAAACAGTGTGAATCCAGCACCTTTCTACGGGCCTGTACCTTAATTTCATTTTTGTGTGTACGAACTCAATTTGTCAAGGGCCTCCCCTCACCTCACCCCCTACCACAATGAATTCCATTTTCTAAATTTGTTTTAACCTCTAAGAGGTTGTCCACTTCCCTTATATGCAAAATGACTTGATGCGATGGTTTTGCTTTCTAATCCCTCAGGTTGTAATTTAAAAATCTTCAACAACCAAGAATTTGCAACTTTATTATCTCAATCAGTCGGTCAAGGTTTTGAAGCTGTCTATCAACTCACTAGGATGTGTACTATTCGAATGTCTTTTGTCAAAGGCTGGGGTGCTGAATATAGGTAAGAAAATTTGAATTTCTGCAAAAGGACAAAACGAAACCAAAACCCCTGAAATTAAAAGTAATTAAACGCATGACGCACATTAATTCTCTAAAGTCATCATCTAGTTTAAGTCTGACCAGTTGTTGAAGAAGCACAAGATGCAGCACTAATGGAAGTTCTGGCAGCCTTTACTCTGGGGAATAACTCATTGAGGCCCTCCAGCACTAATCAAGCAATCACTACAAGTACTCATACTGAAATTTCTAAAAATATCCAAGTATACATACGTTTATTTTTTTCTTTTCACGTCTTAATTACTGATTTCATGGTTAGACCCTTCTTGTGAAGTTTGACTAATTCAGGCCGTCATCTTGGCATTTGGAGCAATTCCTTTGACTTGAGGAATTTTATGACTTCATAAATGAAATCTACGACTAAAATTACATAAGAAATGATACCTCACTTGCCTTATCCCGTAAACTTTTTAAAAATCCACCCTCCTGTCTTTCAAAATTGGCTGCCATCTTGGATTTGGGGTACCCCCTTTTGACCGAGGGACTTTTTTGACTCCATATCTAAAATCTACAACCAAAATTACATAGGAATTAACACCTCACATGACACTGTATGCATATTTTAACAGAAATCAAACTCCCAGAGGCCTTATCATGGCTGCCATTTTGAAATTTAGGTAATTGGGGGGGGGGGATGTTCTGGGATCGAACCATGGTAAACTTTTGGTATGTTCTTCAATAGGACCCACTGAAGACGTTTACATAGGAAAAGTTTGTTAAGCAATTTGTTCGGGGTTAACCCTCTTTTTTTCGGATTTCTCCTTGACTAATCCCCCAAAAACCCGAAAGTTGTGGATGTAAGGATATGAATTTTGGGCAAAATGCACGAATAGCTATCTACTGGCTCTTGATTAACTAAAAATGTATAGGATATGCATTTACGAGCCACAAAAACAGCCTAACTTGACTTTTTCAGCGCCTTGACCCGAAATTCCCGCCAAAAAAGCGAAAAATCGCATTTTCTCAAAAACGGCCAAACTACAGATTTCGCAGTTTGTTGTTCCTCAATCAGTAGGCCTTCTAGTTGACATTTCCGCAAAAAAATTGCAGGTGGTATGTTGACCGCATTAAAAGTGTTTAAAACGTACCGTGAGGGTCATTTTCAGTAACAATGAAATGGACGCAGCCCATCAAGTGTTTTTCTATTCCTTCTTTTTTTTTCTGTTCTTTGCTTTAATTCATTCAGCTTGTGAAGTAAGAAATTGAAAGAATAGAATTCATTAATTTAATCAAGCCAAAAATTTTCAAGAATTAATGAAATACAAAAAAGAGAGCCCTGTACATGTGAATAGAAAGAATCAGCTTTTCAAATAAACCCTCATAATTTCCAGTTGAAATCACCTCTTGTATTATGTAAATATGGCTTAAATTACTTGAGGTAGCCTGTTCTCTCAACTTGCTTCCAATTATTTTCTCCTCTTTTATATCAGTCATGATGATTTTACATTAGCAGAGTGTAAAAAGTCAAAGACTTTCACTTTTTTAGTTTATGTCATTTCAGTTCATGCGTTCACAAGAAACCAGGCTCTGGTCAATTGTTAAGTGTATAGATTGATTTCAATGTCCTATTTGACCCCTTTTGAATATGGTTTTTTTGCAAGCAGGAACTTTGAATTTACTGTTGATAATATAAACTAGGACCGTATATTTTCCTCATAGGGTTCATTTTGGAAGTTTTTGAAGTGTTCAATGTTTTGTGCATGACATTTTGATGAGAAAACGCTTGCTGTTGTGCTTAATTTGTTCCTCTGTCCAGTGGTTCTTCGGAAATAAACAGAAGAAAATAGAGCTTAGAATTTTATCAAAAATGTACCAAGAGCAGTTTTCTTCTTGTTGCAAACATGTGGGGCTCCCATGAAATTTGTCTTTTTCCCTTGAGTATATCTTGTGGTCAGTTTATTATTTTGAATTAAGGTTTGCAATAGGTATTTCTCTTCATCAATCAAATTGTACTTATATTTTATTTCATTAATATAGGAGACAAACTGTGACGTCGACTCCTTGTTGGATAGAATTACATTTAAATGGACCTTTGCAGTGGCTAGATCGAGTTCTCACACAAATGGGATCTCCAAGGCTTCCTTGTAGCTCCATGTCGTAAATGACTGTATCAATTTTGGTCTCTGTATTGTAAGTAAAAACAGATGGTTAAGTTTATCTGTAAGTCCATATGAATACTTCATCTTTTACTCGCAGCTACTTTTCTAATTTAAAAGTTGTGTTTTTGAAGGACTGGACTGGGAAGTTTCAAATTATTTTTTGGATATCCTTTTGAATCATTCTTAAAATGACAAATTATTTTCATGATTTGATGTTGTTGACTTTTATAATGTTTAGTATTTTAAAATTTTCATGTTTTCATCTGTGCTCAATTAATTAGAACTTGTTAGAACTTGGAGACAAACTACCTCCCTATTTTATATTCATCTGATGTTGATGTTTCATCAGTTGTACTTAATATATAGTTTAGAAAAGGAAGAAAAAGTTGCGTTTGGTCAGTTTTATAACCAAGCCTCTCCCTGGTAAATGCTTTCAAGATATTCCATGTCAGATCATCCATCTATTGACTTAATTTTACTGGAGAAATTTTTTTCGCATTTGAATCATTGTATTGTAGGCTTTGAAATCAATGAATTAAACAATATTGCTGTTTTTGCCAAAGCTGAATACATGGATGTATCTGATAAGATATTTTACAAACGAATTGAACAATTTTTAGACAGTCTTGAGGTGAATAAAAACCAAATGTGAAATAGCCCTTCAATAAGGAAAAATACGACATATGAGTATATGTCTTGAATATGTAGAATTACTTAAAATTTTCAACTTTCCCTTGCAAGTTCTCACAAGTTCTGTGAATGTTCAGTCAGTAACCAGTCCCTCATAAATTATGTTGCTGGCAAAATAATTATGTAATTTGAATCATCAGTGTGCAGTTCCTTAAAGTTTTACAAATTTATATTTTCTTTTTATCTGTGCCAGACTTTGTGTCATAATAATTAGTTTTTACCCTTTTCCTTCCTCTCTCTCTCTCTCTGTTTCTTCTTTTTCCTTTCCTATTAAATAATTGAAGTAATTTTATGCACATGTGAGGAAGCTATTCAGAAACATCAACTTGAAAAGTTTTGGTTCAAAATTTCCAACTATAATTTCTAATTTTTAATTCCTTTTTTTTTCTAATTTATTGTGTTTTATCTTCAGCTATCGTGTTTGCTGAAAGATTGTGTAAAGACTGGACCCGCTGTTTTGTAGTTTTAAGATGAAAAGATTGATAGAGGAGAGTTTGTTTACTACAGTTAACTTTGTATTTTTCCCCATCGCAATTTCAGCATATCAGTATCCTTACAAAAGTTAAGTTATGATTTCCCAACTTTGCATAATTTGTTAAGACTCACCTCTGAAACTGTTGTCCTCTAAGTCCGCAGTAGTTGAGGTAAAAAAGTACTCAGTTCATTTAGCTGGAGGTTATCTTGTAGGTCCTGCTCATTCCCTCTCAATAATGTTGATTTGATGAAAAGATAAAATTTGTTTTTCCAGACAAACGTGAAAAAAATGCATGCGTTATGAATTGTCTTCACAGTGAGAGATGGCTTGGTCTTAAATTTTTTTTTCTTTTTGCTTGAAGATTTGGCTTCGCAAGCTTAATTTCAATTCCCAGGGTTTCAAAATTAGTTTAAGGCGATAAGAGTTAATTTTAATATGAACAAAAACTGCCGACTACCTTTTTCCTCTTAACTCATTGGAAGTTTGATAAAGTCAGTTTTCTTTGACCTAAAGCATTTTACAATGAATCTAGTAGCAAAACCTTCTTGTACAGTATCTTACCATCATGTCTTTTTCCTCATCCTGTCTTGTTTAGATTAAGATTTATCAAGCACTCAGTTCAGTGCTTGGAACAAATTGTACTAATTAGTGTTAAGTTGCATTTTGGAGATTCAGAATGAGGCAATCTCATACGAGCGTTTAAATTTTTCGTGAGAAAGTCTCAATCTCTCAGGTATTTTAAATATACATTTTCGCCGTGTTTCAGAGAATGGTGTAAAATGTCATAATTTTGACCATTAAGTTGCAGGAAGATAAGTTTTTAAATAACCTTAAGCTAATTATAACTCATATGGGCAAATTAAGGAAGCCCATGTTTAGTGCAGTTGTCATGCCATTTGTACCGACTGCAGAAATTGGAACGGGAAGAAAATGATTAAATACTTTTTATCCAATTTTTACTCATTTGAACGAGTACAAATACAGCATACATACAAATAGAGCATTCTCTGATATCAGGATCAGACTTTACCAGCCCTCTCAGAAATCTTCTGTGACATACTTTCTCTTTCCTCTAAGCAAATTCATTCTTGAATCTTGAGTCATACATTCTTCTTTAAATATATCACCTCCAGTTTAACAGTAATAATTTTCTAATCAAGGCATTATTATTTAATTTATGCTGTTAATGAACTAGAATGATTTCCCTATCCATACGCAATCACTAAATTTCTGATAATGAGAAGGATTAATAATTTAATAATGTTCCTCTTACATTCACTAGAGCTACTGAAGCAGCAGTTTTACCTCTGCATGTAATAAAAGGCTGGAAAAGGGAAATCTGTGTGGTGCCAAAATAAGGCTTTCCAGAAAAGCTCCCCCAACTCCCCCCTTTTTTTCTTAATTCATCAACACTCCAGAAAAAAGTATCTAATGCTTCAGTACTTATTTCCTTAAAACCTGAAAGAAAAGAAGTCTTACCAACTTTGTTTGTCCCAGCGTTTTCAGCTCTTGGATATAGTGTCTCTTGATGTTGTCCAATAAAAATGCCCTGTTGTCAGCAAAGTTCAATGGTGGTTATCACAAGTTTTATTTTGTAAAGTGTCAGAGACACTCCTTCACTTAAATTATGCTATCATCGAATATTCTTCCTAACCATTTTTTTTGCCATTGATGGAGATCCTCTGTACATTTTTTTTTTTTCCCTGTTCTTTCCTATCTATTTTTTTCTCTCAATGCATCCGTACATTTTCTTTGGTGCTTTACTCATATTTGAGCTCACCTTGTATTTTTCTCTTCAGCTTTGACAGGAAAATCCTTTTAATCATCTCGCTCCTCTCAGTTGTAACGTTACGTTAATCATGTTATTTTTTGCAAAGTTTATTTTTCACATGATATTGATTTTATGTTGATTATTTAACAACTCAATTGTTAAAGTTGAAAATTATTTTTGTTGATCCCGGCTTCCAATCAAATCACTTGATGAATGCATTTTGAATCACTCCTAATAATTTCCATTGGCTACAATTCGGCTCTGAGTAAGAAGGACTGATCTTTTTTCCATACAACAAGTATCCGTTTTGCAAGGTCAATTCTTTATCTTCAGTAAGGGTGAACGGGACGAATCTGCATCTATGACCACTTTAAATTTTTACCCCAGAAACTAACTATCATGAAGTGACTTGCAATGATCTAATCAAGCTCTGGTCTATCCTGGTGTTGATCTATAAATTTTAATTTGACGGTTGTACCGAGTTTGCAATATATATAAGATGCACGTCATATCTCAATGACTCCGATACTCTGTTTTTCCAAGTACATAAATTGCCAAATTTTTTCAAAGCCTATTTTGCCAAAGTAATTTTTTTAAATAGTCTATTTTACTGAAAAATTTCTGACTATTAATCAGTCCTAAATTTCAAGCTCTTAATCAGGTGTTTCACACTGAGCATCTTGATTGTATCCTATCTTTGCATCTCATGATTTTAGTTTTAAAATCGATCAACGAAAAAATTGCCTAAAGGTAATAAAATTAATGTACAGACAGAGCAAATGTATACTTTCTGAACAATAATCTTAAAAATGAGTTCGAATCAATGCTCTCTTTTTCAATGTTCGCTCTGCCTGAATTCTGCCCCCTCAACACTGTATATGTTCTCACGAAGAAAATTTATGAAGCTTCTGCTATCAACCAGCCCATATTTTTTCACTGACTCTTTGGATGAATTTATTGTACTTCTATTTTCTTTTCTTCTTTTTTGCATGATAATCGTACAAAAATGGATGAATATAAAAATGTTAAGTTTAATTTATCATGCCGAGCAGAATAATATTGTCTAGAGGGATAGCTTTGTAACTGGGACACAATAAAATGAGCCCAACTTTGGTGCAACGGAGCACCAAGGTAAGTTAGGAACTAAAGCAGTTCAGCAGATCATTCAAGCAAAGTCTCCTACCAAAGAGCAAAATCGCCTTTTAAAATGCAAAATGAGTCATTGTGGAGTCCTAGGAACGATTTAAAAAGAAGAGGAAGAAATTTTGTTGAGTCGTTTAATGGGGGAAAAGCCCAGAAGTTTCATTCCTGCAATGCGAACTTGGGAAAAATCCTGTGAAACATCCCGTGGAGCCAAGGCGTTATTTACTCTGTCTTTATGGTCCATTTCAGAACAAGAACAGAGATAGGTCTGGAGGATTTGTCGCAAAAATCTAAGCTTAAAAGTTGTCGCATTTGAAGCAGCAGCCGTGCTCATTCCCCTTGTTGGTTCAATCTTAGTCCAAATCTCAGATAATTCGTTATGAAATTGTTTTAACATTAATTCATCTTATCAGTCAAATGTTACTTGAAACCTGCTTTTTGTTTTATTTTTTTAAATCACTCAGATCATTGTATTGAGTCACCCATCACCTTAACCAATAATTAATACTAGTACAAATAAACTAATAAAGATCATAAGAATCAGACCTACTGCAAGTATTAATAGGAATTGTAGCCAGTGTTAAATTATATTCATCTCACGTTTTTTGAATCCGCTAAACAAGCCTCCGCATTTTCTTATTGATTTTTTGCCACTGTTTTGATCTTTTAATCATGTGCATTAATTTTTTTTCTTTTTTTAAACTGTTATGTATTTAAATAAATCTTTAAACTTTTTACTGTGAAGCTTCATCTTCAACACCGTCTGTTTACTTCTCTCCATTTATTTCTTCCAAAGAAATAAATTTTTTACGGTGTATAAATATATAATATTTATACCTTGATGTATATTGTTTATTTACCTTCTAATTAAGTGTGTCTGTGAGTGTGTTAGGTTTTGGCTACTAATGAATTGTACAGAATCCATGCTGCTCCTTTTGGCCGTACCACTAGGAGAGAAAACAATTGCCAAAATCGGGTAGATTAATGAAGCAGTTTTTGTGAATATGGTTGTTAATAGTCAATAGGTTTCTGCTCAGGAAAGTAATAATGGAATTTAAGATTATTTTTGCATTAAGTGAATTTAATGTTTTTATTAAACAGGCAAATAAAAACACTTGAATCGTTTTCACTCTTGTTTTCATGCCATTTCAATTTTCCTTCCTCTTATACATCCATGAGTGTTAAATCAGGTCGCAGAGATCGAAAATGTAATTTTTTCCCCTCACTTTCTTTTATTTTTGCTTTTTTTCTTCTTTTTTTTAGACATCTTACTGACATTCAAGAGTTGCAATTGATACACAAAGCTAACAGCAGTTCTCTAAACCCATTTCAAAATTTTAAAAGTCATCTTAACAAAAAGCTCGCAGTTTGATGTCGTAATTAATTATTAGAGAGTCATAGATAACCAAATTACGTTTTCCATGAATAATATAATGATGCCAACCAAAATCAGCGTCCCAAAACCTCTCATAATTAGATCAGGAGGTCTCAAGTAGTAGAATGTGAGCTTACCACATTGCTCTCGCACGCTTGAGTTACTTCTGTAAAATTTCAGTTCACTTTGTACAAACTTGTTGTATTGTTAATTTTACTTCCTAAGTCTAGTTTGTGACCAACACTTAAGTTGAGAGAGAAACTTGCACACCCAAAGATTCTCTTGGTCCGATCACCTTCACTGAATGAGTCAACCGAAAAAATGTATTCAAAAGATCAATCAGTAATTGTAGTGTTCCTTTTGTCTCTCTGTAAGTTGTGAAGTTCTTAAAAATCATAATAATGGGGAAAAGAAACAATCTTCGAGCAGGCAGTTATTTCTTACTGATTTTTTTTCAATTCTTTTTTTTCAACTATTTTCTATTTTATATTCCTCTCCTGCTAATTCTGAGGTTTTATTTGATTAGGTTGAGTATCACGGTTTCCTCTCCTGTAACTGACAAAGAAAGAAGGAATACAGCTATCATTAAATGATTTATATTAGAAATTCAGTGTTTATAGAATCAAAAAAAAAAGAAAAAAAAAAAGAAAAAAATACGAAATGAGCCGCACTGAAAATACGCTCATGGATGAGGAAAATCACTCCACATACAGTCCTGGACTTTTTGGTGGCAGGATTTATTCATGATGAGGTATTTAGGTCCTAAATAGTCCTTGGCAGAAGTCGAGCAAGGGAGGTTGGAATTAATCTTTCAAAACGACGGTCGACGGTATCAGGATTGAATAACAAAGCCTTGAAAAGTGGACACTTAATTTTCAACAGAAATCTATTGTTTCTCTTTTGTCTACTCCTTTAACTCCATTTTTACTATAAAAATTACCTAGATTTTGTAAATGTAACTCCAAGCCATTGTCCTCATCCATACTCAGGAACTTTGAATGACTTGTGAAATTCATTGTTGTAGAATTATTAGAATATGCCTACTTACTCTTTGTATTTTTCTCCCTATCACCCTCTGCTTTTGAATTTTTTTTGTCGCTGAGCTGCTCTCTATTGAGGTTCATGCATAAGTTCCTCAGACATTTTACACTAATTGAAGAATATATCTTTGAAAACAAAGCTTAGACTTCACTGGTCCTCTCAGCTTTAAAAAAAATGTGTCTCTCACTTTGAGCGTATTAATCGTAAATTTGTCTCCATATTTGCATCCTAAGTTTCTTGAATCCTTCCTTGTAAATTTTTCCCTGTCAAGGAGCTTTTTTAATATTGATCGTAAGTACTGATTTGAAATTAACTTTTTTTATCATTGGTCTTAAGTAGCTTTGGGACTTAATGAAAGTAATGTATCTAGTAACTTATCATACTGACATTGAGCACAATCATGTTTGTTGAGTCAAAGTTGCACTGTTGTGTGCATCAATGTAAAAATTCACTCGCCTGAGTCGTGTAATTGATGCTTCAAAGTTTCTAAATACTGTGATAATTTTAATTGCTCAGAAAACTGTAGCTTGTCAGGTTTCTGTACTCAATTTGGTGAATTGTTAACTGAGCTTCTACTTTTGAAAAAATTTGTGGATGGAGAAACGTCTGAAAATCTGTATCCCAAAAGCTGTAAATAAGGAAGACAATTTTAAGTGCTCGAAGAATTTCAAAACTGTTTCCTAGCCTCAATAAGCAAATTTTTTTTCAGAAAGCTTTGAACATCTTTAAGAGGCAGTATTTTCTATCATCAAGATTCTCTGGCCAACAATCACATGCCTTTTTCTCAAGTAATGATATTCCTTCCTGAATAGCTAAAGTACAATCTTTGGAAAGGTCATGAAAAACCTTTTGAAGTTCTTTCATCTGTTGTCATCTCTGAAGTTCAGTGCATACCCCTCTCTGTTGTTGTTTGTTGACCTACATAACGTTGCTGGTGCTCCAAACCACTACATATTATCTCAAGTCAGTTTATGCAGAAAAAAGTTGTCCTTGCAAACGAAAGTTTCGGTCTCTCCCTTTTCAGCTTGCAGTCACGATGTTTCTTGCACAATACAATTATTTCAAGTGCATATTTTCCGCTAACTTGGATATGACAAGTTTAAAATAATAATTGTTATCAAAAATCTATTTTAATTTTAAGTCCAAGTGTGATTTTGCTGTACGGTCACACATAATTTTAATTATTTTACTTCCGAATTAGCTTGTCCAATCGTGCGTTTTAACCAAAAATATGAAGTTGCTCTTCCGGGATTGATGTAGTCTATATCGAAAAATCTCTGTAGAAACTAACTTCTGAAACCGACTTTGCATGGTCTCTGTGGATTCAAACACACATATTAAATTAAAATAAAAGTATTATTTGAGTGAGAGGAAAATGTGTGAATTCAGAACGCAGGTAAATTGCTCTCTTTTGTAAGTTAAAATTGGCAAGAAAAGTCTTACTGTGCAGGATGCACACTTTTTCATCATTTTTATTATCTCTAAAAGTATACCCTCTGGAGCACATCAGAAAGTATTATCACCTACTTTCAGAGTGCCCTGCAACTCAGTACAAATAGATTGAAGTGATTTTTTTGGAAACACTATATAGTAGATGACTTCTGTACCCCCAATTCTACTATTCCAAGTTCGGTAAGCTTAATGATCCTTTATGATGAGATTCAAAATGGGAGTATAATTAAATGGGGGAAAAATGGTATTTGTGTACCTGAAAAGTTAGAAGTAATACATTTGTCACAGTTAATAATTAGCTCTTTGTTGATTGAAAGCTGTTCAAAATTACTGACGGGTTTTTTAGTTATGAGAAACTTTCGCTCTCTAAGTCTCTTTCTCCCTCTTCCCCCTTTCTACTTGGATTTTTGAATGTGTATTTTTTTCTCCATCTCCTACGATTTCATCCTTAAATAATCTAAAATTAAGGAGTGGAAGTAGATGAAAGGTTGGACAAAAAAAAAGTCAGATTTAACTATTTTATGGGCTTTATCACCTGCAGTATGTATTTTTAAAGCCTAAATTGCTATCTAATTTCCGTTGATTGTTTAGTTTAATTCACTCAGGAACTCATGGTTTCTCCCTTTATCTTTGACTCAGCTTTTGTACACAACAGCAGGATAGACTAAATTTAGTGTAATATCAGTCTACCGCTCTAGGTTTAATTTGCTACTTTCAGTCTACTGCCCTCTTCTTGCTAATTTTAATAAGTGGTCAATAATCCTCTGTTTTAATTTTCAATTTGGTTCTTACTTTAGTGATATAAATCGCAGTGTATCTATGATTGCTTTTAGCAAAAAGGAACCCCTGCAATTACGGTGTTTTCAAAATCGTGCAACTTCTTCTTTTCTCTTAAAAATACTCAAAATATGTACAGTAATAAAATTTACACAATTATTTTCCTTTAAAATTAAAAATTTTTTGGTGGAAAGCAGAAACTATTTGTTATTCTGGGTGATATTTTTGATAATTATAAAAAAGCAACATTTTTACAACACTGTAATTGTGCTGGTTCCTTTTTGCTAAGTGTAATTCATATTATCGATGCAATAATTTTCTTTGCCCAGCCGTTGTTTCACTTTAAGCACATTCAAATCATTAAGTAGTACCAATCTCTAAAGTATTATGCAGTAACATATATTAAAGTGGCCGATCATACAGGGGCCTCCTGTTGCATCGGGCGAGTGCTAAAAGGTGGTGACTTTGGATAGAAGCTTCAAATATCTTGTCCATATGAACGAACAATCTTTACAGTCATGGTTCTAGAGTTTATATTATTCTGTGTGAAGTATTTACGATGAGGCATTTATCTGTATCCATTTTACAAAAAGAGGACATAAAACAGTGCTTTTGTATTTTCTAACCTTACTGGGAAGCTCTCACGTCTTGTTGTAGTATCTGTGTAACTCTTTACGTCAGTGGCGTGGAAAAATTAGCATGTTGGGGAAAATAACTTAAAATTGATGTTAAAACTAACTATGAGCTTATGAGCCCCTTGTGCATTGGTACGTTAAGCATGATGATACAATGCAAGCCAGTAAGATCCCTCCAAAGAGAGGAAGCTACCAACTACCATTGGACGTATTTCTATCAAACGGAACTATGTGCATTAAGACATGAGCCCTGAGACCCATAAGAATATATGCATAACAGAGCTCACGTCATAATGCACATAGTTCCGTTTGATAGAAATACGTCCAATTTTGGACACGAAGAGCAGCTAGAATTGAAGTTAGTGCAAGAACCTCCCGTGCTCAGCAGAAAAAGTAAAATAAAATATATTCCCTGTCACATTTGAAAAATGATTAACTGATTTTCGTCTCGATGAATCCACCGGGCTTTATCTTTTGAATGCGAACAAACACAGTCAAATTACCAATTTATCTTTGAAATAGGAGTTGTAGCCTGGACTTCTCTGTAAAATTCTTTGTCAGGCACAGCAGGAAGAATTTTCACAATGCTTCACTGAATTGAATATTTTCGTAGCTGTACTATCAAAATATTATTTTTGCAGATGGGAATACGGTGAGGTATGTAGGAGAGTTTGATTGCTTTTAAGATTTTAAATCCATTTTTTCCTTCAAATTAAAAGGATATTGTATCAAGACATGTCCAAGAGGAAATTAAATTGCACTTGGAAGAAGAATACAATGGTTAATGGTGCTGTATTGATTATTGTGATTAACTTTTGTAAAATTGGTAACTCCTCCTCCCGGCAACCGCAACTTTGTGAAATTCCAAGAATTTCAGAATCTTGCAAAGTAAATGAGAAAGAAAATCTTCAAATCATTTCATGTTTACGGAAGTTTGATCAGTTCCAAGCATGAAACATTTTGAAGATCATTTTTCCCTTGTACTGTCTTATTTCCCTCTTGAGTTTAACAAATTCTTTTTTTTTTTTCTTTTTCTTTTTCTTTTTTATCATAGATATAGATTCATAAAGCTCAGTGATTATTTGGTACCTTTTTAAATTTAAAGATAACATTGGTACCTTTTAAAATTTAAAAATAAATACATTTTAACTCTTACAATTAGAGGTTCCCTCTTTTTTTCGTTTTGTTCTTTTCTTCTTGCATTGATATGTATTGCGATTGAATGACGCTTTCTCGGAAAGATTTCAATTAAATACATGACTTTACCTGATGAAGTACCTATCTAATTACTGTGCATCATATTTTTCTTCTGTAGGGACGCACCACACGTATAAATTTATTTTTTTTACTCTGTCATCAAAATGATACCTACCACTGTAAGAATTAGATCTAAGTCAGTCTTTTTTTATTTTTATTTTTTTCTCATTGTAAAATTCCTTTTCTAGAAGTAATGCCTTTTTTGTTTGTCCAAACATTTGTAACGGCTCATTTCTAATTTCTCCCTCCTTTGATTACCCCTCAATTTTTCTGTTAGTTTATCATGTTGTGTCGTTTAGTTTCTCTCCTATGTTTGAATTTTTTGTATGTTTTTCATTTTTTCTTAATTTTCTTTTTTATTGTAATAAATTGTGTCTTGATATGATTTACTCTTTGTACTAAATAGATTAATTTTTCCCTCATCCAATTCCAAACACTTGGTTAAGATTCATGCGAGAGTAGAAAATTCTTCTGGACGAAGAATTATAACATCGAAGTTTGCTCACTGATGAAGAAATTTTTTTTTTAAAAAAAAAAAAGAAATTTCTACCTCTTTTTTTGTCTGGTTACAGTATGAAATTCTGACACTGGAAATCTTTACATTTTATCTAAGTTTAGTTAAAATTGGGATATAATACTCTAGGCTGTCCCAAAATTGCGTTTAAAAAATAGTCCTTCATTGTTAAGGGGTAGGTACTCTCTTTTCGTAACCCTGTCTACGATTTTTCTTTTCTTTACAGATTTGCCAAACAGTGCAGAACTGATTCTTGCCCAGGTATTATTTCTAGCCCAGGTTCCGAAAATGTCCATTTTTCTGGATCTTTTTCTGTTTGGTCTGGCAAAATCTGAGTTTTGTCCGTAAATTGAGCTATTATGATGTGAGATGTCACAGCATACTGTCCTTTTGAAAGTACAGTACTTGATGTATCTCCGAAAGACAGGCTCTAAATCATTTATTTTCTCTTTTATCTGAAAGTAAATTTTTATCAATACAAATAATCATGAATCAGAGGTCAAATGTTTTCCCCTTGAAAACTAGATAAAAGTACATCGACCGGTTATAGTGCAGGTACGAGTTTAAGAATGGAAAGGGGATGGGTAGGACTTATTTTAAGGAATTTTTCAAAACCTTTTGAAAAATCTATCTTTAATCACTCACCTACCCCTAAAATGATTGTCTCCATCTGTAGTGGTGTTGATAGAGAGGGATCCAATGTTGGCTGATTCATTATTGGAATCCCAATTTATTTTATTTTTCTCTTCTTCATTAAAGAAGATTTTTCCCTTCCTATGATGAGACTTGATGTAGTCTATCAGAATTTTTACTTTCTCGCTACCCTAGTTTTTAATAGCAAATATGTCAAAGGCAGAGAAGAATTCTATTGAAGTAGGAATACCAGCTAAGACTCGTTCACCCTCTTCTCTAGGTACAGATTTTGCATATTATGTCAAGAGTGGCGGTATAGCCACCCCCGTTCGAGGAAAATGACGTCTTACTAAAGTCTAGGGATGGACGAATATCGAATTCGAATGCGATTATTCGAATATTCGAAACTTTTCGAATGCGATTATTGCGATTATTTGAGAATTCGAATCTTGCGATTGCGAACAGTTCGGAAGCGAATATTCGAATATTTTTCGATTATTGCTTCGATTTTTGATTTTTTATGAACCGTGAGAGAAAGATGACACTTTTGATACTTCTGAATGCGATTATTCGAATATTCGAATTTGCGATTGCGAATACTTCGGAAGCGAATATTCGAATGTGATGCGATTACCTCAGTGCTGATAATTCGAATATCTAAATATTCGATCATCCCTACTTAAGTCCCGATAGCAAAGGGATGGCCGACACTCTTAGTCACACGTAACTGCCCAAACGACCGCACAGATTTACCTCCATTACTTGCGAAATCTACGAAAAGAAAGTTTTTGCCGGTTGAAGCTTATTCATATATATGAAAAGAGTATCAAACTACAGCGAAACAAGCAGAACAATATTGAGAGTCTGAGAGCGAGTTATCACCGTCAGACGAAATACGCTGCACTGTAGTGGGCATCCGATTGAGTGTACTTTTTTTGAAAAACGCGCCAAACTGTAAGCCAATCCTCAACGAATCGCGTTTGAAGATGGCTGTCTCGTGTGTTTTCTCCATGACGTCACGGAAGTAAATAAGACGCGTTGTTAAACTCAAAAAGTGAAGTCAGCGAAATGACGTCAGTCCGCCATTTCGGAGTTATCCGCTTAGCAAAACAAAAACAAAGATTGCCTATGACGTAGTAAAAGCAGCTCAGCCAGCTCAGCGGACCACGGGACATGGCTGAGCGCTGACCGCGCTGAATCTATCAGACCTCCATCAGACCGGCGCATGAACAACATGCCAGGGCATGCCCGCGTCCGGGCAAGTCTCTGGGCCCGCGACCATAGTACAAACAACGACCGCTGCAGCGCTGCGCATCCGTTTACGTCCAGCTCCATTAAGAGTCCATTGTAAAAGAAACTAAACCACAGATATCGATGAAACTTTTTGAAAAGGCCAACAATCCCTCTGACTGTTGAAAAACATCTTCGCTAGGAGCGCGAATGTGTCCCTTCATCCCCTAACACGCTCCCGCGCGCCCATCAGACCAGCTCGGTTTTTTAAATTTACCGCGCGAAAGGGCAACTTTAAGCTCGAATATAAAAAAAACTAAACCACGGATTTC